TTTTGTGAAAACCGGCTCAGACGCTGTGCTGGTCAGGCTCTGGCAGAATTACCAGAATGGGTTAGTTCAAAACACTAAATTCGCGCTAAAGAACCTTAGCAGCACGCGTCTGAGGGGATGAGGTAAGCTTGGGCAGCCATCTGCCTGTCAAGCAGCCAATTGCTGCCGCTGCCGGCTGAATAGCACACGTCAATCGTGGTGGCAGGCGTTTGGCTTCGAGAGAATCTGCACCAGCTTGCTTTTTGCCTGGCTTCACTATCCATTCTCCATGCGGAGTACGGAGTACGGAGTACTCGATACGCGCACATACATAATAATTCCACGAGGACCGCCAGCTTCAGCAAGCCATCGAAGTGGGTTCCTTCGTGCCAACGCTTCAAAGTCAATTGCTTCTTAATTGGTGTCCTAACCTCGGGAAAAAGGTTGTGCACCCCATTTTCACGCACCTGGCATTCGTCGCCAGTGCGCCGTTGCCGTGTCAACCGCTGTAATAATCTTCCATCGAAAACATCCCTTGAAACTCGCTCTTCATAGTGTCGCACTGGCCGCTTGCCGGAGATGTTGCAGTTTGTCACACTCTCAACCTCTTTTATTTTCTTCCCTAGGCTCAGACAAACTTTCTTTGTAGGGTAATTATCCTACGGAGTACAGTTTCAAATAAATATCAGCTCTGATACTAAATTGGGAATGAGCTACATTCATAGTTAGATCATCTCGCCTTGTGCTTTGCAGTAGTAACTGCACTCACTTCATACCAAATTTTCCTTTTAATGGCCTAGATTCTCATGACCAAACCACGTCCAGCAGAGAAGATACCTAAGCCTTCAATGCCCATCATCAACTCAAATTCTGGCGTTTATCTTTTGACTGGTGAAACTTTGCCCATCAAAAAGGGATTTTCTGATGGGTTATTCTCCATTACCAGTGGTAGAACTTCGGACCAAAGGTTTGGTGTCACGAATTCGTGAATCAAACCTTTTTAATCGCCATTGACGTTGACTGCACATTGCTAATCCCTGAAGTCCACAGATCGATACGAGGGGCTCTAGCTCTGGGGGGTCCGCGGTATTAGGTAGGCATCGAGGCCACATCGATCGCAAGTCTAGCCACATTGTCTCAGAGCACCCTACATAAAATGACGGCGCTTTAGTCTTTCGAACAGTCTCGGCAATTAAGCACAGGCTTCCGGAGTCGCGCCTGCTTCCTTGCCGTACCAGGGTTCATCGAGAGTATATATCAAAGACGATTGAACTGTTCCGTACCAGCTCTGTAGATGTACAGGTACTCCGTAGATATGTCCACTGTTATTGAATGGACAGAATGCATGCATTATTTTAAAGAACACCGGCTCCTTCTAGTGACGCCGCTGTGACGCGGTGGCGACGTCGTTCTCTTGGCCTACAACTTTTCCTCTGGCACCAGCTTGGCCACTCTCCTTTTCCACTTCACGGCCTCTCTTGTTGCCCTTGACCATCGTTACTTTACAGGCAGACGGGTAGCTTCTGTCCGATCATTATTCAGAGCAGCGCCAAAGCGCGTTGTACCTCACAAGCCTTGGCTGCATCACGCTTGTCTCTTCCAATCAAGCTATCTGTCACCCCAGCTCCAGCAGAAAACCACCTTCGTTGAATAGATCTCCCACAGCCAAATGGCAGGGTTCTCCAAGCGATGATACTTTCGTTATGTTCCGGCGCAAACGGAGTGTTTCTCACGGCGTAAGTTCGTTTCTGCATTGAAACTGCTTTCAGCCCTAAAAGCATCGGCGTCCAAACGCTCTTCCCCCCCCCCACATACATACAGCAAACCAGTATCCTGCATGCTAACTTTGAAATTTTTCTTGATCAACCGCGTAGCCGATAAATCCAAATCCGTCTCCTTCCGCACAGACTGCCGCTGTACAAGCGTTTCGTGCCTCCCAGGCTGCCAATGCAAATGCGAAGCTCTCATCGTCCGCGGCCGCGGCTGCTCTACGAAAGCACACACCCACGCCAACCTCCGTTGAAGATGTCCAGACCAAACGAATGCTGTACAGGCAGCAGTCGGTCTCATCCATTGGGTCTCCGAGAGGTCGAGTGCAGCACAGCCAAGATCTACCTTTACGCAGGGCGAGTAGCTTGGGCTTGATGAGCAAGCGGACATTTCGAGATGCATCCCCCGGCCGCACTTCTCCACTCGCCCTTGGGTCCATGGGGCCCAAAGATGAGATTGACCCTGTGCCTCCCCTACCAAAAGTCTATGTAGCAGCCGCTGCTACGGCGCATCGTCGAAGCGTGAGTGGCGGACCTCCTGTGCGACGCACGATTTCCCCTCAGAACCGCGCCAGTGGGCCATTGCGAACTGGCGAACGGCAATTAAGGCAGAGCTACAGTCAATCCCTTGGGTCAGTTCAGGGTAGCCCAGTTCCAGCACTATCATCGCTGCAGAGACGCAACAGCAGAAGCTCTATAAATTTTTCATACCCAATCAATGCGCACCCTAATTCTCCACGACAATCGTCAGTTAAGAATTTTGCTACAGATACTCCGTCAATACGTACACTTTCCCCCGTAGAACCTGTTGCCCTGGACCTTAAACCACTTCCTTATATTTCAAAAATGGAGCCCGTCGCCGAACCGATAGACCAGAAATCTGTGGATGTTCCAAAACAAAAAACCAAACAGAATACCCCAAAACAGCACGCAAATAACCCAAGCATAAAATACGAAATTGCACAGGACAACGAAATATATCGCGAACGAGGCCTTACAGCTGAGTCGCCGATAGCAAACGGCCTAGATTCAACCAAGCAGCTTTTGGCACATTCTCCTAACCGGAACAAATCGAGTGTCGGAGAGGAACATCATACGGAACAAAGTTCTAAGATTCCATTCTGTGCCTCAGATGAATTCGAATGCAACCGTGCTCATAAACTCGCTGAACAATCAGCCTCATCAAGAGATCGGATGCTTCACGAACAAGGTGTGCAACGGTATCAAGAGTCGCCTATTCTGACTCCCAGCTCACCGTCACATTCCTTCTTACGAAGAATTCCCCCGGACCCGGCTAAAGACAGGTCTGGGGACCACACTCCGACTGAGAGGCCCCCGTCTCTTAGCCCAACCAGGTCCACGAGGTTTTCAGAACGTTTGGAGATTGTTTTTCCTGGCGATCACCTCCATGAACCTCCACCTCGTTCAAAGTCTCCAGCAAAATCAGCCTTGAAGCCTACGGCTTCAAGTCACAACGTCACACCCGACCGCTTGACAACTACACAACACCTGAAAGCAGGCGATGCACCTAGTGAATCCGACGCCACGTCAGTAGTTTCCGATGAAGGTTCGAAACTTAGCTGGAAGAAAAAGCCGATAAAAGTCAGTTTTGGAGACGAGGCTGAGGTCGCAGGCACAGTCGCCAGTCCTCCAACCTCTCCAGATTCAATAGTTCCCTCAAGCCCACAACAAACCTGGAATGGCAGCCTTCGCGGAAAGTGCGATTACCTTGATGACTTTGAAGAAGTTTTGAAGCCCCGTCCGGCCCTACCCTCGTTTGGGAGCATACGAGGCCGTCGGCGGTTCGAAGAAGATGAGGAGGGTGAATTGACTGTTCGCCCAGAAAATAGCAGACCATCGTTAGCGGACTCGGTGTTTAGCGAGTCATTTTCAAATGACTTTGCAATTGGCGGGTTATTAGCGAAATCAGGCGAACAACGACATAAAAGTGCCAATATGCCATTGTCGCCGGAAGTTGGCTCAGTTGATGGAACTGGTGTTGACTCTATCTCATTGACTGAATCGTCGAGCGATGACGCAGATCCAAATGAATTCATTTTACCGGGACGGAGTATTTCGGGCTTACCAGTCGCCCTAGATACTGGCCCGTATAGCCAACAGCCCACTGCAGATGAAAGAGCTAACCAGGAAATACCCAAGAGAGCTAATCTTGTTGTACCTGTTATTGCCATTCAGCCGGCCACGCCCATGCATGAAGAACACCCAAAGTCAATTTCAGGTCAAGACGATATTCCTGGTGCTTTTCCAGCCGCAGGAGACCAGGAAGAAAAGTTGGAAGAAACAGTCCATAGGGATAACGAAACGGACGATGCTGCCTCTGACTCTGGTGACAGTGTATACAGTGACGCTGCGGAAGATCTTCCTGATATCGAAGGAGATGGCTTTGGTTCAATTAATGCGATTGTCTCCGACCATTTACCGGTAATTGCGCCTCTTTCTGGAGAACCCAACGTAGTGCAAACTGCTCTAGCAGAAAATTCTATCCCCGTTACACTTGAACCAAGTGTGGAAACCCCTTCGTTCAAAGAATTGCCGGGGGCCCCAAAGTCACCGACTGGCCCCAAAAAGCAAATGCTAGTGGAACCTGATAGGCGTATTGAACAGAATGAACAACCCCCGAAGACAGCTCGCCCAGCGTTAACACAAATGCCTCGATCCAGATTAAATTGTAGCCCACAGAAGAGTCGTGTCGATGTTGAGACATCGCAGGAACATTTCGCGGAACAACAGCCTGGGTTAAATACTTCCCACGCGGTCTCAACAGTCAAACATCTTGATGGGCAATTGTCTCCTACTACCACTAATGGTCGTGATATACCATCATTCTCCCCCGTCCCAAGCCCTAAAAAACAGAAGCCTGCAGATGGCCACAATGCAACGGGTAATAATTTTAATCGGCAGCGGCTTCAAAGAATCCCATCAAACGGCAGTGATTCTTCTAGTAGCTTTAAACGAGAACGACGGTCCCCTAAGGATATCGGTGTATACACATTGAGGAGAACAATGAGAAATGGTCCAGGGCCTCTAAAGCCAGAACCTAGCGAAGAACGACGGCATACTTACCTGTCTATCTCTAGCTCCCAGCATCATCGCCCGTTTTCTTCTGGCGATGGCCATGGTGTTTTACGAACGACGTTACGAACTCCCGACTCAACATCTCGCCGAAAGTCTACTTCATCTCCATTTACGAGCCTCAGAAATCCTAGGTTTAAGCCCAGATCCCCAGGAAGCCCCAAGGAACTTGGATCTGGCTTCAAGTCCCGTTTTGAAGATTCTAGCGATGATGAGTATGAGTTGCAAACATTTACACCCGTGCGTGGGATTCCGCGAAGGAAAGACGAAGTGGATGGCGACTCCACGGCATTAGAAGATAGTTCCGATAGCGACTCTCCGCGGAAAACCGTTAGAAAAACTCGATCTATATCAAAAGGAACTGACATGCCCTCTATAGCTGCTGCAATTGCAAAGAAGAAGTCAGAGCAGATGTTATCTAAGGCTGGTAATGGCGGGCTAAACAGCCCAATGGCATCGCCTCCCGCAACTCAGCGAAAGCAGAAGAAGAGCGTTCTTAGCCGTTTGCATTTATCAAGACGTCACTTTAGCGATGAGACGAGGGTTAGAAAATCAGCCGCGGAGAGCCCTGCAAGAAGGGATACGGTCTTGGAACGCTCAGAAAAGGAACTAGAGAACATACGGAATACCAAATTATATCAGAAAGAACCCGGGATTCCAGAGAGCCACGGTATGGATGGGTTGACCTCGAAAGGGAAATGGCCTCGCTTCTCTGCCCAGTCATCGAGGCCAACAAAGAAACTATCTCGTCATCCAAGCGCTGCTGGGAAAATATCATGGCCCTTACCATCACCTGAGGATGGTTCTCAACATACCCGTGGACTCTCGCTGCATGTCGGACCCAGCTCGCTTACGAACGCTGATCCTCATTCAAAGAATGAGGTTAGTCGGCCTCATACCTCTAACGGCGTAAGTCCTGGACCGTCATTAGTTCCACCGGCCAACATGCCGAGCAACCTTGATTCTCAGTGGTCATCACGACTACTACACCATCGAGATAATCACAGCGACCCAGGCAGCATGCTGAGAACCGACGCCCTCGAAGGTACCACAAAGAAAAAGAGTAGATTCTCAAAATTACGAAAAGCATTCGGAATGTCGTGACACGGTAGTCAATTAATTGCGTGATTTCCCGGCTACTAAATCCGAATGCGATTCGATCCTGTGCGCTTGTTTCTTCAGACAATATATTGATACAGGATATTGATTTTTAACGCCATATTATGATACTATTTACGTTTTTGTAATGCCTTAATCTAGTCGGCCCAGTTTTGCCTATGTTCTTACGCTCCTTACCTTCTTGCCCTTGATCAATAGAGTCTCTACACTCCACATGGGGGACATTAATATTTTGGATTTCAGACTTCGATTTTTGTCTTCTTAGTTTTCGTACCTTTGACAATGCGGTGCATGCTTAGGAATTTTTGAAGGGAACACTACTGGGGAAGACTTCTTCATCTCTTAACTGCGCCGTACAACTGACGGTATAAAGCGGGAATTCTGATTAGCATAGGCTCCATTCAAGTTCATCGGCGCCTGTGAAGTCATATGGCTGATAGAGATGTTGATAGCTGTGACGTCTACTTTGTACTGTGCTTATTTGCCTGTAGAATTGAGCAGATACATGTCTGGCATTGAGATACAGTCTAGTATTGTTGGCAAGCTGACGTACCCGTTGAATGTCAAACCGTTCGTTATACTGTTTGTTGAAACTATATTCTTCAAACCAGGCTAGGGACAGGAACCTGCTCCAGGTTTGGCAACCCAAACAAGCCATGGACGAACGGGGTTCCTGAACCGTAGCGAGCTACGCTGGCCGGGAATCGTGGTTACGGAACGGTTCTTGGCGGCGCGTCGACGTCACAGCCCAAAAGCTTCCCGGCTGCCGAGTCTTGTCCTCCGTCCACCCGCCTCGAGCGCTTCCTTGGGTTGCTACCACCATCACTCACTTGACCATCTCATATTCTTACTATCTATCGCTGAACCATGAAGTGTGTCTCGCTGTTGGCGCTCGTCGCCGTCGCTCCAGCCGCGACTTGGGCTGGTGTAATTCAGCCGCAAGTTCCCTTCGTTAAGGCCCCGGCGGAGGGCCAAGTCGAAAAGTTCCTACTACAGCTAGGTCCAGACGTGACTAGATGGGTGACAGAAGAGGAGAAATGGGCTTTACGGATGGTATGTGCTTCTTATGCGTATTTTGTGGAGCTTCACCCGATGTTCTGTGCTTTGTGCAGTATTTACCGTATGTGTCCGGCTAACCAGGAGGTTGATCGGTAGGATGGGGTCAATTTCTTCGATATAACAGCAGAAGCGGAGGAAGGTATGATCATTAAGAGCACTGCACAGAAGAATGTTACCTTTCCGTCGGAAGTCAAGCATCAGAAATCATTGGCGGCATTATCATCGCAACTATCCAAAGATAACATGCGCAACCACTTAACCAAATTCACTTCCTTCCACACTCGATATTACAAGTCAGAAACTGGTATTCAGTCTGCAACCTGGTTGCTTGGGCAGGTACAGCAGACAATCGAAGACACCAGTGCGTCGAGACACGGCGTTAAAGTGGAAAAATTCAACCACCCTTGGGGCCAGTTCAGTATTATTGCAACTATCCCTGGGCGCACGAACAAGACTGTGGTTATCGGTGCCCACCAAGACAGCATCAACCTGTTCCTTCCGTCGATCTTCGCTGCACCCGGCGCGGACGACGATGGCAGTGGCACCGTGACTATTCTCGAGGCGTTCCGTGTGCTGCTGCACTCGAGCGCTATCCGCAAAGGCCAGGCTGAAAACACCGTTGAGTTCCATTGGTATTCTGCTGAAGAAGCCGGTCTTTTGGGCTCGCAGGCTATTTTCTCCGATTACAGCAAAAAGGGCCGAGATATCAAAGCTATGTTGCAACAGGATATGACTGGGTATATTCAAGGTACCCTAGGTGCAGGCCAGGTGGAAGCCGTCGGTGTGATCACTGATTTTGTTGACCCTGGATTGACGGAGTTCATCAAGCTCGTTATCAAAGCGGTATTCCACTCCCTCCTCCCTCTCGATCTAACACAGCTGAGCTGACAATTATCTAGTACTGCGATATCCCTTTTGTCCTGACAAAATGCGGCTATGCCTGCTCTGACCATGCGTCCGCTAGCCGGCACGGCTACCCATCCGCCTTCGTCATCGAGTCAGAATTCAAACATTCCAACCAGAAAATCCACACCACTGCGGACACTATTGAATTGCTCAGCTTTGATCATATGCTCCAGCATGCTAAAATGACGCTTGGCTTGGCCTATGAACTTGCATTTTCAAAGCTATAAGTGGACGTAACTTTTGCGCTGCGGCAATGTTAGTTTTTGGGATTTCAAGTCGTTTTTGCATAGCTGTTTCGGGGTCGCGACTGTTTATATATCCTAGGGAATCAGAACCTATACGCCCTCATTCAATGTCATCGGTGCAATCCTGCCATTAGAGGCTACCTACAGAATAACTCCAGTGAAGATTTAGTAATAGAATATATTGAGTGACATTATATTACTGAAGGCATTGCTATTTAGAACTTGCATTTGATATGATCTGTTGATCCCATATACTGCAACGCAAGTAGCCCATGCTGAAGAGGGAAATCGCTTTCCCCTAAATAGCGAAATTCCCCATCGCTTCGTTCCCAAAAAAACCCTCACAGCCAGGATATATACCCAAGAAAAACCGTTGTACAACGCCGGAAACTAAGGGAAGGGGTATTTCACGTATCCCATGGCCTGGTCGTTCCAAGATGCGATAATCGTAAAACATGAAGAGAGGGGTATGTGTGTGTTTGTGTATGGTTTAAGCCCCGAAGAGAATGTAGAAAGAAACCCCAAGAAGAGGCAATTTTTTAACCATATCAGATTAACCTCGCTAAATAGCCAACCAGCAGCAGAGGAATAATAGCAAGGCTAGAGTATATCGTTTGAGCGTGGCTCGAGGCGTCACTCGATATGGAGTTGTCAACATTCATACTGTACAGTAGCTTGGCGGTGATATTTGTGGAGTTGAAGCAGTTTTCTCTCGTCACCCTGGGAATTTCCGGGTCTCCTATTTCTGCAAAGGTAATATCGACGCACTTGATATGACGCATCAGTTATAGGCAAGAAACGAGGGGTGTGCAGGGTGGAGAGGCGCGCGATACTCACATTGTATAGAGCGGCACCATGCATGGCGAGCTCGATTACCTGAATAGTGGCATTATCGCCGACTTTTATATCGACATTGGGCGGTAAGGGGATTTGCGGTAAGCAGAAAGTACCCGGGTAGGGCTCGAAGGTAGGGCCAACAAGCTCGAACGGGTGAACCATAGTCAGACTCAAGTTCAGCGGAACAGTCCCTAGCCCAAGGTTCACGTATATGAAAGCGGTCTTGTGGCCGGGGAACCACCCGGGTTGGAACGATATGGCACCGCCTTTGATGGGCCATTTTGTTCGGTTTGTTGAGGTTGGCATTCCACCACCTGTGAGTAGAAACAAGAGAGATAAGTATTTGGGTGTCGCTGATTTGGGGAGGTTCACTAACAAGGATATAACCATTGCATCCCAAAAGGATACAGGACGTCAGTATAGTGGGTGGCATTTTTGGCAATCTTGACGCTGAGTCCATCTGTCTCCTCGACGGTTCCGTTGGAATGCAAGTTGTTCCCGCGCCATCCAGGATAGACGATGACAGTGTGAGCGCGGACAGTAGTAGCGAGCAGGCAGGAGACCAGTATGGCCCACCACGAGCCTAGGGAGCGCCGTGACGACATGCTAGGCACGATATCTGAGCGATGGCGGCAACGAAACGCTGAGGAGGGGAACAGCCCGTTGGAATAACGGCGGGTATCAGGCAGCGTCTGAGGGGGCGGAAAGAAGGGGAGGATTGACCGCGTCAGGCCTGATACGCTGGACCTTCTGACTCGTCTTTCAAGAAAAGCGGTTGAACAAGTCCAGATTTGAAGGCAGATGGCGGGATGGGGCGCGGCGGCTAAACGGGCTTCTCACCGCGAACAGCAGACGGGCTCAGGCTTGGGCGGTGATAAGCACTGGAGATCCTTGCAGGGACGGCATGCAGCAGCAGTCGACGAGTCGCCACGGGCAGTCGTACAAGGGCTGCTGGTCCAGGGCGAAGGCAGACAAAGCGGTCCCTGGCCTGCGTGTTTATGCAGACGAGCTGCCAGTCGGTGGCCATCGCCATTCCCCCCCGATCACAGGTCGGCGCAAAAATCGATCGCGCCATGACGAACGGCCCTGGCCCGGCTGGACAAATCACGACGGCCGCCACGGCGTCGCCCGCAGACGGACGGAGGGCCCGCACGGGCGTGATGCGACGGGCAGCAGGCCAATTGCACGGCTGGTCACATCGCGGCCGGTGCTCGCATCCTGGTCTGCGCGCTGCGATTCGTGGCCGCCGAAGCGCCCGCACTAGCAACCCTGCTGGGGCCCGAAGATCCAAGCCTGCACGGTGCGTGAGGCTAGCCGGGTGGTCGCTGGTGGAGAGCGAGAGAGGGGAAGCTGGCTGAGCCCGTCCTGGAGGGATATGGATATCTGGAGGTCGGGAGGTCGGTTTGGTAGCGTGCAGCCGTTGTCCCCGCCACCACCGCAGACCGGTTGAAACGGCGCTCGGTTCGAGCGAGAGATTCCCGCAGGCACATCCGCCTCGCTGTCTCGTGTTGGCGGCAAGGATGCTCGGCCCGCCAAGGGAGGGAGCGCAATGGAGATGCTTAGGAGGCTGGGCGAGCCATGGCGGACGCTATCTCTTCGTCACCGACAGGCCTCGGAGGCCATCAGGGAGACTGGGGGGGCGAAGTTGGCCTGGGACTGCGAGCTCTGCAAAGGCGTAACGATATATTCACACACTGCTGGCGATGCGATGCGAGGAATGATCGATGAAGGTGAAGGCGAGAGGTCTGTATATGGAGGCGGCGAGAGAGGGAACATCAGCACAACACAGCATGGCACGGCACACATGGGCTTGCCGTCCTCTTTTATTATCTATTGGGTTCTCTCTGAGGAAGCTTATACGGAGTAAGCATGCACGCAAAGCGCTTCCGCGTTTAGCTAGTTGTTTCAGGGGCAATAACTTGTTACAGAGTCGCTGGATCAGCTTGGAGTGCCTGCGCCAACTAACTACTTCGCAGCCGGCAAGCCTCGAGAAGACTAACTACGTAGTTGACTAGCCGTCCTGAGCGTGAATCGAGACTACGGAACAGCGAGTGTCTAATGACCCCTCAAGGTGTTCCTGCAGGCTTCAGCTAGATGCCGCCGGTGACGCGGACGTTTTGGCCGCTGTTTGCTCAGAGTCCTGCGTATTCAAACACTCTCAAAGGCACAGAGCTTCCCGCTGACGAGCCGGTCGAAAAAGAGTACGTTGCTCTGGAGAATGATACTTGCAACTGCAGAGACATGGCCCACGAGTTTCACCAGGAGTGTTGGATTGTTAACACATATACCAAGCAAGATGACACCAGCTACATCTGAACATGCATCGAGAGCTTTGAGCAACAGTCTTTGATATACAAGTCCCTTTGAGAGCCAATCTGGATATTTCAACAATGATGCCAAGGCCGGAGACTGACTCTCAATCTCCTGAAAGGATATATAAAGCTCCTCTAACGGAGTCTCAACCTTCTCCATTCTGAATGTGGTATCATAAATACAGGTGAAGACTGTTCAGTCTTAAACTAAGCTGTTTCAAGCGCCAAAGACCTGAAGGCGAATAAATATTATGATGACCTTAGAGGACGAGACGCTGAGTATCTGAATCGGCATCCACCACAGCCAGACTACTACGTAACAAGGTCATTCAGGCATCTTATAACCCAACATCTCTCTCTGGAAATACCATCGAATTTCTCGAAGGACGAGACAAGCAGTTGTTTTTAGATGAGAATTTCCTCGTGGCCCCCGGATCATAGGAAAATACCCAAGCAGCTTCTGCAAGAGCCATGGCTTAGTGATGGTTCCATCAATGGGAAAGCTTAGGCATTTATAGTTGCGGCATTATACGCCCGACTGACACAGAAGTCAGCGAGTAATTTCTGCACTCCTTGTTTCGTTCTACGGGTCGATACATCTTACTCCGCCCCGCGCTTCCCTATTGCTCTCTTCTCCTTGCATTATTTTATCCAAAGATGTCAACCTTTGCTGTGACAAACTTTATTTGAATAAATGATAAGTTTCTGCCGAATCAGTACAGAATGCTGCCCAACGTGTAAGTCAGGGGTCTACATACACACCTCTTTACAATAATGCCGTCTCTGTTCCAGTTACGCCGTCCAATACCAAGGCGGGAGTTTCGGAATAGAGCCAGTCAAGGGATTTGGATAGTAAATTCATTGTTCCCAGTCTAACACCCCGTATACCCTAAGACGTTCGCGGAACTCAGACGAACAAGGGTGGGATGCGATATATATGTTTTCTAGAGAATACATGTTTGTACGGAGTAGTCACAACGAAAAAAAAAGGAGACTGGAAACCAAGAGTGTTTTTTTACATAGACGAAATGTTCGCTCAAAATTTGACCAGCAGGCCATGCAAGACAGCCCTGAACCTCCCACGAATGATAGACAGGAATGGAAGAGGGTCAAAAGGAGATATATCATTCTGAAAGGAAGCAGCCGAAAAGTACATACATTCATACTACAGTACTAGGAAAAAGTAAGGAATTAGTCAGAACAAAATAGTATAATCAAAATGTACCGCTATGATAGTTAGATATGTAGCATAAAAAATATGCAAGGGAATGAAGGAAGGTCTGCCAGCAATGGGTGTATGGAAATTATTTTCCATGGCAGAGCAAAAATGAATTGGGGAAGGGGCTTTCTAAACGGGCACTGCAGTCGTGGTGTGACTCTGTGCCGGCGACAGGGCAAGTTTTTCAACTTCCGGCACAAGCACTGGGGTAATAGGTGTCGATAAAGTGCTTGCCGAAGACGTAGTCTCCCCTGTATTGTGATTGGAATCTAGTGCTGGCTTGTCATTTAGTTGTTGTTTTTGTTCGACGTGGACTGTCTTTCGACGCGTCTTTCCGCCAATGCTGCCAAAAATCTCAATTCGATCTTTCACCCAAGCGATGGGGCCCTTGGTGAAATTCTTTTTTCGCTCTTCTTCAGTTTTGCTTGTTTCTTTTTCAATATTGGTGGTTGTGAGCTCTCCGTCGGCCGTTGGGCCTAAATTCTCCAACGTACCCACGAGCTCTCTCGCGGGTTCGTCGAGGTTGGGCATGTCTTCCCATTCCCAATCTAGCTCGCCGCCAAATCGCTTGGGAATGCTGGAAGGCTCCATGAACATCGTAAGGGTGGTCTTTACTTCAGATGCAGAAAGGATATATATCTTTGAGGTCGTGACGGGGTCAAACCACCGTTTAATCCAGCCCCACACGGTAGGGAAAAAGTAGGGTGCGCCAATTACCTGCAAGATGTCAGACTGTGAAGGATAATTACGGGATACGATACTCTGGGGCCCTTACATATATTCTATCCAATGTTTCTGGATAATGAGCCGTCGCCAGAACGCTCGCGTCCTGCATATGGCCTTTGAGATTCCAGAACTGCTTCAGACCAACCCCTGAAACATCAACGATGTTCGTTGTACTCGAGATTGGCGTCTCCGGGTTAGGACGCGGCAGCGACGAGCACAACGGCACCACAAAGCGAGTCATATTCTCATACAGCGCAAAGAGGCGCAGCAGCCTTGGAGGCACTGTCGACGACGTATGCGTGGAAGAAGTGACATTTGTCGCGGTGCCAGACGAATAGGCGGCCATGCTTTTGCTGTTCAGATGCTTGATCACGAAGACGTAGATGGGAATGCCTCTGCGGTCACGGCGGCCAGTCCATTGGGGATACTATTCACACGTCAGGTCCACTACCAGTCAAGATACACGCTGCAGAGGAGATCTGATAGGACTACAGACCACTCTCCTCGCCTCGTCATACGAATCGACGTCGAAATTCTCATACAGCGCATCGATCTGGTTCGTCTTGCGCCAGTCTTCGGTGGTTTGGAACTGCTGCAGAGCTCCATTCACGTCAAACTTGCGCGCACGCAGAAACCGCCTAGAAAGGCAACCAGGCGAACGAGGCCCGCAGTCAGTCAATGAACCAGAGCCAACGAGAACGGCTCAAAACAGAGTACTACTCCATACAGCAAGGTAGGATCATCGTGGCTCGCAGCCCGCCCGTCATCTGCGGCAGGCGAGTACAGGTTCTTCTCCAGGCATGCGGCCTTGAACTCGTCCAGCGCGCGGGCCTGCGGCGGCGTCAGGTGGTTGAGATGGCCGTGCAGATGGTCGGGCGTCTCCTTGCCGTTGATGGACTGGTTCGTCCTCGTGCGGCGGATGCTGCTCTGCGAGCGGGACACCGACTGCGAGCGCGAGCGGCGGGAGCGGCGGCTGCGGTGCGAGTCCGTTCGGTCCAGCGTCATCGCGAACGGGCTGGGCTGGGCGGGCGAGCTTGGGAGGCGGAGACTTGGCCGGCTAGTTAGTTAGCGGGCTCGTTAGCTAGCGCTGGGGCAGGGATCACGGCCGGCGCGGAGGAGGAGGACGCGGAGGAGGCGCAAGGGACAGCAGAGTGAGTACGAATGGAGGCATGCATGTACGATGGAAGGGCAGAGAGGAGGTCGCATAGCAGAGCAGATGGCTCGACAGTGCTTAACTAACATAGCTAGTCAACTCACTAACCGTCGCCAGCGCCAATTTATCGCTGGATACGGGCCGCGGGCTCCGATCGTCCCGGGCGGCGCATTGTCTGTATTAATAATGGTGCACGCCGTGCGAGATAAACTACCATACCGGAACCCCGGATCTGCTCACTAGTTACCTCCATCGGAATACCGATTTTCCGAGCTGTTACATTGTACATCGTTTCAGCGTTGACGACAGTAGCTACTACGTGGAATCTACCAGATAGTAATGTCAACCTTTTATATGGTAATAACAATGTTTTTAAATCTAACAAAATGATCATCTTTTTCAAATCTCTACGCCACCAACTCTCTCTTCTACAGTAGCCTACACATTTTTCTACTATCCTATTACGGAGTCCATAGAAGATATTCCTTCTAGTCTAGCTAGTAGGCGGTTTCTACTAGTAGGAACCAAGTTAACTCCAATTAACTCTATACAAGTCAAGGACTCAAGGTTGAAAAACCATACTCAATGGGTAATATTGCGCAATTGTAAGATCAACTCCGAAGTACGTTGCGGGCAACCGTAACATTACGGCAGCCCACAGACCCGGGGTTCCGGTATGGTATCGCCGTCGATCACAGGCCCAATGCACGCCGTGTCGCAGCCGGTGTATTATTCCTCTCGCTACGGAGACGTTGGTGGTACGCTATGGGGGACCAGCCGTGCAGAAGGGCTTCAACAGTCCCGGCACGCCTGTTCGCTCACTTCTCTACTACTTCACATCTAGCTTAATCCTCAGTGATATCGCCATACTCCCAGATCCCCCTCCGCTGCTCCTTGGCCTCCTCCTCTAGCTTCCGTAGGTGTGCGAGCGTGTCGCCCGCAGACCGTTCCCACGCCTTGAGCTTGCGAGGAACCATCGCAAGACCCTCGCGGATGATGTCCGCATTGATGCTCTGCTCTAGGTTCTTGGAGTCTGACGGGTCCATCAGCGACACGTATAGCGCTCCATCCGCCGTGTGCTCGACGTTGGCCACCAGCTGCCGGTCGAAGGTCTGCTCGGCAACGAAATTGCGCGCGTCAGCCAGATATTCGGGCGACACGGGGAACTGCACGAAAGCAAGCACCGCGTCTGCGGCCTGTGGCTTCAGCTTCTGCACCGAGAACTGCTCAGAGAGGGGGCGCAGGCGGCTCCAGGGGATTTTCTCCGAGTTTCCATAGTCAATGTACACGACATCCGCCTGCTTTGCCTCGCGATCATTCCGTCGGATCTTCGCCCGATACCATTCATTGTCCTCCGTGAATCGAGCTGCGACTAGGTCTCCCGCCTTAGGTGCGTCTAACGACTTATCATTCGTTTTGTTCAGGTGGAACGACCGGAAGGAATTCATAAGATCCGTCAGCGCTGTCGTTCCAGCGCCAATCTGCTGGATCTTCACTTTGCAGTCCTCCTCTACACCAGTCACCAAGACGTCACGGTAATCCTTGCGACGCTCCAGAGGTGCAGCAGATTCAGCGCCGTTCGCAGGCGTCGGCTCGTCGTATTCGTTATCGGCCTCTTTGCTTGGATCCCAATCGTGCCAGACGCCCTTTCTGGCTTCCTTGGCCTTCTTCTCCGCAGCAAACAGCTCTGGGCCATGTCCCGACTGCTCGGCAGAGTACGCATGGACAGTCGCCAGGCCTTCCTCAAGAAGGACTTTGGCGAAGTTCTCCCGGTTTACATACAGTGTTCCAATAAACCCGCCCACTTTGTCAATTGTCTCGACGTCGATTTCAACGTCGCGTTGCGTGCATCTGCGGCTGGAGAAGTCATGCGCCTCTTGGCCGAATGGCTCGGATGCCTCATTGGCATTCCTGGCAGACTTGGGAGCCCGGATGCCAGAGAGAACAAAGGTAAGCTTAGCATTATCTCGGGGAATCAAGACGGTGAATCTTGCTCCGGACTTGACATAATCAACAATGGCTGGCACCTTCTTCTGCCTCTGGAGCACCGATGCCTCCATCTTGGCCTTCTGTAGATTTTCCGAATAATCCTGGTACTGCTTGGTCTTGGGTGGTTTTGACGACCACATGCCCCGCTGCTCTTTCTGGGCCACCTCTTCAGCCTGCAGGAGGCCGTCGTAATCAGGAGATCTGTCATCATCGTCACGTCTGTGCCGGATAACGGATGCGTATCCTGCCTCTACTAATGCCAGCGCAATATTAGTACCTCCAGCCATAACCGTGCCTACCTCTCGCTCCTCGAATCCTTCAGTAGCAGGTCGCTTTCCATCGATAGCGACCTTGACATGTTTGCCAATCAGCTTCTTGCGGAGGAACTCCTTTGCGTCAACCCCGAATGGTGCCTGTTTAGCGTCAGAAGGCTTAGGTTGTCTAATACTGCTCAGGCTGACTTTCTTCTCTTTGCCAGCCTTGTTGCGAACGAAGATGGTATCGGCATTTAAAATTCTGCTGACGACGAAATCTGTGTCGGCGCCTGCTGACGCTGCGGGTTTAGGGGCAACGTGGGCCGCAAATAGCCCCTTACGGGCATCCTTGGCGGCTTTCTCTGCTTGTCGGAATGTAGCCATCTCATTGCCCAAAAGAGTAGAGTGATGGTCCGCACATCTCGCGAGGCCTTCTTCAAGCAAGAATTTGGCGATATTTCCATTGGGATGCAGAACCGTGCCGATCAATTGGTTCTGTGGTGTGGTGCCATGTAGAGATACCTTTACTCTTCTCTGTAGCAATCGAATCTCCACAAACTGCTGTGCCTGATCACCGTACGGCTCCCCGGGCTGCTCCGTCTCATCCGCATTCACACGTTTGGCCGACGGAGCGCGAACGCCCGCCACCACCAGGAGAGTCTGGACATGTTTTTGCGGAGAGACCAGCATCCTCACCACCAGGCGGTCGCCGTTCAGCACCCGCTCCACCACGGCGTCAACCATCGTGCCCTTGAGGCTGTCCACAAGAGCCTTCGGCTCCGAGACCTCATACGACATATCAATCGTTGGGGCCTGGCCCCAGACGCCCTTCGCGTCCGCACGTGCCTGCGACTCGAGGTCGCGCAGCTTCGCCAGCAGCAACGCCGTGTCCTCAGATTCGTCTCGACGGCCGGCGTCCTCGCGGACCTTGACCCATCCCTCCGAAATGCAGAGCTCCGGTAGCTCCCTGCCGCCAGGCAGTTTCACTAGGCCGTATTCTCGTTTGGCACCGGTGGGAACGGTGTAGAGGACTTGGAACTGGATGACCTTGCCGACGAGAAGCTCTCGGAGGAATTCGCGGGATTGAAAGGCAAAGGGCTGGACAGTGCGGGGAAAGCGATTAGCATCTTAGTCTCCTTCTCTATGTAATTGAAGCTTTCTAGGAAGGGGGGGTTCTGGACAACTTTCGCTTCAAACGTGTAAGGTGGTCACAAGCAGCCAAACTCACCTCGTCACCTTCCCGGCGTAACCGGGGAGCCGACACATACGCAAGGCTGAGAATCCTCTCCTGGCTCCTGTTGGTCACATGTGTCAAGACCAGTGTGTCGCCAGACAGGACACTCTTCACACGAGCTTCCAGGAGAGGCATTGTTCCGCGGGGTCTGAGTGGGTTAAGCTTAGAGTGCTTTCTTGCGCAATTGGGACCGGGCCTCTGGGACAAGAGGTAAGAAAAAGGGAAGAGTTAGATGGGTGTGGAGAACTAGGTGAGGGAGGAGGGTGTGGTGTCTTTCAATGCCCAGAATTCCCAAAATAAATAATGCCAGGTGGTTTATTTGTGTGCTGCAACTAGCTAACTATCGACAAGCATTAGACGGCATGGGGACACTCAGTGCCAGCACTATCACCGCCTCACAGTCCTCTCTGATGAAGCTGCTCTGAGCATGATATTCAAGCACTGGGAAATTCCAGGAGATGTGGTAATTTCCTTTCTTGCTGGATGGCAGCCCTCTCACAACTCTCTTGGTCTCGTGAGCTATAACTACCTGGCTTACGGAGAGCAGGATGATCAGGACATGATTGGTTGACTACACTGCTTCACCAGGATAATGTATATTGTTTTGTCAGAAACTAGCTCTTCTATCACCTAATAATGGGCCAACACAATTGTTGAGGGCTTCTCTAACCTCCAGTTGGTTGTGCCCATTCCCAACCCTCGCCTTGATCCTTCTATACTCTTACCAGAGTATAGAAGTCATCCCTGCCATTTACTCCTATTATTCGGTATGGCCCTACTACAACCCCTAGGCCAATCTTACTAAATCAGAGCTAGAGGGAAATCAAGTCTGTAAACAGAAACTTGTCTCTTTTATTTAGGGAGTAGATAGCTACAATGGAAATGAGTAGATGGCGGTTTTCCAATAGGACCTTTTGAACACAATGTGATTATGTTGTTTGGTATCGACTAGCTATGACTATAACCAATCATGCTGCTGCTAGTAGCAGAGTAACCAGCTTGGCTATAGCATCTTTCCGTTTCATAGGTTGAAATCGGACTACATTTTCCCTTCATCAAACCAGCAGCATTTCTGGATCAAGAATCCGGGTACATCTTTGTGATATATATTTATCCAGCGATGCCAATGACACCTAGGAAACCAGTTCGTTAGTAATCCCATCACTAGGAAGCATAGAAGTTAGCCAAGAGCATACCGCAAGCGGGACGAGGGCCAGCATTGCCGGTCTTCTTCGATTCTTCGTTTCCACCCCGGCCCAAATCATCGGTGCCTGCATGAACAACGACCGTGCGCTATAAATAAACCCGAATAAGCCTCGAGCTTTCAACGGTTCCCGCAAAGGCAACTTACTCCAAGCACGCTGTGCTCTCCAATCAGCTTGACATGGTGATCCTCGACAGAGCCAATGGCGTTGCCCTGAGCATCAGTGGGGATGTTGCCTAGGTCACCAACATGGCGTTCAGCATCGCCGGGAGCGCCATGCGTTTTGGAAAATGGGTTAACTAGACGCTACTGTCAGGGCCCTCTGGGGCTGTCCAAAGATCCGAAGCGGTGTTTGGGGGCGGCACAAACAGTGTGGGCCAGCAGAGGTGCAGCCGTTAGTGTTGTCTCCAAACTGGTGAACGTGGAAACCACGCTGGGCATTGGGGTCGTGGCCCGAGATGTTCCAGGAGATGGTGGTAGGGCGGCTCTCATCTGCTTGCTCGAAGGTCACGGTGCCCTTGACGTTGGAGTCACCACGGAGAACAGCAACTGTGGCATTGGTTGGTTAGCGTTTCCGGACTCACAGAAACAGCAACAAAGACGCAGAATGCATGCTGGTCGTTCCTGGATGCGGGGAGAGACCGCAGGGCTGATAGCTAGTGACAGGTCAAGCAACAACGCCTCGGGCACTAGCGCATGCAGCCTTGGGGACACAACCGCTGGCGAAACCACCTCTTACGTGCTCACAACCACTGGATCCCAAGGAACCTTGGAAGCGGGTTGTGGTGGGTGATAGGCGCTCGTTTGAGGGGATTTTACAAGGGCCAGCCAACCACAAATCGCACACAGCACAGCGGCAGGAAGGGCAGAGCAAAAAAAGCATGTCAACGTACCGGCCTTGACCATGTTGGCGTGTTATTAAGTGGACTGGATTATCTTATAAAAAGAGGCTGGTCTGCGTCGTCGACTTGTCGCAGCGATGGGTGTGAGGGAAGGACGTTGGATTTGGTGGTGGGGGAGCGCAGGAGCTGGAGGAGCGAGAGCGCGCGGCGAGCCCATAAGTAAGCGGCGCTCTGGCCCGCGCAGAGAGTTCCGCCCACGAGCATCCAGCACTGCGCTCGGCGCGGCCAGTCCTTGTGATTCGACACTGCTGTAAAGCTCCGAAATCCCTATCGACCAAGCCACCCCCGCCGCCGACGCTCGCACCCCTTTTCCGCGCCAGGCACCGCTCGCTGTGCTACGCATGGTGCTTCTCTGACACTCTCTGATTATTGATACACCTCCCACTACTCCGTACTCTGCTGGCTCTGCTGCCGCCTGTGTTTTGCCCGCCAGTTTGATGCCCAAAACAGTAGGTGGGGGTTTCGGCTGATGACGTGGGCGGCGACTGATGCGGGTCAATTGGCGGGCCGAGATGCCGGCTGAGTCATCCGAACGCTCTGGGCCCGGCTGGTGATGCCGATTTCGGAGTTCCAGCAGGGCGCAATTTGACTGCATATTAACTAGCTAACTAACGAACTGCTACAGACTGAGAACTGCAATCTAACTAACAACAACCTGGCAGACAAAGACGTTTGAATCAACCTCGCCCGGCTCCATGGACCTCGCATGCCCCAATTTATGCCTCCTGGAGCTTAGCCCGCAAGATGTTCTTGAGGGTGACAGCATCCGCAGCGAATTTCGAAATACCTTCGCGGAGCTTCTCTACTGCCATCTGCTCCTCGTTGAAGTCGAAGCGGAACACAGCCTCGTCGTTCAGATAGGTGCGCTTGGGAATATCGAGGGCGGTGGCTTTCGCGGCGTCCAGTTTCTTGGGCACAGCGGCGGTGGATGTGAAGAGTTCCTCGAGCAAGTTGGGCTATAACAGGAGAATTTCGGTTAGGCTTGATTGTACACGCGAGGATCACTGAAGAGACATACCGAAATGGTCAAGTAATCACAGCCTGCAAGCTCGGTGATTTCGCCGGTGTTTCGGAACGAAGCACCCATGACGATTGTCTTGTAGCCGTGCTTCTTGTAGTAGTTGAAGATGCTCTGGACGCTGAGTACGCCGGGATCTTCGTGAGAAGCGAATTCCTTCTTCATAGCTGCCTTGTACCAGTCGAGAATACGTCCAACGAAGGGGGAGATCAGGTATGCGCCAGCTTCCGCTGCAGCGATGGCCTGAACAAGAGAGAACATCAACGTCAAGTTGACGTTGACGCCATGCTGCGACTGAAGAATATGTGCTGCCTGAATTCCTTCCCACGTAGAAGCGATTTTAATCAGAATACGGTCCTTGGGAACGCCAATATCTCCGTAGAGCTACATAGGGGAGTTAGTGACCAAATGATTCGAGTACACCAACAGTCCTAGGATAGCTCTAACATACCTTGATGATGTGAAGCGCCTTGTCAACTGAAGCCTTTGTGTCGAAGGAGAGCTTGGCATCAACCTCTGTCGATACCTTTCCGGGGATAATCTTCAAAATCTCCTTTCCAAACTCAACCAAGAGGCGGTCAAGCGTGGCATCGACTTTCTCTTCGAGATCAGAGCCCTGAAAATATAGATCATATCAGCCATCAAACTTCGAGCCTCATAAATAGTGTTGGAATTGCTATCGCTACTTACGTTTTTCTCGCCATATCGAATCGCAGAATCTATCAAGCTTGCATATTCGGGTTTCTTGGAAGCGGCGAGGATCAAGGAAGGGTTGGTCGTGGCATCTTGAGGCTTATATTTCCCAATAGCTGGTGCACATTACGGTAAGCTATATCCCCTTGCGACACGAATAGGAGCAGCAAGGGGGCGAACATACTCGCGAAATCACCTGTAGAAATTCCTCGTGTCAGTTCCAGTATTCTGATATTCGGTTGTATAAAGAGTAGACTCACCCGAATCACAGACCACGGTCTATTGGCATAGCATATGAACGTCATTAGCAAGTTATCCTTCAGGAAATATTGCTGGATACAATGTGGCAATAACTTACAGTGCCAGTGGCTTTCAATTGATCGAGTGCGGAGGTCATTTTTATTAATCAAGAGGACGTAGAAATCACGAGAGTCGTAAGATAAGGTATCAACCTGAAATATCAATGAGCAGGAGTCGTTCAAGTTCCCCAGTAAAACTATCCAAAAGGCCGAGGGGGGCAAGTGATCAGAAAAAATGAAAAGGCAGCAAACTTGGGCCAGCTCAAGGGTACCTTTTTGTGGCAAGAACCAGAATTCACTCTGAAGTCTGTCCCGAAGTGATTTGAAAGCTCGAACAAGCACTACTGACCGACCGGGTCTCTTCTCTGTTGCTTTGGGTTGAGTTGGCGCCCATCCCACCACCGCTTTTTGGTGGGGCAGCCAGCGGCTCTCCGACAGGGGGTGTGACGGAGGCAAGTACCGCCAAGTACCCCTCCTGCGCCCCGGCTCTGCGGAGCTACATGCCTGGACTTCGGACTTCCGAAACACTCTACTCCGTACACGTCGGATCTACAGCTTGGAGTTAACGGGTGCCACAATCGAGCACACCAGAGCATGGAGTTTACGAATTTTGAGAAAGATTGACATGGTAAATACTTTTGAGTCCAGAGGCCGTTAATGGTAAAGGTATCATAAAATGTGTATATAAACCATACTTCGACGGGAAATCAATCCCATCCGTATACGCCAAGTCCAATCTTTCTTGCACAATGAATATGCTCTACCCAAATGCGCCATCACAAGACAATAACTCAGAAACCATGCTAATCGTAGACACAAGAAGAAGGAAGAAAAAGAGAAACAAAAGTGAGTCATTCAGCGCCGTTGTACACAGTTCCATTCATACTATACGGTGGCCCATTAGTAAAATGTGATATGGGCCATATAGCAAAGAGAATGCTTACCACCCGACCAGCTTCATCACCCGTATACACGACTTGTGCCATTGGCAATATGCAAGTTATACCTGCGGTAGAAACCGGCCCATCTCCGCGAGCCTGATCAACATGGTGCAGTTGGCGAATCAAATCTAATTCAAACCGTCCATTTCGGATAGTCTTACTCCAAATCTATTATAACAACTTGTCAATAGGAATATTTTAGATAAGCTGTTCGGTACACTCACGTTAACTAGTCCCCGTCGGTGACCAGTGAAGATCAATTCTCGCTCGATCCATTCATTGCTGACGCCTTCATAAAAGGCACATGAGAGGACACTATCCTCATTTTGGTCGCAAATGATTTGCTCCAGTAACAACATGCCATTTAACGTGAATAGACTCAATCGATTTCCACGGCAGATCATGATATTTCCCGTTGCGTCATTAATACGGGCATGCTATGCATTTGTCAGTCATGATGACAATGGTACGGCATAGAATTCAAAAACTCACGTCGACAGCTTCGCCGGAGGGCAGTTTTCTCACAAACTCTAAACGATTCAGATCCCATAGCATCAGTGTGCCGTCTTTCGAGGCAGAGAGTATGGTGCTAAAGGAACGAGATACGGCTAGCACCGTCACTGGCGTCCGATGTCCAAACAAAGAAGCTTTAGGATGGAGGTCTGCCGATCTAGCGGTCGTAGTATAAGACCAGACAGATATAGTGCAATCCTCTCCAGCTGTTATCAGGGTCTGTGAATCTGCAAATAAAGCGCAGGACAGTTGGCCAACATGAAGATGCTCAAAATGACCGATAAGCTATGGAGATGCAAGTTAGACACTTGTCTCACCATTCTTGAGAACTTTACTGACCTTTCTGCTATCCGCAGAGTACAGGCGGACACTGTTATCTGAGAACCCCCATTCCATATACTTCTCGTAGCTAGGGGGTATATTTAACCGCAGTGCAGCAGAGCATAGCAATCGATCGAGTTTTGTCGAAAAAGATAGAGACGCCACGCGTTCCTGGGAATCTATAGCACAATTAGATAAGATAAACATAAAATGGTTGATATAGTCCATACCTAGCAACGTAAATGGAGTGTTAGTTAAACCCTCTGCAGCAATATCTAGCTGATTAAGCTTATGATGCATTTCTTCTCGTTGGAGATGGGGTTTAGTAAACACTTGGTGTGGAGTCTGCCCAAAATTATGGATGATACCAATTGTAGCCAGCCTCTCCATGGGGTCGACAATATTGTCGATATCTTTCGCGCCTTGGTAAGAGAGATGATGAAAAACATTGACAGCTTCGAACGCAGCCTCGCCCTTCTGTTTCCAGCCAAAGATGAGGTCAATCCACTGATGGAGATTCCTGCTCACGTAGGGGCTCTCAAGAGCCTCGCGGTGCTTTGCAATAAATATATTCGGATCCCCTTTGGCCCACGGCGGAAGTTCTACCGAGTCAATATTCTGTGTCATATTTTGTCTCGAGCCAAAGTCATATTTATTGGAATTGACAAGGAATTCAGGCAGGTAGAAGAACTCAGGGGTCAATTCCCTCACATCTGTCATATTCACGGTCGACGCCGAGTTCCACGTTTTTGCAATGGAGTAGAATAGTCGATCAGCATGATCAAAAGCTCCACCTTGCAAAAGAAGGTAAGACTTAACAAATGGCTGGAGCCGTATTAAATAAGAACATACTATCATCGCAGATGAATAGTGAGTTCCGTAGTGAAATGGAGGAGCGTTATGGTCGCCCATCTCAGCAAAAGATTGATATCTGCTCCTAAATTCAGCTTCTCTTTCAGGTGTTTGGCATCCCATAGGTTTCGAAAGGTCTCTAAAAGTCTTGGGGTTGGTGAGGTCTAATTCTTCGCTGGTGTAGTCTGCCAAAATCCAAGGAAATACGGGATATTGAGTCAAGTCGTTGAATGTCCGCCCGGCCCATGTGTTGACCTGCATTAAATAATGAAAATTGGACATTTCACCCCTTAACCACTTCCGCGTTGCAGGGTGTAGGCCCGCTTGACCAAAAACATTAGCGATCTTCGAGCCAAAGAACTGTGGTTTGTTATCTTGATCAAGAAGCGCTTCAAATCTCCAAGTATCATCAGGTTGTGACAAATTTCCGGTTCCCTGAGATTGTGGTGCTTTAGAACTTAATTGCGCATAAAGACCATCTCTAGCAGCAGAAGATATCAGTGTTATCAAGAAACTGCGACCATCTGTAAAGAATATCTCTAGCGCCACATCTCGGAATAAAAAACGTCGTTTTGAAACACTGACAACATCAAGCCACTTCCAGCTCCTGCTTTCGTGCTCACCGTTGTTGAACTTCCGTTCACTAGACTCTCGACCGGAGATCATGCGAACGTAAGGGTCTCTTTCCTCACGGGGAGCTTGCCAAACATTAACAATCTCACCATCAGGCCGCTGGAAATAGTCATCCATGATGTAAATGCTGCTCTTCCCAAGGATTAAAAGGCCTTCATAGGCTTCGAGTCCAACAATTCTTGACATATTATGTACGTGTTGCACCTGGTCTCCTCGATGTAAACTTCTCATAACCTTCCTATTTTTGTCTTCGTAATCTTCGTCATTCTCTCTAGGTCCGTCGATTATTTCGAAGCTGTCCTCCATATCTGTTTTATCTTCAGTATCGTTTTCCACGGGCTCTTCGTCTGGCCGTTCTGCTTCTATGGTGATGGCCGCTACATCGCTCTCGGTATTGGAGCGCGGTCGACTGTCCGGTCTTGACTGTGATTCACCGGTAGCCTTTCGCTTAGGCTGATAGTCTTGCTTGCCAACCGTATCATCGGGAATGACACGTTGACGCATTCTACTTCGGCCTTCCGTTTGATCTAACCGCCATTTAGTCTCTTTACCATCGGCAAGGAGGCCGTTGTCCCGGCGAAGGTCACGATAAATATGAGAAAGGTTGGACAATAGGAAAGTAAAGTCATCTTGCTGATCTTGAGCAGATCTATGATGCTTCAATCTCTCAGAGAGGGATATGTTAGAAGTCCAGTGTCCAAAAGTAACATCATGCTTGCGAATAAGTTCTTCGTTGGTCGCGTCAATTTGGCTCCACTGCTTCAATATCTCCTTTCTTTTCGATAATCGAATCTTGGCGTTTTCAGTTGTCTTGATATTTTCCTGTTTCACAAAATTCTCCCATACTTTTGACAGTGTACCAAAGAAAAAACAGTCAAGGTCATCGCGTTGGTCGTCAATCCACTGAAGAAAACTGGTATCATCCATTGCGACAAGCTTCTGAAACCCAGCGGAGAGACGTTTATGTAAGGAATAACTTGTCTGGCTCAACATGGCGAGGGTTTCTGTTGGCTTCTGTACCAAGATGATACGCCATAGGGCGGCAGCTTCCAATCGTATATTTTCTTTTTCGTTGACTATTTTTGAATATAAAAGATAGCACATCAGCTGCAAGTACTCTGTTTGCATCTCTTCACTGCCCAGGAGCACGGTTTGCCAATAGGAAAGACGCTTTAGAAACTCAAGAGCCGCAGTATCTTCAGCTCCTGATAGTCGTAATAGCATCGTACGGAAAACAGTGGATCGAATATTTGAAATTGTCTGGCTGCAAAGACGAATGATCTTCAGGGATGCGATATCGCTGCTCTGAAGATACTCCAAGGCTGGACCGACGAAGTCCAATATTGCTATAGCACCGCCTATAAATGAACCTTCGTATATGGTATCTGCAACCTGAGCCAGCAATCTTGAAATGTTGGTTAAAACTCTAGGCTCCAACAAAACTTTTTGGTTGGTAGAAATTGTTTGTTCGGCTTGCGACAGAGCATTTCGTTGTAGCCATGATCCGAAGTACACTCTGTGCTCGATAAAACCTGGAGGGATTTTCAGAGACATCGTTGAGTAAGGAAGTTCCTTCCTGTTCAAAAGCTGGTCTATGAAGACAGATAGCACTAGCTGCAGCAATTTTTCAACGGACGGATGCGCTGGTACATCTGGAATTGTATCAGTCTTAGGTTCTACCGTGTGTCTTAGCCGAGCAGGGGAGGGGCTATTTTTATTCCTATCCGAAGAAATCAATACAAACGACGAGCCACGCTGTAGTTTGCCTCTTTCCTCGGATTCGGATTGCTCTACCGAGCTGGTACTTAAAACTGGACGAGAGTTTGAAAGTGGTTGAATCACGATATCATCACTGCCAAATGAGAGGCTTGAATAGTTCGAATTCAGTTCAACACTAGCATTGACTGAATCGGAGCCTACGACGATGGGGAACAAGACCAGAAGAAGCTCGTCCACAAAATTTGATGTCGCGGCAAACTCTCGGAAATTTGAGGACTTATTGTGAAGTCTAGCGAGGAAAAGCAAAACATTGTCTAGTAAGTCTTGTGGACATTCTGCGTCATGTGCTGTAGCGGCAAATAGGTAGGTTAGCTAATATTTTCTAGAGTGATGGAGTCCAATGTTGAAGGCTTAAGGATAGGGTGTTCATCTTACTAACCTGGTTGAGTCTCCGGCCTGTTCCTGTTCCTATTGTCGGAACCACCAAGCCACAAGCCATCATCACTGATATCATAAGTCTCATGGGTATCTGCCTTTAGTACGGACCATTTCAATGCACTTTGAAGCATTCCAGTAATAACTGCAAGTACTTCGGGACAAATAACTTTCTCGCCGGTCGAACGGCTGAGAAGTGCGGAGAATGTAGTTTGGTCAAACTGTTGGTTAATCTCAATATTTTTCACATCTTCGCCAAAAAGAATGGCGAAGCAAAAACGCCACAAAGCAGGCATAGTCCACCAGCGCTTCAGGCAATGACGCAATATCGTGAACCCCCCGGATTTGTCGAATTTTCTTGTATAGGCTGTTCCATGAACAGTAAGAAGTCTTGCTAGGATTTTCATTGCCAGGAGAACTACAACGGGGTCGTCCTCGGATATAAGATAAAGAAGCCACTATGATTTCATTAGCACAAACTTTTCTAGAAAAAAGGGGTTTGGTGCACACCTTATTCGTAACGGTTCGAGCAAACTTTTGTATATTAGCTGTATTATCTGTTGCACAAAATATATCCGCAAAAGCTCTAAGAAGGTCTATGCCTATCTCTTCCTTGGATAAGGAATTAACGGCCCTGCCATAAAACTGATTCGCAACAGCTCGTCGAGGCTGTTTTGCAATACTTGCAGTGCTTTTCTTCTTTTGCAATTTTCCCTGCTCTTTCGGCTTGTGGATAGAAAATGTAATAAAAAGTGCAATAGACCGAAGAACTTCGGCTGTCATAGAGCATTTCGTTAGGCCGATAAACGCGGGCATGAATAATTTCAAACTCTCTGCTGTAAAAGTACCATCTTTTAGGGAGCCTAGCAATTTTTTTATGACACCTATTAGAAGTTAGCGTATCGTAGGCATAGTATGGTTTGAGTCTCTCCTTACGCATGCGAGATAGACGCCGAGAGTTGAACCGATGATGATAGCTTTCGCCACAAAATGTACGAAATTGAGAATAGTAAATTTCGAGAAGGGGCAGGTCACCTAGGCGCCATATGTCTAAATCAACCAAGAGAATGCGGTACGCCAGAGGATTTATAATAGTGGATTTGTCCGGGTTTTCGAAATCGTATCCAACAAACTTCAGAATAAGTAAGAGAAGGTCGATGGCCAGCTCATTCTTATCGCGTGAAGTAGAGCAAACGGGTGTAATTTTCACTGGGCTATTCGCAATGCCTAAGGTGACTCCCAGCTTTTCTTTTAACAGTATGGCAAGAATCCCATATCCATTCTCTTTTTCCATAGCCTCGCTGTTCCGCCAGCTACTTTGTACTGATTCAAATAGAATCTGTACAGCTAGGCGAATATGGTCAGGCGTTGCCGCAGCTTCCACCATGCTAAGATGAACGGCAACACAGCCGCCAATGCGCCAGGAAGAGTCATCCAAAGACTGAGGAACTGATACAATGGGACGCCCGGTAAGGATCGCAACACCTTGAGGTTGCGTTAGAGCATTGTTAATAGCAGGCACAGCACCGTTGATGACCACAGGATTTCCTCCTGCTCTGGCTAAATGATACAAGTGCTTAGCTGCATTCCTCGACAGTGATTTGACGAGCTGAGACTCATCAAGATGGTTATTGTTGGCATTGTCAAAAACAGCAGTGGCAGAAATATTCAATAGAATTGAAGTCTCTGGTATTAAAATACTAGCTTTTTGGCGTATCACGGTCACGATGTCTGAGTACTCTTCTTTACCGGGATGAAGACTCTCGTTTCGTAGATTCAAGGTCGCAGAAGCCCTGTATGTCTGAAACGAGCCCAAGCAGTCTTGGAAATTACCATGGTATCTGGGCCCTAGTTGGCAAAAGACTGAGATTATATCATCTGTGAAGGCGTCTTCGAACAACACAGCTGACGCCAGAGACCATCTAGACGAACATACATCTTTACCAACAGATATTGCAAGGTCTTGAGGGGTTCCTAGGAAGGCTTGAATACGAGGTGATTTCTGGCCTGAGCGGCCAACAGGGGCCTGAGGGTAATCAGATTTCAACTGCTCTACAAGTTCTCCATTTACGAAGAGTAAAGCTCGTGACAACGACACTGCTCTAGGCCGTTTGTGGACGACGCAAATGTGATACCAGACGCCAGGAGAGAAAACGGTGGACTTAAATCGAACGCTCGGACGGCTGCCTTTTATAGATGTTTGAAGGATGAAGTTGCGGGTGTCTTTCTCCAAATACGCAAGGACGAAACACGTCTGACTCGCGTCAAAGACACCAAAGATTGTAGTGTGAGCATTGGGATCAAAGCTATCAAACCGTGCCCAGACAGACAGGGTATATCCTGAAGAGCTGATAGGGGGGAATGATTTTCCAAGGGTAGGTAGTTCAATTGAGGAGAAGCCCTGAGATGATAGATCAAATTGAATAAACGGAGGCCCTTTCGATGAATTCACAGCTTCCAGAAGAAATTTAGCCGCTTCTAAAGAGGTATGAGCACTCCTAAAAAGCTTGGCGACATCCTGGAGGTTTTGAAAGCCCTCAGCACACAACGTAACGGCCAACTCGATGTATAGATCCAATTCTCCTCTATCCCGAGTTGACTGAGAGATTACATCTAGAAGGTATGTTAGTATTCCAGTAGAATGAAGTGCGAGACGATTTCGGGGTGACTGCACGGCAAGGTGCGTAAGACAAGCGGGAACAGCTAGGCGCTGAATCGGGTGCTTGGGCGGGGATGCTGATTGCTTAAGCCAGAGACAAAGCAGGGGTCCAAAGAATTCAGGGTTCTCCACCGTTTCAAGAGACCCAAGAGTGCTACAAACGGCTGCTTTTACAGCAGCGGGGGTAGCTTCTTGATCGTTCTCAAATTTCTTTCTGAGCGAGGTAAAGAACCCAGACACCATGGGATGCCCCAGTCCAGCAGCAAGTAGCCCACCATAGAATTGCTCAATTTCAGTGCCAGTATCTCCAGCACTATCTTCTAGCTTTTCTGAGATGTTTGATAAAGTTTGTTCAAAAGAAACGCTTCCACTTCCGTAAGCTCTTTTTGCAAAGTAGCGTTTATTGCCATGATGGTCCTTCAAACTCTCACCCAGAACGCCAATTATTTCTCCGACAAGGGCTAGAATTCCCCTCCGATGCTGCACATCCAGCGACCCGTGATAAATGACGCGTTCCAGGCGCTCCAGCACTTCGAAGAGCACCTGGAAGCCCTGGAGGTTGCGAAACGCGTCTTTTGCTTCTCTGAGTTGTCCATCGTCAATTAACGCGTGACGGAGGAATAGCACAAGTTCCGTAGCATCCGAAACATCCTGAATGGAGGGCGAGTCGCGTATGCAGCGGGATAAGGTATCGATTGGAGGCCGTAGCTTTGAATGAAGTCGTTCGGTGGAGGAGGGGGATGAAGGTCGCCTCTGACGGAAAAGCGCGCTGCTCATTGTCCGTGCACGTAGCTAGCGAGCGATATGTTCATCCACCACGAGTTTTCAACGTCAAGCATGGCACGGTCATTCCCACAGGAACACAGCTTGCTATGGTTACTGCGGACTGGGATGGTGGTGTGGAGGTGTGGAGCTGAGGGCAGCAGTCGTGGGAAGACAGTTATAGCCGCCCTCTTAATGCCCAAGGGCGGGATTCAGAACAAAGCAGGGCTAAGAGAGAGCGTGATTGACATTGTAGTTACGAAGGGAATGCTCAGCTGTTGTCTGCGCTCTCCTTGAGCTGCGGTTGTGCCTTCTCACGTGCATGCAAGGTTTGGACTTGGAACCCAGCCTCGTCATGGCCCATCTAGTTACTCCATACAACAGGACACACTCTCAGACCGTGTTCTGCGTCAGGTTTCATCTTTCTCTCCACTAGCAGCAAGACCCTCCAAAAGGAAGAGCCGGCTTGAAAGAAAAGGTCAGGATGCTGGGTATTGGGTGTTTATACGGAGTACGGAGCATACTATGTGCATAGCAACTTCATAAGGGAATTAATTACTCACACGATTTGGGGATCTCCAATCGGCTGAGGAATGTCCCCCACGAATGAGAGCGTGCTTTAGAAGATCTATCTCCGACACCAATACAGACACAGATACGGAGTGCGGAGTAGTCGGAAGCATAATCCTACTTTAGACAATAATATCGCCAGCGTAGCTACTCTCCTATATTTTGTGGGTGGAATTACATCGAGCTTGTGTCGGATGCTAGTTCTGGCACGACGAAGCTGCCCCGGCGATTTTAGTCTTAGATGGCGCCTTGCTTGTAGCACAAAGTGTGTTTGGAATTGTCATCTGGCAGTCCAGATGGCCTCAAGAGGCTATCGCCAGACGGTGAGCTGGATTATCAACCAGCCTGATCAGCAGTGTCTCACGGGCTCGGGCGTAAAAAGTAACCAAATAAGAGCCAAGACAAAGGATGCATGCTCCGTCCCGGGTTCCCAGCAAATCCACACCCAGGCTGGTACAATGATCGCACAAATACCACGATCTGAGAGTGATCGCGTGCGACTTGGTGCCTGACAGCTGCCAACCTGGGATGGAAGCGTACTGAGGTACTGGGGCGGTAGGTACGGGGAGCCAGAAGGGGAGCCAGAAACAGTGCTGCAACGCGGACTGCAAGGGCCGCCACCGAGAATCCGGGCCCTCCACAGCGGCCGCCAACACGAGCTGTCGCGCCGGCTGGAAGCTCCGTTGCTTGCTCAGAACTGTTGAGGAGAAGCGCAGACACGGGGCGCCCAATCGGCCCCCGACGCCGCGGGCCGCTAAGCTGGATTGGGGCTAGCGGCGGTTTGAGCAGCAGGCGTCAGCGGCGGGCGGGCCAATCAGCAGCGGCCGGTCGCATGACATAATCGGCCACCTGATGAGGGCTGAGTAACCCGCGCTGGTTGCATCATCCTCGCTGCTCCCCCGGGCAACCTCTCTCCTCACCTCCTCGCCTCCTCTTCCTCTTCTTCCTTCAGCTGCCTCGCCCGCCTTCCTCCCGTCCACCCACTCCTGCTCTCTCGCCTTCCAGCTTCCCTCGTATGGTCTGCTGTCCAGCAGTCTTTTGATTCTCAAATTTACGCTCCTCTCACCGTTGACGATGAAGGGCGCTCTCTCCCTCTCGTTGTTGCCGCTGCTCGCGGCAGCATCTCCCATCGCCATGGTGGACACCATCCACAAGGATGCCGCTCCAATTCTCTCATCTACGAACTCCAAGGAAGTCCCAGATTCGTATATAATCGTCTTCAAGAAGAACGTTTCCCCCTCTTCCGCTGCTGCTCATCACCTCTGGGTCCAAGACCTGCACACGACCACGATGGCCAAGCGATCGCTTCGCAAACGCAACCAATTTCCCTTCAAAAACGATGTTTTTGATGGCTTAAAACACACATATGACATTGCTGGGGCACTGCTAGGCTACTCAGGCCAGTTCGACGAGGAGGTTATCGAGCAAGTCCGGAGACATCCAGACGTGAGTTAGCTTATCTCCGAAGCCGGCCTCACCCGTCACCCACCTGCTGACTCATACTCTTGTAGGTTCAATACATCGAGAAAGACTCTGAGGTCCATGCTTTAGAAGAGCCAGTTACCCAAGCTAATGCTCCATGGGGTTTGGCTCGAGTTTCCCACCGCGACAGCCTGAGCTTTGGTACCTTCAACAAGTATCTATATGCCGCACATGGTGGCGAAGGTGTCGATGTTTACGTCATTGATACCGGTACCAACACTGAGCATGTCGACTTTGAAGGCCGTGCACACTGGGGAAAAACTATACCCGCCGGCGATGAAGACGTCGATGGCAATGGCCACGGAACTCATTGCTCTGGCACAGTTGCCGGTAAGAAGTATGGCGTTGCAAAAAAGGCCAACGTCTACGCCGTTAAAGTGCTCAGATCGAACGGATCGGGTACTATGTCTGATGTCGTAAAGGGAGTTGAATGGGCTGCCACCAGCCATGCTGAAAATGTGTCCGCCGCTAAAGCCGGTAAAGGCAAGAAAGGCTTCAAGGGAAGTGCTGCTAACATGAGCTTGGGAGGTGGAAAGTCTGTAACTCTCGACATGGCCGTCAACGCTGCCGTCGACGCTGGTATTCACTTCGCCGTGGCTGCCGGAAACGACAACGCTGATTCCTGCAATTACTCTCCTGCCGCTGCTGAGAACGCTGTCACTGTCGGCGCATCAACGCTTGCTGATGAGCGTGCCTACTTCTCTAACTACGGAAAGTGCAACGATATCTTTGCTCCAGGTCTGAATATCCTCTCCACTTGGATTGGCAGCAAATACGCCGTCAACACCATTTCCGGAACTTCTATGGCTTCTCCTCACGTCGCCGGTCTCTTGGCCTACTTCCTCTCTCTTCAACCTGAGAAGGATTCCGCTTTCGCCGTTGAGGAAATCACGCCTTCCAAGATGAAGAAGAACATGATCTCTATTGGAACTAAGAACGCTCTTAGCGATATTCCAACTAACACTGCTAATGTAAGCCTTACTTTTGCATTTTCCCATTATGTTCACGTCTAATCTTTTTGCCCAGATTCTCGCCTGGAACGGTGGTGGTTCATCCAACTACACAGAGATTGTTCAAGAGGGTGGCTATGAAGCCCATACTCTTAGCGACAAGGCTGCTGATTTAGTTGAGAAGATCGAGAAGTTTGAGGAATACGCCACCAAGGAACTTGGAGCCATCTACAGCGAAATCAAAGATGCTTTTGCCATCTAAATATGTGTGACGCCAATTAATAGCTTCCATAGTCTTGGTGCAGTCGACTTGGATGGCATATCGATCCCAGGCGCGGCCCTCCATGTTACGGTATAGCTACTCTCTCCCGAATTTGATTTTTCTCTCTTGGCTCTTTCTTGTTACCGTTTGGCGTCCGACCTATCGTTACTTTTCTTGTTTCCTATATACGTTTTTAAGTGTGGCACACCCTCTGTTGATCTAGAATAACGTCCTACTACATCTTTTGTCATGGTACTGTGCAGTTTTGGTTAGGATGGATAGAGCATGCGTGGATAGACGCTGTCTTGACTGCATTCCAATAATGTTCCTTCGAGGATTCTCTAGCATCTTTCCAGAACATGTGGCTCATTTCCATTTCTATTGCCGTATCATCTATAGTGCGAATGTGTCCATCTACAAGCTCTGAGTAGTAAATAGGGAAAACCCCGTGCAGTCTGGCTTCTAACACGAGTTGAAAGTCTTATCAATAGACTGGGGAAGTTACTCATTTCTTCGCCACGCGATCATCATCCTCATCGTCACACCCACTTCCGCTGCTCAACCTCAACGAAAGGTCCGATTCGCCATCTCCTGCCCCCTCTGTCTCACTCCTGTCACTCTCCTCTTCCTCTGTACTACTATCCCTTCCCAGCCCCGCATTCTCGTGCATGCTATGTCGTGCCAGCTCCTCGTGACTCTTCCCTACCACCGCCGGCCTCCGTCTCCGCTCAAAATCTTCCGCGTGCGCATTTGCCAGCATCGTACCAACCCGCGCCAGCGTGCCGCTTGGGATCGTCGGAGTCTCCGGGCGGTGAGAACTGCGACGACGCCGGACGGTGCTAGGCGTAGCTTCTGCGGCAGTATGTTCGACGTCGACGCTGGTACTTTGGTGTGAAGGGGCGAGATGGACGATGGGAAGGGGTCGAACCTCTGGCTGAGGAGACGGGTGCTCGCCGGGTTGATTTTCATCAGTGGAGGACTCGCTAGGTAGATCGTATGGTAGAGGCACGTCTCTAAACGCTCGAAATCTGCCCACGTTGGTGCAATGCTCGTTTTCGACTCGGAAGATAGACCAAATTCCTCTCCGGAAGACTTCGGATAGAGACACGAGAAAGCTGAGGATTGCGGAATGTTGCAAGTCATGAATAAAAATGGCGTAGAAAATCCAGTTGAACCGGAGAATAGGATCGATAATCATTGCTGCGTAATAAATCCATCGTCTCCTGAAACCGAGAAAATCTCGTAGGTATGGATGCTTTGAGAACGGATTCCCAAGACTCCAGTCCATGGCAACATCCCAGACAGAGGTGTAAATTGCATTAATAAGGGCAAAAGATATGAAAAGAGCATGTAAACTTTCAACCCTCTTGATGCGGTATAGACTGAGGGTCATATAGTAGAGAATGGAGCAACTATATTTCCCAAAATTGACAACATGCGGGAATAGATTGTTCGTATCTCGATAACGGCGAAGGCACTGGAGTGCACGCCATATTGATGGGAGTGTGGTAAGAAACCCCATTGCACGAGAACGGGAAGAGTTGCAGTGAGCAGGGTCCAACCAATTAGATCCGTATAGGCAAAAAAAGAGGGAAAGATTCTATTAAACGATTAGCTTCACTCAACAATATATAAAGTAAGAGAAACGTACGCCCATGGCATATGTCTGAGAGCAATACATATCTCCCAGAAAGAAATCTCGAAACTCCACTGGATACAGGCCAGCCAGCAGCAGTCTCCACTATATTTACATTCATTAGTTTTGCTCCACAAAATGCGGGTAGTTAGTGCACTGACGTTGGAATAGGCGAACCATTTCCGGCTTCTATGGTAGAGAATACGTGCGGGTAAAAATAGAATAAGAACAGTTAACCCGATTAAAACGACGGGCCAGTAAATATACATATCGTTTATCCAGCGAAAATTAAGCCAGATAGTCAGACCTAGCAAAAAGACAAAGAAACAAGGAATCTACTATCATTAGCCAACGTATCGAGCGCTATTGCTTTTGTGGGAACAAGATGTAAGGGCATACATACCTCCACAAGTTGACGCCAATCCAGAACATGCCGGGTATCGTATTCGAAAACAAAGACATAATTAATTTTAGACAGTGTCCAGATCCTGCAGTTTAGACAGAAAAAGAGAAAATGTATTAAAATTAGAGAATAGCCGCCATATATCTGTTCTTGATATCAGTATGAAACGAATTCTGGAGGGGCGTTGTAGGAAGTTACTTCATACCTGAAGTAAATATCCCGTTTGAACACGTAGAGCTCCGCTACTATTGTTGCCATGATTGAATAGATGTTGGACAGCATATACAAGCCCTTGAATACCAAGCACAAGGCCAGCAGCGAACAGTAACCCGTTCCTAAAGGAATTAGAAGAATAGTCTTGCGATCTCGTCGCCTTGCCACGGAGCTTAGTGACAGCAACTTTTCGATTGCCACGCTCGAAATATCTCGTATATAAGTCTTCAACTGCTACAAGATGATTTTCCACAAGATCACTCTGCACGAACCAAGCTTTATTGACTTTTTCGGCAATATATCTCCCGGTAGGCCGAGCGTTTGTAGCCTTGTCATACTTTTTATTAATTTTTCGAAAGGCCTTCCGATTTAGGTAAGCATAAGCTTTTAATAGCTCCAGTCCACGGTAATACTCAAGGATTGCAACCTTCAGCTTTCGCTTTGCAGATCGGTAAGGAACATCATGCTCCTTTTTACGTACAAAGTCTCGATATTCCTCGGTGTCATGGGAGCGGTGTAAAGTAGACCCTGGTGTTGGAAGCTCTTCCAGCTCTTTTGACAGTTTATTTAGGTCAGATGAAGGGTCAGTCTTCTTGAGAGCTCCTTTCCATTTTGCAGCGCTTGGACCAGTTTCAAGGGTTGACATGGTATTTGAATTCGGCAGCCGTTCTCCCTGAATCCGTGACCGGGCCTTACTTCTTAACTGCTCAATCCTGGAGTCACGCATTACATGTAGCTGTTCCTTGAGAAGTTTCAATCTTTCAGTTGACTCCTCCTCCTTCATCCGATAAAAAGCTTCGATTTTCGCTAGTTCCTTATCAAGAAAGGAGAAAAATTCATTTTCTCTGTGTCTCACCTCTATGAACGCTTCAGCAGGAGGTTTTGTGGCTGGGGAATCATGTGGTAGCCTAGAGACAAACATCCGCTGCAGAAATGAATTTTTACGAACGGGCCGAGGAGCAGGAACAGAGTCACTCCTGGATCTGAAAGGATTCCTGGGTCCTGGTAGTATAGAATGCGGCAGGCTTCTACGATTTTGAGCTCGTGGGGGCTTGGATTGTGCACTTGACTGCGGCGAATGCGATTGAAACATTTGGGAGTGGGGGGGAAAGTTTGTGTCGTTGGGGTCCAGAGCTGGATCCGGGAGTTCCAAGGATGGAAGCGTAGCGGAACGAGAGTGAGCAGATATAATACTGCCATAGCCACCAGTATGGTCCGCAAACCGCGAACCCGGTGTCCTGAGAGGTTGTGTCTCAGGAAACGACGTCTCCTGGGGTCGAACGTCTGTAGGGCTGCGTTCGCCATCTAGAGTTTCAGGCTCCCGTCTGCTCCGTGAAGGAGCTTTCGACCTCATCCTGCGAAATGATCCGAGGTGACGAAAGGGAGGGCGTGTAGACTGAGGCGTTCCATCGCTCCCTGAAAGGCCAAAGGCACGGCGACTGGGAGTACGCGGCGCCTGGTCAATCGCTCGCAGGGCGCGAGTTATGGCCTTGATCTTCTTCTTCCCTTGCTTTACGAATAATGAATTAGCTTAAAATGCCCACAGAGTAAGAAGAAGAGCCCCTTGCCTTGTAATTGAGATACTTGGCTCGCCATTCAGGGACCAATTCCTGTTCTAAATCCCTAATAAAAAAGCTATCAGCAATATCCTTGACAAACAGTGCCGAGACAAAGCATACTTTGCAAATTTCATCTTGGAAGGCAGTTATCAGCATGATCAACCGTTTGGCGTTGCTGCGGGTTCTGGCTGTAACAGGAGAGTGGTCGGCTGTTTTTGAACGGGAGGCTGGGGCCAGCACGGGACATGTCAATAGCGGATCTCAACGGCACAGCGACGGACAGCTGCAACGTTGCGACGGGCGCTTATCCGCACTGCTGTCTCCGGTTGTCTCGAGTATCTCTTTTTCGCGATCAATCAACGCTGGTTTTTCTTTTTCTCAACCCACGTGTTGGAGCCGCAACAGGCTGGCCAGGCTTGGCGTGCGTAATCCCGCTGCTTATGTCAGCACCCGCCTGGGCCTGGATTTCGCGACTTCGACGTCGGGGATGAAGGGCTTGATATCTTGAGATTCGCTCGACCTGCTCTCGCCTGCACTGTGCTCCCCTTGTCGCGTGGGCCCAACTGCACAGGGGCTAATTTCCGTCTCGACCACAACGCCCTGCAATTTGCCGGCTTCCGACCTGCAGGAAACATGCGTGCCTGTCAAAGTTTCCCCAACAACGAATCGCGGCAACAAACCATTATTGTTGGCTTGTTCACTAGACCACAAACACGACGGGGCACCAATCGCCATCGCGACCGGGCCGGATGTGTAGTGTTGTCTCGGGATGATCGGCGCTTGCCCCGTTGCCAGGGCCCGGTGATTGGGTTGTGTGCAAGATAAACGTATTTGATCCGAGTGGCCAGTGGTACGGAGTACCGGTTGTTTGGAGAACAAAGGTTTACGTCGTCGATATGATGGTGCCACGAGATGGCAGCCATGCACATAATATGGTTGTTTACAGGGTCCCCACAGGTCCCGGATGCTTCTCTAGAAGTTATCACGAGCTGTGTATGAAGTGGGGTGTGCAGATCTCATATCAGTGTGCATAACTAGTCAGTTAACTAGGATTCTTCGACCACTGTTAAGAACCGAAAGCTAAGGGTTGCACTGTTAAAACAACAACCATCAGACTGGATGCGCCCGCTACCAACGATGACTTGTTTTACCGGCAGGTCCCTTCCAGTGACGACGCCAACAAACCGCGTTCTAACAATCAAAGCCTCGGTGCCACCTCAACAATTGCAAACGAAAAAAAAAAAAAAAAAAACAAAGAATAAGATTGTGGATCTGCCTGCCATCCCTCAAATCTTCAACTTCCCACCTTTCATTACTCTCTCAATCACCCCCAATCACCCTCAACCAGCACTAGCATCCTCCTGATCCTCCACAGCATTGCAGAAAATATCAGTACCTATTTCTCCTTCACTTCCATCCTCTCCCTCCCATAACCTGCATTTATAATCAAACACCCAGTCTATTTCCATTCTCACCCTCATTATACGTACCACTGGAGTGATTGCCTCGGATTCCAGGGTTCCATTATCAATTGCAACCCCAGCTTCACACTTACCAATGAGCTCCTCATGGACCAGATTATAATGAAGGTACTCATCAAAACACCCAGGTACGGCTTCCACAATATTATCATATATGGCTACGGGCAGGCGTGACAGTCGGGCTATACACTTAAATTAGTCTGAGGCAGAACAGTGCCAGGAGATTGGTGGAGTGGTAGCTCTGGGAGAAGTGGTGTCTCTCTCTGTAGTTAAGGACGATGGGGAGGGCAAATAAACAACTCCTGTGTTGCTGGTTAGAGGAAGAGGCAAGCAGATCACGAAGAATGGCATCGCCCGTACGAGAAGCCCGTTTAAGTCATGAACCTAGTCAGGTGGAAAGCCATATAGGCAGTACACCTAGCTATATTGGGGAGCTGTTGCATAATTTACAACTCTTTTGGAGAAGACTTTGTAACGAGAATAGCTTGGCGGATCATGGTCCTTGAAAGAGTCTCGTGAATCATGCATATTATTAGGATACATTGTCTATTTGACATTATCCAATGCTTCTTGTGCCCTTTTCAGCTCATTCCTCGTTTCTGTATCAGCAACTGGCTCTGCCAAGCGTCCACCCTCGTTTAACAAGACGTGCATTGCGCCTTCGGTGTCCTTCAGAGCCCGGCGTCCATCCTCTCGAACTTCGCTCTCCCAATAACTGCGTGCCGCATCCCATTTCTTCTGCTGCCTTCGGAGCGAATAGATAAGTCCAATCGCTGCAACAGTACCTGCTTCATACAGAGAGGTGGCGGATGTCGCCATATATGTTAGAATCGATAACGCGGATGTTAATGTAGTGGTCGACACGCTATACAGCACCAAGCCTTGCGCTAGAGCGTGAAGTGACGGCACTTTTGTGTGAAGAAGTTGGTTTCTGATTTGTGGAATCGCGGTAGGCCATTGTGTTACTGACTTGGGTTGAGAGCTAGTATCCCCCTCCAACATTTCATTGGCAACCGGGTTTCCGCGTGAATCACTTTTGCTCAGTAAACCAGCTTGGTGAAATCTTCCTCCAAGCCATGTGGCATTTCTCTCAGCCTGAGGCAGCCATTGCTTGTTGAGAATACTGGCGCTCAACATTCCCACATCATCGACCCGCCAGAATAGCTTCCACCATGCCAGGTCGCGCCATTTGTAGTGAGAAAATGCTTCGTCAAGTGATTCACGAAGCTCCGTGTGCGAACTTTCAGCCCATGATAAAACCTCTGTACTCAGCTCTTCTCGAATGGCATCCGGTACCGATTCTGTGTTATATTTTTCCAAAGCAGCTTCTTCAGTCTCTTTTATTCGTATATCTGTATCTTCAAGGACAGAACTTGTAAGCGTCCGTAGTTCCTGGCGTAGACAGGAGCCCTGTGGTTCAATTGCGATCCAATCGAGCAGTTTCTGGGCACCACTACCTGACCACCCGCGTTCGTACTCGGTGGCATTCTGAACAGATTCTCGAAATCTATTTAGGGCTAGTTCCGCCCGTTCTATGTTTATAAAAGAAAATAGCTTACTGCTCGTCTTCGGTTGGGGTTCCGCTTTCAAGTCAAATGCTGCTAGAGTAACGGGCGAAATATCCTGCCCATTTGAACTCTTTGCCATTTCTGTATACATTAATAAATCATCGACCCCGTTTCCACAGACTATAGTTTTATGTACTGGGAATTCGAGTGTCGTGCGATTCTCTGTGCCAGATGCGCCAATGGATATTACCGGCACCTCCAGGGCGCGGCGGATGTCTTCGTGTTGAGAGTGAGCTGCACCAGTAGATATCGACGATATTAAAATTTCTATGTTGTGGTTTCCTAATATTATCGAGGGAATTGAAATCGTCGGCAAGGAACTATCTGTTAACGGGGTTTCCGAGGGCTCTCCATAACTATAGTTAAGTTAGGCTTATAAACCGTAAAGCTGCAAAGTATATGCCTACCGTATTATCAGCCCTTGCGAATGATGCTGCGGGTGGCTATCCAATTGCTCTTCCCATTCTGCTCTCGGACTAAGTGGATCGGACAATAGCAAACGAACGAGTCGGACGGCCGTAGCTGTATTATTCAAACCCAGCACTACCCCCCTCGTAGGAGCCCTTAGTCCATGTTGAGCGAGTCTTCCATATAGAATTTAACGTACCAGCAATCCTGACAACAGGCCTCTCGCTCTCTAATCCCCTCAACACCAAGTCCAATCGCGCCGGATGAACGTGTCCCGCCGCAGCATCGCGCACGCCACGGAGAGCCTGGTACAATTCTTTAAAGCGGTCCGGAACGAATTCGTTTCTATATCGTGCGAGACAAGCGACATTTGTAGAGGTATACCGTCGGTGTGAGCTAATTGTTCTTCGGCGAGGAGAGCGCGCGGCCACAGCGCGGAGGGAGAGCGAGCGCTGGCAACGGAAACATATAGGATAAGCAATATCGAATAGGCTTACAGGCTTTACAAAAAGCCCACCCCAAAGTTTTGGGGTCATTGAGCCTGATGAAAGCCTGATAATTTGCGATTGTTGATCCAGCTTGCGGGCATTGAGCTGCGAAATTTGGATGATGCTGCCAGGCTTGGCGTGGCCTAGTTAAACCCACACGGATACATAAATCCAGCTAGATAGAGGCAGGGCCGTAAAGCGCATTACTATTCATGGTTCGTAGCTAATTCAAATCTTGAGGAACTACAGAAACCGATTCTGCGCATTGAAGACAGAACCAGGATCCAACTCTATACAAATGAAAGCCCACAAAGGGGGCAGCAAGGGCTCAAGATGTGTATCTGAAAACTCATCCATTCGTCGTCAGTGAACTCCTTCATGAGTAATCCACCCAAAGATTCCATTGATTTAATTTTCCTTATTTCCCTAATCAAGCCGTCACGAGATCGGATACCGCGGAGGCCGGCTGGAGTGGACGGGGGAGATGGCATTAGAACATACATCTCTCCTGCCCAGACATGGCTGCTCGGCACGAAGACAAGCCGCGTGCTCATTTCTATGTTTCTTTTCTGCGGGGCCTACCAGAACCAGAGGACCTGGGCATCATTTAGCTCATGTAACGAATAAGGGGTGCAAAATGGCAACTTACATGCTGATTCTCCGAGCTACAGTAGCAAGCGTAGTATCGTTTTCCGCTTCTTGGGCGGCACGTTCTAGTGCTTGTCGCCGATCTTCTTCCGCTTTCTTCACCACTTCTTCTTGGGAAGGTGGCAGGCGCTCATTCTGCAGGTCGACTTTGCGAGCATCCTCGAAATTATGGATCGCTTGTTTGATTCCCTCGGCACCCAGCATTAGCGTTCCTGCGGGCAGACGGCCTCCGGATGCAGTCTTCAACTCAGTCACACGTTCGGATTCCTCACGCAAAACTTGGAATACGCGAGACAGGCGACCAATGGCAAGAATTTTGTTTTTGATGGCGCGCCGTTTGAACTCGGCAGTTTCTGTATCCATTGGGAGAGGCGGAGAGGCGGGCGCAGAAAAGGATGAAGGTTCATCCTCCAGTTCTTCTTTCGAGCAAGTATTCAAGATCGCAATCAGCATATCGGTAATCTTTTCACCAACAAACGGAAGAGACCAGGTGAACACATCCATAAAATTCGGGAGCCAATATGGATGAGGTGTGCAATTAAATTGTCGGATATTCATCACGTTATTTTCGTATTTCAGAACCGCAGCTTTATTGCTATAAACGTCCAGATAGTTAGGAGCACTAAAGATTGTCATAACGCTAGGGAAACCGGTCGTTCGAGTTTTTCTGTACATTCTATAACCAGCATCCTGGGCTTCGTGTGCTCGAATGATGGAAAGGAGGTTGTTTTTCTCTAAAAATGCGCAGGCTGCGGGATACGAGAAGAAATAAGAACACCCTCGCACGTTATTGTGTATGAAATATTCTCCGGTCTTTTCTGAGCCAAATTCTTCGAGAGGGTCGGCCCAGAGAATGTCACACATTAACCCATGAGTGGGGGGTTCCCTAAAGCGATCAATCTTTCCACAATTAGTACATTGAAGTATAAAGGGACCTCATAAGACTTACAGATTTGATATCTTCCAAAGTGTGCAATTCGGGGCTCAGGCCACCGTGGATGCAAAGAAACTGCTTGTTCATAATTGCGGCTAATGGCAGAGAGCAGAAAGACTCCATACAAGCATCATACACCCTCTCTGAATATTTGTGTTTGCATTCCAACTTGAATGTGAAATAATCTGTGAGGTGGCGACACTCATGGTTTCCGCGCAATAGCCATAAGGAATTCGGATACCATATCTTCAGAGACCATAGGTATAACACACACTAGCTAGGTTGTCAGAAAACCAAAAAGCGAGCTTTAAAGTCCGTTGCATACCTCAATGCTGAAATAGCCCCTGTCAACGTAGTCACCAAGAAATAGATATCTAGTCTCTGCTGGGTCACCCCCCACTTCAAATAATTTCATCAAATCGTAGTATTGTCCGTGGACATCACCACATACAGTGATGGGAGCGTCCATTTCTAGTAAGTTTGGCTCGGCACGCAGCAACTCGGTTCCGGCTTGAATGATCCATAGGGCTTGGTCTTCCGTCAGTCGTCCTTCGCGATAAAAATGCTGTTTAAGAAATTGCAAATTTGGTTTCGATGGGTCATCTAGTGACCAAAACTGTTCATTTGTTGGGGTTTGGAAGGCGGGAGCCTGCACCTCTGTCATCGTCATAGGTTAGCAAGGGGAAAAGGGAGGGCGGGCGCAAAAATACCTTTGCAGACTCTTTCTAAAGTAGATACCTGAGTACCATCTTCCATTGTATGTAGAGTGAAATCAATCTCAGGAACAGGTTTCTTGTCCGTCACTGCGCGGACAATCTTAGAGTCGTTCATGGCTGGTCAAATTGCACCGTTCACGCTGTTTGATATGCGACAGAAGGCCACAAGGCGAAGGAAGCGCGGTCACGACCGAAAAGAGAACTGATATATGCAAGAAATGAGGGGCACCAGGTTGTTTCGCAATGATTCCTTTTCCTACACCTATATGCGTGCTGAAGTCGTTCGATAAGGTCGGGGGTCACGAGACAGTGTAGCAACAACAAGTATCAACGAGAAAGCAGCAACCTGATTCCAGCCTGGCTACAAGGTCGTGATCAGCTGCTGCGACATCAAGATTTGGCGAGACCGTAATCGTGGAGGCAGGGATGGTTATTGGTTGCTGGCAATGGGGGTCGTGGTGGGAGCGGAGAGGAGCCGTGCGATGTGAGAGTCCAACAGGTCACATAGGTGGTCAGTGAACGATGAGTCGCCAATGTCGTCTTCAATTCCCAGAACACAGACCAACTCTGGCAGCGTGGATTGACACTGGAGAAACGGGGGGTTGACGCGTGCAGATCTTAGCGGTTTTGACGACGAGCGGCGGCTGCCCGCTCCTGAAGAGGATCTGGCGCCTGCTTAGGGCGGCACTGGCCGGTTGGGCGTCCAGACTGCCAAGCTGCTCCGCCTGAATCCGCCTTGGATGGCAGCACCACCAGCAGAAATAACACAAGCGAGTAGGAGTGCTGCCGCTGCAGACAGCCTACGCGCCAGAGGCCCGGCCGGCTGGTCACCATGTATGACTCTCACAGTAAGCCCGCACCCGCCCCGCCCGTTCGCCAGAGCACGAGACTCACTCTCCACCGCAGAACCGCATCCGCTGCTAGCTCAGATCCCGCTTACAGTTTCCCCATTCATCTCCTTGCCAACAGCCACGACGCTCCCGTACACCTACAAGTCCGTCTCGACTACACTCCCGCCCTCTGTTTTGGCCGATGGCAGCGGGGCCGAGAAAGCTCGTTATGTTGTTTCTTCCGGCGGCCACGCTGCTCACCCAGACGAGATCATTGCCTCGTGCCAAGCGCTTGAAGACCACATGAAGCGGTTGAAAGCTGAAGGTGAGGCTGCGCTGCGGAAGTGGGAGGCGTCTTGCAAGGCGAGAGAACTGGCCGAGAAGCGACGGGTTGCTCCAGGCTGGCTGGACCGGGAGGAGAAGCTCCTTCAGCCGACTCATTCGTTCATAGGCCCTAGATCGCCGGATGGAGTAAATATTCTGGAAAACCAACTGGCGGAGGAAAGTAAAAGAGTTACCGCGTCCCCCATGGTACCTAAGAATGAGGGAGAAGAGCTCGATCGTGCGTTTGGCGAACTTGGATTGAAATGATACAAATACCCCACCCCTACAGTGGCTATACACATCACGAGAACACAGGAACGAGCCTTTCGATCTCAGGCCGGTGGTTCAACAGCCATCAGTGTGAGCGGCCCTGTTTTGAAGTCCTTGATCATACCTTTCTGTTTCGAAACTTCATCAAATGCTGATGGGAGTTATACTGGAATGCTGGATGTGCATTCTACCAAACGAGGAATATATTATATATTGACATCCATGTCTCTCATGGAAATGAAATTGCTCTAGGTTGATACCTCTTGGAGAGGAACTTTATATCGGGATCAGGGTTATGAAAGCTACGGCTATAGTGCCTGGGGAATCTCTATTCCGTAAACATAATGTACTGCGGTAGATACCAAATCGAATTGACGACCTGATAATGTAGGTTGTGAATGTTTCTGTACCTGTAGAATCTAGAATTTTCCTGTGTTGTGGTTGATAGTATTTCTTGCTCCTTGCTGCTTTTGTGCCTTTTCTGGTGCAATCCTCTCTTCTGTCATCATCCCCTCACTCACCCCACAACACGCAGGCAAAAAAGTGAACGAAGCCCCAAGACTCAGCGAATTACATATCAATTTACGAAGATCAAGCACATTGGGTACCGAACGCGAGAATGGAAGTCTTCCACGATGCGCCAAATCCCTCATCTTTTGTCCCGCTCGCTGAGCATCAATCGCGCACGCCCGCGTCGTTCTATTCCGGTCCTCCAATTCTTCACCACCTCAGCGAAAGATGCAAAGTCATCATCCTGGAAGCAGAACTGGTTAGCACGCCTGCGTTGAGCGGTCTGAGGCCCTCCAACGTTGAGCATGGAGTCAACGGTAGTTCATCTGCTGAAGGACCTCAAAGCCCGCGCCAGGAGATCGCGATAGACGGCGTGGATGTTTGGGTTACAGCTGAGTATGATACAAACTGAGAATACAGCTGAAGAGATCTATAGTGTAGCTAATTGTCTCGCTTGAGATAGGAAGCTGCTGCTCTACAATCCAGCTGCTGCCACAGGTGTCGCGATCCCTTACCCAACTATCTCCCTTCACGCGATCCAGCGTCTCAAGGTACCCGGATCATCGGATGCCACGGACGTGCAGGGTCTATATATGCAACTCTCCACTGGGAGCGGCGCTGATAGCATGGAAGAAGATTTGGAGGAAGACGCTGTTTCGTTGACCATTGTACCCCAAAGCCTACAATCAGAGGCTAAGGGAGAGGCCGACGATGAGTCCCTGCCTATGGAAGACAAAGCTACTGACAGCCCAACTGAGCTCTTGTTCGCAGCTCTCTCGGCTTGCTCCAACCTCCATCCGGACTGCGCCGCTGGCAATGAAGAGGTGAACGATGAACCACAAATCGGAAACAGTATACTATTTCAGAATGGGTTGGTGATGCCAGGCGACAACACCGGCGGGCTTCCTCCGGCTATGCCTGGAAGTGGGGGGTGGATTACAGCAGAGAATATGCATGAGTATTTTGACGAAGAAGGCAATTGGATCGGTGGCGATCAGGGGCCTCTAGGCCCAGGTGCTGGTTCTATCCGACCCAGAGAGGAAGGGAATGGAACAGACGGCGGAGACAACGGTGGGACAGAAGAAACGAAGTGGCGAAGAACCGAAGATTCATGAAGTCCTCAAGTGTCGAGGTATACTTCGTCTAAAAGCAATGTTTTGTCGATATATCCATGTACGTTTAGCATATTCAGAAACCACAACACATGAGTTTTCTTAACCTTCTTGTCGATAATCACGCCAGCCGGCCCACCCTCCCAGTATGAGACGTGATGTTTATGATTCGTCGCAAGCTGGAAATGGTTTCAGGCAATATGGCTTAGGCATCGCAACGCTAGGGTGGCATCCTTCATCAGGCGGGGCTCCGCCTTTCCCATGGATGAAAACTATGGTGATCCTGGTTGCCGGCACACCCGTTGTTGCGGGCGAACACAGGCGCGGACCTGCCAACGGGGTTCTAGGACGTTTGCGCTGAAACGCCCGCAGTCGCATTTCTACTAACAGCGTAGTGCTCGTCAATGCGCCGGGAGAGAAAGACAGACACACGCTGGATGAGGAATGCCCTCGAACAGCTGCAAACACGAAGGGCATGGATGCAGACTGTCTCTCAACCTAAATAGTTGGCTAACTAACTAACACGCGTTGCCACATCGAATGCTGGCATGTGTTTCTCTGGCATCGTGGAAATCAACGACGTGATACCTGGTCGGATAAATTAATATTCCTCTAAATAATGTCCGTTTAGCGGCGCGTTCGAGAAAGTCTGTGCTTCATAGTGAGACGATATTTGAGCACTTCCATTTCCCAATAATAATAATAATAATAATAATCATCCAAACCAGAAGTCCAACCCCTAACATTAAGAGGATCTCCAATGGTCTGGAAACCGTTTCCTTTTTGCCTTTTTTCAAACGCCCCACGGCCAGCGGCAGGCCCCGGTAGACCGACCTGCGATCCTTCACGACAGCTGGAAACGCCCGCGTTTTCACGTCGTTGGGCAGTTTGAGGCGATAACTACATCGAACTAGTCATATTCCATGCGATTTCGCATGTGCCCAGCGCGTGGGCTGAGTCGGCTGTTTTCGAAGTACTTCCAAGGATTGTGGCAGTCCTTCCTGGAGGGTGACAGTCGAATATCATATTTTTGTTTGCCTGTCCTGTTTCTTGGGCTTCCTTTTCACTCGTCCTCATTATTTGCTTGCTTTGGCCAACATCCCCTGCCTGCTCTTGGCTCTAGGTCTTTTTGCTCTGGAACCAAGCTGATCATCGCAATCTTCGGCGCCCTTAACTCCCTCGTTTCTTGATTCTGGCGAAACAGACTAGTTGAGTTTGGCCACACCGATGCCTCCCCCATGCACACCACTACTGCTTGTTAGTTCGGATATTGTTTGTTGTTGTTGTTGTTGTTGCCATAAATGCTCCGTATGGGCTTGAGTATCCATTCTTCTCCAGTGAACTATGTTACCAATTAGCCGGCACCATCCAATAAAAGGAGACTGTCGTTGCGGGGAGCGGAGGGTCGTCGCCCACCAAACTGACCCCTGACGGGTCGCATGATGTTTTGTGTTGCCAGCCTGGTGGTGGCACTGACATTCCGGATGTGAAATACGGAGTACGAATGGATCTGGCAGGGTTCACAATGCTCCCATAATGCGGGCTCCTCTTGATCCCAGCGCCGTTCCCCAAAGGCCAGACGCCGTCAAAGCTATCGGAACGAAACACGGACCATCTTACACTTCGGTATTCTAGCCCTTTTCGGTGCTATGACTCCGTACATACTAAATAATAGGGTATCTATGAGGAACAGGGATGAAAACGCTGCCCATGTTTCTTCGGCTCTTCACATGCCTCCAGGATCTGCTATACCTCTATTAGCTGCTTTATTTTATGGTTGTTTTTGAGTCAGTAGTTGAGTGATTTGCAAAAATAATTTTCTCGTGAAAGTACCCTTTCCCCGGGTTTGGACCGGACTACGGCCTATGGAGTGAGTTCTACCCCACGGGGAAGTTCTCATAGGCTCGAAGTGAACCAAGGCTTGTCCGTCACAAGAAGACCGGGGAAATATACTACGCTTTGCATCGTTGGCCTCGGCATACCCGTCAAAACATGCAAATCAGAACCTCCAAGATAGGCAGATGAAGAACCTGAGGCGGGGGAGGATCGCCAGGATGTGACGGTGGCGTTGAGGTTTCTAGCCAACCGCCCAGACCCGTTATGCACCAAGAGAAGCTTGGGCTGCCTTTATTTAAATCCGCTGAGCTTGCCCATGGGGATATAGATCTCCCAACGAATATTTCCCTCTCACGGGCCCTTCCCCACACTCTCCCACACTCTTTTCCCAATCATGGCTTTCCGTGCGGCATGGCTCGTTGCTCTCTTCCTCTTTGCATTACTTGCGCAGGCTATCCCTGCTCCCCTCGAGGCGCGTCAGGCCGCGGTGCTTCCTGAGAACGATGCCTTCTACGTGCCCCCGGAAGGTTACGAAAAGGAGGCTCCCGGAACCATCCTCCGATCTCGCAAAGTTCCTCAGCCAATTGCCGCATTCGGTGCCTTCAAGATCAATTTTAATGGCACATATCAACTGCTGTACCGATCAAACGACAATTCTGGCCAGCCAACAGCCACAGTTACGACTGTGCTTGTTCCTCACGGAGCTGATCTCACCAAGGTCTTGTCATATCAGGTCGCCGAAGATGCTGCATCCATCAACTGCGCCCCATCCTATGCCCTCCAGCTCAGTTCTGACACTGGCGGCCTTGGAGGCACGATTGTTACTCAAATGGAACTTCTTGTCATGGTCGCTGGGTTAGAGAAAGGATGGGTTGTTGTCGTCCCCGATTTCGAGGGCCCCAAGGGTGCCTTCCTAGCAAATGTTCGCGCTGGAAATGCAGTTCTCGATGGTATCCGCGCGGCGCTGGCTTCGACCAGCACTACTGGAATTGATCCCAAGGCTCGTGTTGTGATGTGGGGGTATTCCGGAGGGAGTTTGGCAAGTGGTTTCGCTGCCGAGATGCAGCAAGCATATGCTCCCGAGCTTAATATCGTCGGTGCTGCTTTGGGAGGTACTGTTCCCGCGGTCGGGCCTGTCATTGATGCTATCAACAAATCTCTTTTCACCGGCCTTATTCCCGGTGGTATTATTGGCCTTGGGAACGAATACCCAATAATCCGAGCCGTCGTCGACGACCAGTTGGTGAATACAACGAAAGCAAAGTTCCTGAAGGCCGAAAAACAATGCTTCGGTGCCAATATAGTTACATATTCCATGAACGATATCTACTCGTATTTCAAGGACCCATCGCTCCTCAAGGCAGACTTTATTCAGGAAATCCTCAAGTTGAATTCGATGGGCAAGACTGGACCAAAAATACCCGTGATGATTTATAAAGCGAAAAACGATGTCATCAGCCCGCTTAATGAGACCGAAGCCATCTTCGACACCTACTGTAGCCAAGGATCTGACGTCGAAATGAGAATTGATCAAAGTGGAGACCATGCTTCCACCATGATTACTGGAGCACCGCAGGCTCTGATTTGGCTTGACGAGCGCCTACGTGGTATTCCTTTCCGAAAGGGATGTTCTAGAACCACGCAATTGGCCGGACTACTCGAGCCAGACGCGATGAAGGTCCTATCGCTTACTCTCATCCGGGCCTTCCTTAACATTTTGGGTAAGCCGATTGGTGAACGGTTGATTGGCTAGAAGTGGTTCTCCCACCTTATCATTTCAATATGAAATTTTTAATGACTATATATAATCTCTTATAATAGCTACCTAATATCAAAATTACAATCGATATCTCAATTGACAATCCTGCTTGCAGGTGTAGCCATACGGAGTACAAACCACGCAAACGCCCCAAACTTTATTAATAATGTTTCCAGTTAGCTATCTAGTCCCAGAGTGGCTAGTCATCACTCAGGGACCAACATCATGACGTCACCTCAAAAGGATCTACCGGTTTGCGGGTGTTTTATCACGCTGTTTAAGCGAATGCCGTGAGAATCCAATTAAAGGAAGAGAAATACTGGGTTTCATGTCTCTATCTAGTGCATATGCGCTGCTATTCTATGTGTTTACGGTGGGTCCCATAGTTATTACGCGGAATATCGAAAGTGATGAAACAAGGGCTATATAAGAAAGCACCCTCCCAGTCTCCCAGCAACTGCTGCCCCTCATCACCCCACTGTTCTCAGCGAAGCGCTCTTGAAAGGGCTCCCTGGGCTAATAGCACGCCTTCTGTGGAACTGAACCGACCGTCATTTCGGGGAATATAACCGCCGGGCGGGGAAAAAGCAGTCTATTGAAAATAGTCACTGAGATGGATAACGCGCTTTTAAACAATGGGGCCTCATGGGCATCCCAAAACACCACACCTCCAACAGCAGGAACAGGCGTAATGGGCCTATTCTCTCTCAAAGGCAAAACTGCGATTATTTCCGGGGCGGCGGCCGGAATCGGTCTCGTTGTTGCCCAGGCATACGCAGAGGCTGGTGCCGGTGTTGCTTTGTGGTATAACAGCAACAAATCTGCCCATGATCGCGCTGCTGAGATTGAAAAACAATATGGTGTGAAAGGTTAGATTCAAATCTAGTTTGGTTGGAAAATCTGCGGACTAATGAGCCCTATATGAACAGCCAGAGCATATCAGGTCAACGTCACGCAGCCACAGGAAATTGAAAATAATATCCGGACTGTTCTTCAAGAGTTTAATGGCCGCCTTGATATATTTGTCGCTAATTCTGGAATCCCCTGGACACAGGGTTCCATCACTGATGGCCAGATAGATCACTATCGCTCCGTTATGAGCACTGACTTGGACGGAGTATATTATGCAGCACGAGCCGTGGCGCCGATTTGGCGACGGCAGAAAAAGGAGGGAACTGATATCAACGGTAAAAAGTTAGAAAATTTTACATATGGAAGTTTTGTGGCAACAGCATCAATGAGTGGGCACGTTGTCAATATACCACAGCTACAGGCGGCGTATAATACAGCAAAAGCCGGAGTCATCCATCTTTGTTAGTATTAATTAGTACCTTAGGAATCATTTCCATGCTATCTTTGGAAAAAATACGCTTACCATTACTGATAGGCAAATCTCTCGCGTTGGAATGGATCCAATTCGCCAGGGTGAACAGCGTTTCGCCAGGGTACATTGCCACCGAATTATCCAGATTTCTTTCTGAAGAGACATTATCCATGTTGCAGGGAAAGATCCCCATGGGCCGTGAGGGCCAGGCTCATGAACTAGCTGGTGCATATCTTTATTTGGCTTCCGATGCTTCAAGCTACACCACTGGAACAGATATCATAATTGACGGCGGATACACATGTCAGTAATCATACTTCGTTGACTGAGACCTTGGTTAGGGAAACATAAATCTTCCCTGAAAACAAAATTGCCGAAGTGAAACTAGGCATAACGGAATTGTCTATGATTCCCCCATGAACCTATGCTCCTCGTATAGAGGATTGCGAAACGCGGTGATGTGTGTGTGCGTGCTTATGTCCTGTACTTACATACATATGTCCAATTGTTATTTGTATCGAGCGATACTGTCTCTTGATGCAATCATTTCTTAATTAAATTCCGCCGGTCGTTTGGTTCTAGCCATGCCTGGCTTCTAACGACCGTCCAATGAACGACGTGGTCAAACCACCGCGCAATCACATTATTACCAAGGCCTCCGTTATAGGTCTTTGTTCTATCTGCGTCCTCGAATCTCATCTGGTTTAGCTTCGTCCCAGGGTCCAGTAAAACATGCCTCTTCAACCTCCCTGTTTCTGCATCAAAGTGCTTTGATAGCCCCAACGGGTCTCCCTTTTGTCTTCGCCACCCTCCATTGTTTGAATACCCACTAGGTTGCCGATGTTGTGTAGACTCAGAGTTGTTTTGTTCATTTTCCGTGAAGCCTTCAGCTAGCGACAAGGGGAGACGAGCATAGTCTTTTAGCACCAGACTTTTTGGTCGTTTCCTTCGCTTTTTTGATCCGGTTAATGAAGCTTTTGCGGGCGTTGGCTCGATTCCCCGGTCCTGCGCTGGGTCTTCTTCTTCGTCTGCTTCCTCTGCAACATTGATATAGCCACCTCGCCCCTCGCCACCACTCTGTTTCCTCCACTCGCTGAACTTCAAAAATGAGACGATTTTGCGAGAAAGGTTGGCAATCTTCCTATGAAACCAACACAGTAGAAAGAGGACATACATCGCCGCAATGAGGATTGGTATCAGGTCAGCCATGAAGGCAGAAGACCGGTTGGTGGCGCCGTCCTCGGCTGGCGTGGGGCCTGGGGCCGGAATACTGACCGGGTTCGGCTTCATTAGACGCGATGTCTCCGGTGTTGAAGACTGAGGGGACATAGGAGGTGTTGCATGGTGAGGTGAGGCTGTGAGGCTAGATGTTCAGTGCAAGCCTCGTCAGGTGTCCGAAAGAGAGTCTCCGCCTCAAGGAAACATGAGAAGAAGCATTGGAAGCGTTGGGAGATCGAATACCTGCCACCCTGGAAAATCCCCGCTGGCTTTGATCGTCGGCGCTTAGACACCTGCGGACTCTTGCCAGCCAACGCACCACCCGCCTCGGCGGATGAACAATGCAAATAGCGAGCGCTTTAAGTCCAAGAGATGATCGTCCTTTGAGCTGAGCCACGCCATGCCATGCTTCAGCGTCAAATTTGGCTTTCTGCCGATTTCCTCTCAGAATTAAATCTTACGCAGCACGGAGTACAGATGTCCCAAGCCGCACCAAGCCCGGCCGTTGGAAACCGTTGGCTGTCAAAGCTTCCCCCTGGACTCGGCCAAGAGCCAACAGTCAACTGCGCGAGGCGTTGGAGAAAATAACGATACAGTGCTTGCTATGGCGTCACCGATTGTTACCGACAGGGGCGTGCCATGCCATCCCTCGACTCATATCTTGACTTTACCCTCCTTGCTTCATGATATCCCAGTGTATAAAAAGGGATGGCGTCCCTTTTTCCGGGGAAAGCTTAAGTGGACACAAAAAGGCAACAGGATTTCGAAGAAAAGGCCGCAATCGATAAGGGGCGCCCCTATCGCCCTCACCCGAAATCCAACAAACCTGAAGGCATTGGAGCGGAGTCCACTTGGCTTTTTGCTGTGGCATATCCCTATTAATGTCGAATTTGGATCCTCTTTGCGATTCTGGTCTAACTTTGACCCTGTATTTGGCTCAACGACCAAACGGCAGCCGCTGCATCACGCCTTCTGTTCTGTGTGTTGTTTACATCCTATATCCGATACCCTGTCCCTTGATTCCTCTCTGGACTTCAGCGGTTGCTTTAATATTTTTACCTCTCGATGCAGAGTCCTGTGTTCGCTCATTTGTATACCATGACTATAATTCTCTCGTCTTAGCCTACACTGCATCGACATATATTTCATACCAAATAGCTAGCTCTTCAATAGAACCTATTATCTTATTATTTGATAATTTCATTGGTGACTAGGCTCCCAAAACACAACGGTATATTACAGACACCATCAAGTATTGCCATTCGAGTATGAGAGTTGCCAGCCCAGACGACTTCGACCAGACCACCAGCTTCAAGAACACGCCACATGTCTCCCCGACCATGCTGGCCGGATTGGCGTCAAGGCCTTTCAGATCACCCGCGCCTTCAGACCGAGACGTACCAGATCAATGCATCCACCATCCTCGGTCAGGATGCCATTCATTCCTACAGTTCTGCAGAGAAGAGAAGGACCTTAACGACTTCCTCTGCTGGTCAGCCACCGACGGAGACGAACACTGGGCCGAAGCCGCCGACAGCAGGCCGGTAACCCCGGACTCAGACATGCAGCAGCAGATTCAGGGCTGGCGAAACGACGCAATACACCGGGTAAACCGCGAAACGGAAACGAGATCACGCTGGACTCGGATTATGAAACAGCGTCGAAAAGAGAGGAAGATCATCCTTCAGCAGATGGCGAAACAGAGCGGTCATATAGGGCGGAGGGAGCAACAAGAGGATGTGGAGGATATTAAATGGTGCATTCAACGTCTATGTGAGCGTCGGTTAGGGGAGCCTATGGAGGAGGGCCGGCCGACGAGGCATCTTCGACTCCGTTTGGCAGTGCAAATTGATGAGGCAGCCGCCCTCGAAGGGTTGGTCGAAAATATGGATAGTCCAACGAAATATTCCATTGCAATCGACATTTGATACTAACTTTGTACTTTCTGGAATTGGTCGCATAGATCGTCTTTAACGGCGGGTGGTTTGCAGTCTGACATATAGTTATATTCCTCGAACCAACAATGTATATCTTATCCTGTCTTTTACCAACCTACGCTTCTCGAGTGCTGGTCAAAGCAAGGAGCTTGGAATCTGAGTAGCAAAAATAAGTAAAATTTTCGTTGACCTAACTAGTCAATTCAGAAAAACTAGAAGGAAAAAGAGATAGGAGGTCACGTTAGTACTTTGAAAGCTTCAGAAGAAGCAAAACAGCTTTTTAACCAAGGATCACTTGGCTTAAGAGAATGTGATAACCGGGAGAATCGAATAAAGAGAGTAATATAGAGCTGCGCCTCAACCCACATAAGGAAATCCGTAATACACCAGGCCTAATAAGAAAAAAATGAAAAAGGGGCGAACAGCAGAAGCTATTACTCAAACTACAGAAAGAGCAAAACTCAAGCAGATCGACGATGCACCCGGTTGCGAAGCATGCAGAGGAAAAAGAAGTGATGTTTCTGTCTTGGGCCCGTTGGTGTCACCTAGCGGTAGATATCACAGACCCATAGAGCGAGCATTGAAAAAAGCGAATCAATCCAAAGTTCATTAGACCTTTTCATCCATTCCTGTCATTTCCACATCGCCTGACTTCATTGGTGCTTTTAGAGGCTCTTTCACGTCTAATTGAGCTCTTGCGGGCTCTTCGGGCTCGTTAGACTCGGCCGTTGGTCTTGGCCTCCGCAACCTCTCGCACCAACTCTCGGCGCTGACAAGAGTGTCGTTTACCACTCTGCTAACTTGTGCCATCATGTCCAATCCCTCCTCGGCGAGAACCAATACACGGTGGGCGCTAGTGGTGGTCGTGTCGGTTTGCGCATCCGGCGAGTCTCCCGGCCTGTGCGTATAAGATGATGCCAGTCTGAACCGTTGGGGCAACGACGTAAGATGCCGGCGCACAAGATTTCGCGCATTGTCTGGTAGAGCACCGCCTGCGTACTTTGAGACCACGTCGACGACTTGCTTGAGAGTTTGGAGAACATCCTGTTTGACTTGTTGAATCTGTTGCGAAAGAGCTGTCGGACTTCTAGGTCTGTGCTCTGGGTTGCTTGAGTCACCGGATGATAACTGCTCCCTGGATTCATCCCATTCTTCCAGTACCTGCTTCAAAGTCACTATAGAATTGCCTAGGCGGGTATTTGCCCATTGCAACCATTTCAAGCAGTAGGTTAAGCTGCGAAGTGATTCGTCGCTCATTGCAACTCCCAAACCAGATGTCGAGATCATTAAACGGCTCTGCCAGGTTTGGTTCGAAGTAGGAGCGTTATTGATAAGTTTTCTATCCAGAGTTGCCAAATCCTCGTAATTCGGCGATGAATAAGTATCGTAGGGTGGCAACGTTTCAACACTTGAAAGACCAGAAGATCGCCGCGTATGGGTGGGTCGAGGTCCAGTCTGCGATCTTTCCATATCCATTGAGTCTTCGGGAAGTTCTCTACGGGCGGTACGTGCTGGCCGATTTGTCGGGCGTCCGTTCTGGGTATCCCGTCGTTGAAGTACCCATCGAAGGCCGCCTTCAACGCCGGTTCTCTTTCCAACGTTTCCAACGGTGTTGACAACGGGGGCTCCGATATTGCGCTCTATAAACTCGGCGCCATATCGAAACCGAGGGGAGTATGATTTGGAGGAGGAATAGACGGACATGGAGCTGTTGATGGCAGATGAAAGCAGGGGGTGAGACGAGGTCAGCAGTGACAGGAGGGGTTCAGGCTGCTGGGGAGAATCTGAGGGAGGGAGGCTGGATGTCGATAGACGGTTGGTACTGCGTGAGGAGGGGGAGGAATGGGTGAATTCTAGAGGCAGAGGTCAGCATGGAAGGTTGATGACGGGTGCGGCAGGGTCTTATCTACCCGATCGAAGGCCCTCCAGAGCTTGAGCGGCCTCTATGTCATCCATTGATAGAACACTGGTGGCGCGGGTGGACCGATCGTCGTTGCACATGCTGTCCACGTCCATCTTGAAGGAGTTGACGGTCGACATGGCGGCCAGTGTGGGCGGGAGATTCGCAGCCAGCGAGGACGAGGGCAGCCAGGTTGCCAGCAGCGCGGTCCAGAGAATGGAAAGCCAATGAGGGGCGCCTGGCCGTGGATTGTCGAGATGGGACGGCGGGCGGCGGTGCTCAACAACAAGGCGAGATTCTGGCCAACACGCAAGGCCCGCACGTGAAAACTAGTCCGCTAGTCGACCTGCTACAGCGGCGGACCAGCCATCCCGGCGCCGCGCGGGCTGTGACAAGGCGAATAAGAGAAATAATGCCGGGAGGGATGGGCTGTATGTAACATAAACGGATATTAATCCTCCCATGCCAATAAGCGTGTGTGTTTCAACTTCAGTGCGAGGGATTCGATTCCTGCCAGCAATACCAATGAAGCTGCTACAAGCATCCGGCGATAGCCTTGGGTGCATGCAGGACGGACTACGGCTGCCCAGACATTGCTCGTGTTCGCCCAGCCAGGTATATTTTAATTATTTTCTACAGAGTACAGCTCGCCTACATGCCCCCTGCCGCAGCCACACCGCCACTCGCGCCGGTTTGTCCCAGCGAGATGTTCGCTTGCGCGCGCGCGGGTTTTTCTTGTTTGTCCACGACAGTTCAGATTCCGCAGAATTGCCGTTTTGGGGGCCAGCATGTGACCCGCGCTAGCGCCGTTGGGCTGGCATGTGACGGCACCGTGCGCGTCACGGGTCGCTGAGTCAGCGCATCACGTGTAGATCCCGATGCGTGCCTGGCCGCGTCGTCTCTACCGATCGCTGTCGTCCGCCATCTTGCGCGCCAGCTGCGAGCAGAACGGGCTGCGCGCCCTGATGCGCTGCCCGTACTTCAGAAACACGAAAGGGATGCCCAGCATCAGCAAGCAAATGAACCCAAGCACGCTTGTTGCCCAGCCTATCCCAAGCTTCCGGTACATCGGCTTCGCGGCTAGCGGGAGCAAAGCACCGCAGATGGATCGGGTGCAGGCTCCCGCTGCCATGGCGGACGCACTATAGACGCCGTACGCATCCGCCAGATAGTTAAGCAGCGCCATGAAAATCGTTGTGTTCCCGATGCCGAATGGGAGGCCGGCGAGAATAGGAACGATCCAGTGCACTGACTTTCGTGCGGTCCAGCCCTATCATGCTTATCATTAATCGCTCAACAAGTGCGACATCTCCCACCCGGGAGTACCCACCAGCCAGAAAAACGATATCATGGTGAGTGGCCCTCCGATAATCGCCAATGTCAACCGATGGTATTCCATTGTCGGCTTTTTCTCTCCCTGCCGACGCATGTGTTCGTCCCAGAGCACAACCATGATTGCCGATATCACGCTTCCGATGCCCACTATCAGCCTTATCAGCAAGCTTCCCGAATGCTCCACAACATCAGCGGCTACCTGGCATATATGCTAATCCGTCTATTCCCGGAGCCATGGCGTATTCCCCTAACTGCTTTAGCTTTCGGGTATCGACCGCCCGTTCCCGCTGCATGTGGACTTACCTTGGAAAATGATAGGATACGCCTGAAAAAAAAGATAGAGAATCGCGTAGAGGAACGCCATGTATAGGCATACTGCCGGTACGATTGGCTCCGTGAATAGCATTGTCACCGGCCGAGTAAGTGTGACGGCAAACAGGTCTTTGAGATTGCGAGTTTCTACCGAATCTGGCACGACGATGTCATCTCGGTTTAACTCTTTTTTCATGCGCGCTGCCCTTTTCGCTAGGATCACAGGACGAAATGTTTCCGGCAAGAACAACATCGCAATCAAACTGACTCCACCAAATATCAACTCAAACCAAAAGGGCCATCTCCATGACACTTGTCCAAGAAATCCCGATATAACGGGGGACAAGGTAGGTCCAAATGTCGTTCCAGCTGCCCACAGCGCCATGACTCTGCCTCGGTGCACGGGATCGGGAAAGCAGTCCGCAAATAATCCTCCCACAATACCTAGTGGTGCCGCTGCCGCCGTACCAGCCAAGAATCTTAATACTAACAGTGCAGGGAAGTTCGGTGCAAGCGCCGTTCCGAGTGTGAAGCACAAATATAGGACAAATGTCCAGAACAACAATGGCTTTCGTCCGTATACCTCGCTAAGCGGTGCAAGAAAAAGCGGGCCAACAATATACCCGATCAAAAAAACCGAAATAGGGAGGACAAGCTGGTATTCGTTAGTCACGTTAAAATCTTCCGCTATGAATTTGATGGAACCGGCTGGCATGCTAGAGCCAAGTGTGCTATTTAATGTTAATAGAACACATATGTTGGCGACCACCAATTTTCTTATCTGCTTTCACGTTAGCTGTTGTAATATGGTCGAGGTGGACATAAGAAAAGATTCTCTTACCATCGACCAGTTATGAGGGTTCTCTTTATCACCAGGGTCAAAATCTACGATTATTGGCAACTGTGGTGCTCTGTTTTCCTCCAAAGGTGTTTCCACCTGTGTCTCAGAGCTTGCTGGGTATTTTTCCAGGATTTCTGTGCTCTTCACTACCATTTTTCCCTACTTGCTCAAATAATTTATCACAGTGCAAATAGAGTAGTTGATCGGTCGGTATGCTCTATGCACAGCATCGGTCTCGTCCCAAGATTATTGCGCCATGCCTGCACTTCTTTACTACCTTCAATCAACTCTTCTGTACTGTAGTCCTTCTCTCAATCCGTTCCAGACCGGCCAACAAACAGCTAAAAGGGACAAGAAAGAAATAAAAAAATATTGACACTTAACTCAACAACATACCCAGCCCGCCATGCGGTATTTCCCCCAGTTGTACGTATTATTAATTCAACAACCCTGTAACTTCAAGCTCAACCCAACCACCGACGCTATCCAATTCCTGTGCCGAGTATCCAGTTTGCTGGAGTGTTCATAGCCGACTGTTTGGGCACTAGTGCTCTAGTTAGCCGGCATTTGTGCCGACGAGCTCGGCTTGCCCGCATTGAAGAAAGCTTGGCTATGATCGAAGCCTTTTTATTCCTAGGTAAGTGAAAAGAGAAGATAACTAGTGGTTGTGTCCTCTTTTTTCCGAACCCCAGAGATTTGTGTAGAGGATTGAGACATCTAGGTGTTGAATTGTTGGTCCAGGGAAGATGTATCAGTTATGCATATTTTTATACCGCTTGGCCCCAAGCGTAGATTTATGCTTCTCAAGGGCTACTGACTGGTAGATTTGTTCAAGCTAAAAGTCTAGATTTAATTCCACTGCTGATATGGCACCTAATAGACCCTTCAAAAGATACAAAAATGAGGTATGTCCAACAGGGAAAAAATAAGACCAAAGTCACTCAGTAAAAACAAGGCTCGAAAAGTCTCTTTACCAAAAACATCTAAGACTCCCAAGGCGTGATAGGGATTGTATCTGTTCACATCTATCATCCAAAAATAGGCATCCATTCAGGACGCGAAGGATTTCCAATCATCAAAATCGTCATCGACGCCTTCCTCCCCAAGGGCGTCGAGGTACGCGTCATCCTCTACCAATTGTGATAATAATGTCTCCATGGCTTCATTACCACCTTCGGCAGCCTCTTGCACTTTCTTGGCAGCCCGTGGATTGATGCGATAAGTCTGATAGATGGGCATCGTTACCATGCGATATTGTCCGACGGCCTCAGCTTTCATTTTGCAGAGCGTTGGCCCCGCAGCAAGCCATGGGAAATGACTATCGGGCCGAAGTGCATATGCACAGGAAGCAAGAAAGGCTTGCCACGATGACCCCCAGTTTTTCCAGGTGTAGCTTAAAGAGTGCTCGAACTCCGGCGGCTCGATCTTTTGTAACAGATCCGCAGTTATAGCAATGATGGCAGAGTAAGGTTTCCCACAGTTCCTGGATGGCCGATCCTTGCAAGCAGTTTCAACCTCACTCTTTATTTTCAGAATATTGTTCAGCAAAGTGTGATCGTGGGCCACATCGCGCTCAGATATGGCACGATCCCAAATTTCATTCCATAGTGCAGCCAAGTCAGTATCTTTTCGAATCTCACGATTAGCTTTGCAAAACCGGTCAAAGTCCGTTAAGATCCTTTCAGTTTCCCCCTTGACGATTTCAAATTTCAAAAAGTCAATAACATTTTGAGGTTGATAGTACCCGTCAATGTCAGCCCCTGTCTGCTTATATGCAGGCTTGCGTTGAGCATTGGGTCCAATCCTGCCGCTCACGCGACCCCATTCCTTCATCCACGTATCACGTTTTAACTCGTAGCCCGTTTTTCTCACATCAGCCAGGTGACCAAGAAGGTGAGAGAGTCTGAGAGCTCCATATGAAGCAATGCTATTTTCATAATAGCACAACTTTTCATGCTCATTAGTGCAGTGTCCAAGTAATGATGGCGTAGCGTTGAAAATGAATACCTTTGTCAAAAACTTGTCAAAATTGAACGGATCTTTGAGCTTTTCGGAATGGTCTATTAGACCGAATTCTTTCGGTGGGGGAACATCCTCAGGGTCAAATGTGGTATTTGTGAAGGCATCAACAAATTGTTGATCCCAGCAAACCCACACCTGGTCACCATCATAGTCGCCCCCAGAGAGCATTCCAGCCAGTGGTATTTTACCTTTGGTTGGAAAAACAATAATATCTTTGAAATGTCGCAGTTCTTTCTTGAAAGCGACCTTTCTTTTTTGAATATCCGTGGGAAGATGAGCTGGGTTCCGACCTAATAGAACCTCTAGGCCATCCAGATCAGTATATCCTGAAGATTCCCATGGCTTTGAAAATCCAAAATGAACTTCATCTTCTTCTAATGTTTGATAAGGGTCTGCTATGCAATATGCATAAGTGGATTCTGGAATCTTGATTTTTAGGCTATCAAGAAGTGTACAGTAATCCTTGAGAAACATCGTCAAAAGCTCCATCAAGAAAGGTAGCTTAAAAGGTTGAAAGCCACTATCAAGGAGTAAAATTGCTTGTTCTGATGACTCAGTTGGGAAGTCTTCGACCCGCCGCGTTTTCCGTTTATCGCTTGGGCCTTGCCTTTGGACCCAAGCACGAGAGGCTACTCCACTAGGTAAGATGCGCTTGAATTCATTATACCAATCGTCAACTTCTCGCCTGATGAGCTCTCGAAGGCGGTCTCTATGGACTCCGCCATGCTGTAACACCATTAAGAGCTGGACATTCAGATTTACGGGCCTAAGCGGTCTGGACCATGACACAACTTCAAAAGTGCGTTGGTGGTCATCATAGACATTAGAACCAGCTGGGTGTGGGAAGATCTTTCTTTGTGAGTCACTGATCTGTATCCAAATATCATCGTTAGAGTGAAGTGTTGACGCGGGTGAATCAACCATCCAAATACCCTTTGCACCCGCAATTCTTCCTTGAAAACAAGAGGGGTTCTCGTCTTGTAATCCCAGCATTTCTTTGATGAGGATGGCAAGGCGTGGTGACATGAGTGCACATCCATCATTCATTACTGGTTCAGTATCTTCTAGCCTTATAATTTGATTGGGCTGCAGGGTCACAGTTGGTATAGTCCGTGATAAACCCAAGGAAAGACGTTGAAAAAGTTTGCAATCTTTCTGGTGATTATTAGACTGAATTGGCATGTGCCAGTTGAACATGGCTTCAACTGACATTGGAGTATGCTTCTCAGATACCTCGCCAGGTAAAGAAGCATACAGCAGTCTTTCTATTCTACCAGAGAAATCGCACCCATCCACAGCAAAGAGGTGAACTTTGCTTCTAGGACCCCCTTTCTTAGCATTACCCTTGGGTTTGATGTCTTCAAGATAAAACGCACACCAAGTCCTTCCTAGAATATAATGAGGAGCTTGAGCAAGCCATGTTGCAATGCTCTGGAGGACAGTTGGCCCCTGGTTCTTCAAGTATTCAGGACTTTTCCCTAGAGTTGGAAATGTAATCTCAAGGAACCGATCCGACCCAAATCGACGAGCAAAACGATGAGATCGTTCTAAGCGAAGAGGACTAAGAGTGACTTTCAAATATCCAGGCTCGGATTTCTTACACCACTCCAGCTCACCAGTCAAGGTCACAACATCATTTGTACCGTTATCTTCAAAATTGCCAGCTGCCGCTTCCCAGATACTAGATTTGGCTTTTTCAAGTTGATTGCCTTTCGAGACTTCTCTGGTGGCATACTCCCAGAATTCTGCGTAATCTTGGCTGGGAAGTTGGTAATGTGGGAGAATATCCTCAATATATGAGCCCTGAGCATGAGCGATTCTTTCGACCTCGTACCGATACCGAAGAGGTATAGATCCAGGCCATTTTCCACATCTGGAATATGCAAAGGGGCCGGATGCTTCCAATTCATCGACGAAATTTTGCACTTTAATAGCTGCAGAGTCCGGCACAGCATCTGGTGCTGGTGCGGTCTGCGAAGGTGATAATTGCATGCTGAACTGCTGCTGAAACTCTTCACTCTGAAGCAAAGCAACTGTTGAGCTTTCCGATGCCTCGTCATCTTCGAATTGATAAAATGATTTTCTCGGTAGTTGGTTGGAGTTCATGTAGAAATCACTAGCAAATGAGGTGGCAGCAGTGGTAGGCTCAGGTTCAAATGAAGCACCATCTAACCCTGTTGTGATTGTTGAAAAGGTCTTGACTTGATCATCTTTCGCATTCCTAGCGTTGCTTTGTGATGGCTTTGATACCTTCATATAATTGCTGACGCTGGGTTGTTGTCCATGCTTCACGAATGACGGATACAGATTTTTTGAGAATGAATTATTGGCGACGTGGATGAATGAATTTTGGGGACTGGAAAAATATTTTGTGACTTTTTGCTGTTTTCCTCTCTGCATGGAATACTGGTTGTCACCGGACACATCAGTCGAGATTACAGGTAGAAGTAGGTCCAGTCCATGGTCATCATTGGTGAGGGAAGGGGTGCTTGAGGTAGGAGAACTGGGGGCGGTGAAAAATACCTCTTGTTTATTCATGGCGGTTTTTCGTTTCGAAGGAGATGATGAGGGGGAATCATCATTGCCATTCTCATTATCTGCCTCATTGAATGGTGTATTTGGTCGCTGGGTCCTAGGGCAATCCAATCCATCGATAGAAGCTGGAAAGGGGATTGAAGAGTTGGATACAACAATGGTATCCTTTAGAATCCAGACTTCGTCTTCTATAAGTTTTAGTAGATACACAAGAAGCTGTTTCCTTTGATCTGTAGATATGTTTTTCGAACACTCAATCACACTTCTCTGTATAAATGAAGTCGAAAGGGACTTCAGGGGAGGCGCGGGTAGTGTTCCACGCTCCTGGTTGGGTTTATGAATCCAGTCTGATAAAACTGGTTTCGCCCAATCTTCGAAATCTTGCACAACGCGCTCGCTGCGCCCATTGAAATGGAGATAGGTGAGGCCGGAAACGCATTTTTCGGCTATGGTTCGAGGTTGTTTTGCAGGTGTTCGTTGCTCTGCGATTGGGAGGTCTAGATTATATTTGATGCTTAAAGAAAGAAGAATCTGCTCGCAGCCTCGCCCAGTCTTTGGGGTTTGAGGGCTGCTGTTCAACATGGATAATGAGCTGGAGGCCTGGCCCGGCACTGTGTTCTGCAATGGGAAAAAATAAATAAAGATTAGATCGTGAGCAAAGTCTACTGGAAATTGAGCGGCAGGTGCAATTTTGTTGCTTGGGATACCCACACTCTTTGTAGTGCCGCTCTCACGGTCTTGCACGCCTTGCAGACGACGCAGACAAGGGAAGCAGCGCAAAAGCAAACATCAGCGCATGAAAGCTGCAGCAGACCCCAGCTGGCATTGATGATCATCCAGTCGACAAAAATGGCCTTTCACAGCCCGAGATGCAGCCTGTGGGTACAGACATAGGGCCGAATGTTTGGTCCGCTCCCGCGAGGCTTTGACAGGTTTCGACGCCGTGCGGGATGCGGAGGAGGGGCATTAGTCCCCTGGCCCGCGTCGGTGGAGCTGCGCCAGTCACGCCTAACAGACCTCCTCCCCCAGCCACCAAAACAGGCTGGACTTGTCCTTGTCTTGACCGTCTGAGCACGCGCTGAGCCGGGCGCCGTTCGCAAAATGCCTGCGCCGTCCAAGCGGATACGGAGTTCTTCCTGGTGCTAAGCCTCTGATGGGATGGTTGAATGGTATGTCCTGTATGGATCAACTGGGCGTGCCGTGCGGGCATGCGGTTTGTGGCGCCGGTCTGCCTGCAGCTTCGCGCTCCGGCGCGAATGGAAAGCAAGGGGGTATGTCAGGTTGCAGGATGTTTTTCTTGGACCCTCAGCCACGGCGGCTCGTACGGGATATATCACCAGCAGTGCGGTAGGTAAGTGGACGACGAGATGTTTCAAAGCTCGAGGCTGGCGGTTAGTTACATAACTAGTCAACGGCCTGGTGGCGAAACGTTGAGGATGAATACTAGCTTTGAGCAGCAACGGATATTGACGAGCAGCTACAAACCTGGCTTGTAGTGAAATCACACAAAACGAGTTACTATTTTAATTGCGTCGAACCGGACGAGGGTGTCTCGTGACACTGCCCTGAACTGACGACATCGATCAAGAAAGAGTAGAAGACGCCGCGTTTTGTCTTAATGATTATACTCAAACAACACAGAAGGCATTTATGCATGGTATATCTATGTACAAACGCTCAACAGACAAAAAGAGGAGAGACATGACATCTAATGCGTGCAAACCATTTAGAAAAGCCAGGCAACAAAGATCCGATAGAACCAGCTGGCTTGTTTGTTATTCGCACGTTCAGCTTCCTTGCGTGCCAAGAATTCCTGCTCTTCTCGATCAATGGCATCTTTGCCAGTGAAGAGGTCCGCTTCATGGGGCGCAACTCCCTTAGTCTTGGTGATGAATTTATATCCGAAAATCATGATAAGATAGATTGGAATGCCGAGATATGCGGTAACGAAGTTCCTGTAGTCGAACTTACCGGCCTTTTTGTTGATGAAGACATCGTAACTCTTCGTGAAAGAGACGAGAATGCAGAAAGCGCATGCGAAATACGAGCCTCCTTTGCCGAGGGGAGCCTTGTACGCAAGGGTCGATTCCTCGATACCCTGAGCAATGCGCGCGTTGACGAAATAGATATGGGTGACAAGAATAGAGATCCAGGTCAAGAGACCAAAGATTGTCACGAGGTTGACAAAGTATCCGAAAATAGTCTTCGAGTCGTCAGAAACGTTCATGAACGCCAGCAATGCAAACGCGCTGGACAGAGCAAGCGCATAAATGGGAACACCTCTGCGGTCGGTTCGTGCCAGAATTCGTGGAGCCTTTCCTTCTTTGGCCAAGCCGTAAATCGTTCGTGTGGCAATATACAGATCAGAGTTGGAAGCAGAAAAGACGAAGACGAGGATACAGCCGTTCAAAATATCCGGGAGAATCTTGATCTGAGCTAGCTTAATAGCAACGACGTATGGCGAGGCGTTGGCGGAGTTAGATTGCTTTGTGGCGAAAGCAAGCTCGGTCGAGTTGTATGGGACCAACATGCCCAGCAAGAAAACGCTGAAGATGTAGAAAAAGAGGATTCGGTAGAAGGTGAGCTTGATGGCACGAGGAATCGTCTTGCGGGGATTCTGTGCTTCTCCTACGGTGACACCGACGAGTTCAGTTCCAAGATAAGCAAAGGTGGCCGTCACCATTGTTGACCAGAAAGCCAAGAACCTCCCGGAATCTCCTGTCGTTATATAGGTATTAAAGGCACCCGGATCTTTCCAGTACCTGAAGCCTTTCCTATCACGATCAGGTCCACCTCCTAGCGCGAGGATGAGAGACAGCAAGATGAGGCCAACAATGACGACAATCTTGAACGACGACAGCCAAAATTCGAATTCGCCGAAGAATCGGATACCGAAATAGTTAATTCCAACAATTATTACCAGGAAGATTGCAATCCAAACACCCGGATTGACTCTGTCGCGCTTTATCCAGTATTGGATAACCAGTGCAGCGGCAGTCAACTGATTCGGCGTGATGATGATGTATTTGAAATAGTAACTGTGGTGTGTTTGTGTAAGCTGGCACTCAGTGAACGGGAGTTTATCAACGCTTACCTGTATCCAAGAGCAAAACCGAGGGCGGGGTCACAGAATCGAACAGCATAGCCAGTGAAACCACTAGGGAGTGGGAGCCATGCAGCCATTTCACCTAGGGAGCACATAACAATCCAGACAATGAATCCGACAATCAAATAAGAGATCAAGACAGACGCAGGCTATTGTCTATCAGACTTCATTCGAGTACATGAAAAAGCAATGAGCGCTGATCACTTACACCCGCTCTAGTAAGCAAGTTAGTCTCAAGAGATATCAATCAGGCTATGTGATATGCGATTGACTTACTTTGCTAAAGCACTGCCAGTACCAATAATGAGGCCCGTTCCAATCGCACCACCGATGGCTACACACACAATCAGCTTTTGCAAAGACACCACGGCCGACGGGGCGTACCAATCATGGTGATGTGACGCGCCTTCAGGCCACGGTGAAGAGAGGAGCCCTCTTCCTCCGTGCCATTAGCCCCGGCGTCGGCAACATATTCCTGTTTGGTCGTGACGGGGCCGTCAGAGTCGTCCCCGGCGGCTTTCTTCTCCCACGGCTCCATGGTGGAAGTCGAGTTGGCGCGAGAGGAGCGTTGTGGGGGATGGCGAACAGCAGAGTACACAGCAGCGAAGGCGATGTACGGAGTTCACTGTGCCACAACAACAATATACGGGGGCGCGACCCGAGAGCGACTGGAGATGGGCAAGCCGGTAGGGGGGAGACCGGGTTTTAAACGAGGGAACAGAAAATTAGGTGGAGGCGGGGAAGAGTCTGACGGGCGAATCCTGGTCAGGGAACAGCTAGCCCGCCCAGCCGTGTCACTTCGAGAAACAATCGAGAAGAGCGCACCGAGCGGAGGGCAGATGGGGGCGTGCAGTCGCTGCGGGTATACGAGGGAGGAGAACATGTTGGGCGCATCCTGGCAGCCGCGTGCGCACACGGCGTTGGCGTGGTCCGGGGTGACGCCGCGGCGTCCTTCTCCGCCAAATTTTCAAAACGGAGGGACGGGGGAACGGGGAGGCATGGATGGGCATGGATTCGGCGCGGACAAATCGCTGGGTGGCCCAGTATTTCGGTGGGCTGGGATGGAGAAGACCTTTTTTTTCCCAGGCAGCGCCACCACCCGCGCGGTCGAATCAGACACCGGCTCCAACCCCAACGAAGCCAAGAGAGCGCAGGATGAGCGCATCTTCGCGAAGACGCTGTGCCTGTTGCGGGGGGCGATCAGCATGCCGCGCGTGAATCCCTGTAGCGCGCGGATCTGGGATCGGAGCCCAGCACCGGCCGCGCTTCGAACGGGCAGCAGCCGTCATGCCACGTTCACAACGCCGCGACATTCGTGCTGGCGAGGGAGGGAGCACGCTGCGCCGTGGTGACGCAGGGGTGGTGGTAGTGGTGATTGTGCTGCTGGCTGCTGGCGATGGCAGTAGTGATGCGGATGGATATGGCGGTCTTGGCTCCCATCGCGCCGATGCGACGCTGGAGAACTTGGCGCCACAGTGCTCTCTGGGGCCTTCGCTGGGATCGCGCGCGCGGAGAATTACCCAGCCAGTGGCTCGCTGTCGATGCCGGCAGGATTCGTAGAGCCCGCCTTCGCGACCCGCGAAGCAGTGGTGCAGCCACGATGCGCAGCGGCGCCGGGCTCCAGAGCAGATGGATGGCGGATGCTGGAACAAGAGGGCAAAGACACCCAAGCCGCCTTGGTGAGAAGCCAAGATGGGATCCTCACGCCCTTCAGAACAACCTTCTTTCCAGGCTGCACTAGACAAAAGCTTCCAGAACAAACCAAGAGACCTGCTAAGGCGTATGGGCCGATCCTTCATGGCGTTGCACTGTGAGGGTCGATGGGCGGCGCCGCCTAAGCAAAACCGGCTCCATTGGGAGGACAATAGCGGAGCCTGTTATTAAGATGATTTATCCTCTCTGTGCTGTGAAATGCTTCTCGAGGCGCGCGGAGTCCATATGTGTCCTCTCCTACGAATGGGTTCTGCCGCCGGCCGTTGGAGACGGCATCTGTTGTTGTGTGCTGGCGCTGTCTCCTCCGCGCATATCTGATTATTCTGATCCCCACCCGCACAAGCACGCAAACGCGATATAAGACGGCTAATATATAGAGGCGCAGGGAACTGGGCCCGTTGACCAGCCCGCCCGCTGTTCAGACCCATGCCAGGATCGGCAGCGTCGCCCAATCGCCAGCCCGGCTGAGCACAGTCCCTGGTCTCGTGTGCATTCTGGAAATCAAACCACCGTTTCTTGCCTGCCTGCTGCTCTGCTGGGGTTTGCTGCAGTGCCGCCAAGTGCGAATAGTCGCCCGTTCTCTCCCGCCGCCTATAATATCGTGGTAGGACATATTCATGCTTGGTTATCCGGCTCTCGCGGAGCGTTTCCGTCGAATTAAGCATTTGGCTCTTATGCGCGTAACCAATTGCGGGCTTGCAACGGGCTGCAATCTATACTGATAATCTATGGAAAATTTGTTGTGTCTCGGCCAGCAGGCTTTGCCCTGCTTATCCTTAGCCGGGGCTCTGTCGTAACCGTAGCGCGCCAACGGGAGCCATCAAATCGGCCATGCGAGCTGCCGTGCCATGTATATATACTTCATATAGTCCGCTGCTCAACTCTTTGCCCACACTCCTTAATAATAATAATCGAAATCCATTGCCCCCCACAGTCAAAGGCCAGGTCCATTTCCCCCGTACTGCCATTATTCACCGTGCCATAGCCGAGTGAAGACCATGGAAGGAAGGCTATGGAGTACATATTCCTTCATGCGGAACCCGGACGCCCTATCGATCGAGACCCTCCGGAATAAAAGTCAAAGATGACCAAACAAAAATCGGCAAAACTACTACTTGACAAGTGGCCCCGAGAAGACGGCAATAGATCATAGGCCACTTTGGCCGGAGAAGTATTTTTTTTCTCGGCCTTTGTATGAACCAATTCGTCATCCACTTCGGAGATGGGGGAAAACAGTAGCCGCCCCCCCCCAACGGACACTAAAGAAAGGCCCGGGAAACTCCGATCATTGGTGGTCATGATCATTATTAATTGAGCTCAACAGCCTTGTTACTCTGAAAGCCCCTCACTATGCGGTTACAATATGTGCTCTATACTTGCAGGTGTTGGGTGGGTTGGCCGCTTTGTTGATGCATCTCGGGTTGGTCAGCCGGGTTGTTTCTCCAGCCACTCCGGTGCCCGCGTGATGCGTAGTCGTATACGGAGTATATAGGCTGAGTAACTGGCCCATTCTTTAGCCTTTCTGAAGCCGCCAATAGGACGTCAAGCCTTTTGCTTTGTCTTGGAATACTATCTATATATATACCCGCTGGCCGTGGTGCGGTTTTGAGCGTCCGCTGGAAATAATAACACTACGGCCGGGGTCCCTTTGGTTTGCTTGCAAAATCAAAAGAGAATCATTCACCGTGAAGCGGCTGACGGCATCAATACGAGATGCGGTAACACATGTTGGGAAGCACGAGGTTTTCACCTAAGCAGGACGCACCTTGAAAGAGCCTCAACCTAAAAGCCGAGGCTGGCTTTTATCAGGAGAAGAGGATTTCTGGAATCACCTATGAGGTAGTGTAAGCAAGGTGTCGGTGTGAAGGGCGAAGTGCTTCATAACAATGGATGCTTAGTCCTGATTCTATCCCACAACAAAGGCCGGCCCACAAACGGGTAACCGCTCACATGCTTGCAATCTCAAGCTCATAATGCGTGACCTCAAAAGGGAACAATGATGTAAAACCTGAGTATGGGGTATCCTTCCACCCTAGACGCCGACCAAAGAAAACACCAACACTATGATCAAAAAACCATGAAATTTGTAGCGCAGGCTCGGCAACAGAATACCATTGAAAGAAAATTAAGCCTGAGGTGGGTCAGTAGCAAGTGCATCCGGCACGTCTTCCTCGTCGCCAGCCTCCTCTCCGTACGCCAGAGCAAATGCATCCTGTCCTTCTGCTGCAGCTTTTGCGAAACCTTCTCGCGCCAGCATTGTGTTTAGCACAGCGCAGTTGTATGAAGCTTCGCCAGGGGGAACAACAACGAAAATATATGTATTCTCGGTGAATCTGCCCAAGAACACGTTGAACTGTGGGGTTTTGGTGTGCATGACAATTAGATTCGCCGTGCCGGCCGCGGTATGCGTGTTTTTGGCGGCACAGTGCTTAAACGCTTTCATGATATTCGACAAGCGCTCATGCCTGTCAAAAATGGGGTTTAGATGGCCGACTTCTGAAGTGACGGAAGTGATAGTGAGGAAGGTAGACCGTTCGAACAGAACGACCTCCTCCGCCTCAATCTTTTCCGAGAATGATGTCAAGAACCGCTCGATGTACGAAAGGTTCGGAATCAGCTTGTGCACGATCCCCGCCCAGGCTTTGTACAGCGATTGATCCCAGATGCTGCTTCCAAATGTGATAATCTCAAACGACTCAGAGCGGCTGCGGAGCAGCGCGGCGCGCTCTTCGCACACGCGGTGCCGGTGTTCGGACTGGATCAGGTCGAGCTTGTGGATGAGGCAGAAGACGAAGGCGGTCGGGCTGTATTCCTCCAGAGCACGGATGATGGCATTGTAGGTTTCCAGATCGCGTTCGACCTCGCGCGACTCGATATCGAAGACGTAGACGAGCACGGCGACGTCGGTGAAGATGTTCTCGCGCTGTGACCCGACGTAACTTTCCATAAACGCATCTTGCCTAGATACATACAAATCGCAGAAGAACGTCAGCGTGCTGTTCGTAGCAGTCCAATTATTGCCGGTATTCTGGTGCCGATGAAGACGCCGATGGGGCCGGGTGATGCAAAAGGGGGGGTGGGGAGGGAGGGGGGCGCAACAGCAGCTGACAGGTGGGCTGTTTGCCTAATTAGCGAACTTACCCTCCGCAGTCCCAGAGGTTCAACGTCAGATTCCCAATGAATTTCACATGGCTGTGCTCGACATCGATCGTGGCCCCGAGGCGCCTCACGTCTTTGGCCACGTAGTTACTGAAGATGATGGAGCGCATGGACGACTTGCCCGACCCGCTCTTCCCCATGAGCAACACCTTTTTTTTCCTTTTCTTAGCGTCCGTAGTGGCAGCCTTTGGCTGCTGCTGTTGCTGCTGCAGCAGCTCATCCTCGTCTGGGTACTCCATTCTGGGCTCTGTAGAAAGCAAAGGATTTTCTTAGAGTCGTCCGCCAGAAGCCTGGTCAGCAAGCTGTCCTCTGGGACGGAGTCGCATGTTGATTGTCAGAGAGAGAAAGGTGGCATGTGAATTGACGTGGGAAGTTGAACTAGTTAGCTGGAGGGGGCTTCCGAAAGAAGCTATGCACGTGACATGGATTGGCCGTCCTTGATTTTACATACAATTTATATACAGCTTGAAGACTGCGAACCATATGTTGTCATTCCTGAGAGTTCTGCATAAAGCAAATAAGAGAAATAGCTGCTCTAAGAGCGCCCAATGCAGCCGTTGTTCAAAACAAGATGATTTCCATAGTCAATTGGACCTCATCGAGAGGCAAAAAGTGGTGATATAAATGCAAGATATATAAGAGAATTAGAAGCAGCGGCCAGGCGCCCAAACCAAAAGGCGTGCGAATTTGCACATTTGCTGAGACGAGTCTGGCACGATGGGTGAGCCGTCGCTTGCGTCGGAAAAGATAAGTGGTCAAACAGAGTGCAAATACACGTAGCAGAAAGTAATATGGGAGGGAAAAGAAGAGAGAAAAGAAAAAGAAAAGAAAATAGAACTCCTAGATCCCTTAGAATACTGTTCCGTCAGAAACGATCATGATTGGGGGTTGTTTCGTATTCGGTCTTGATACTTCTGCTATCTCACGCCCTCCCTGTGAAAGAAACAGCCGTCAGCAACATATTGAGGATATCTCCATTTACGCTGTGAAACTCACCTTCCATGTGCCAGCCTCTAGCATTTGCGGTAGGCTCAGTTTTTGGCCGTCAGGCAGCTCCAATAATTTGTTTACCTCGGCTAGCAATTCATCAAGGAATCCAACTGTAAGCGCACGCCACTCGACAATTACATCATCGTCTGCTGTGAAGAGTGGCACGACCTCCATATTCGGCTGCCCCTTTTTCATAGCATTGGTCTTATAGGCATCCAAGCCGCGTTTCATGTCTTCGTCCTTCAGTGTAAGAAGACCCATGTCGATAAGGAGCCCTCCGTTTCGGTACTCTGGAAGCCCAGTCAAGAGTTCAGAGCCGGAAAATCGTATGTTAAGCACCTTAGCCATCGGTGCCATGATAGAATAGCAGAGCCATTGCGTTAGCTTGTGAAACGGCACAATAGTTTCCCATTCTTGTGCGGGGGGCGAGGCAGGCATTGATTTGCATGGCCAGGCATCTCCGATCGACACACCATCAATCTGCGTCCGGGAAGGTGGCCAGATTGGAGACAGACCATCCATAAGGACATGCCAAAGCGTTGGTATGAGAATTATGGGAACTGACGAGGCTTGGGTTGAAGGGTGAGAAAGGAGGTAGTCTGCGCAAAGAAAAATAAGCCGTCGGTCCATCAATTGAAGGCACATAGGAACGGAACCACTCACCTAACATATTCCCTGGTCTCGCATCAACGCCAAAGAACTCCTGGTTGTTCAATGCCCCGGAAAGCCTTGTGAGCAAGCCCGCTCTCCCTTCAATGCCGGCGAGAGGATTTTGTTCTGAGTGCTGCATTCCTTTGGCTAGAGCCTGCACCGTGAGCCTCTTCAAGCCCGCGCCATCGACCTGGCAAGGCTCTGTGGGATCGCTACTAAACATTCCAGCTTTGAACATCTCCAAGCTTGCAACGGCTAGACCTTCACTTCGTTTATAGACCTTGCCTGATTCTTTGGACTTATAGCACCAGGTGTTTCCTGCTCCAGCGTCAAGCAAAACAGAAATCAAAAACAGGTCAATCAACCTTCTGGTACGTTCGAGTGAGTCGATAGTGCTAGGCCAGGACTGGAGAAGCTGGTTGATTCGCGGCCGGCCGCCGACTTCAAAATGTTGCCACCGGCCATGGGCGGGGATGGAATGGTAGTCCGGCGCATAATCTCTCTGTGAAATACGATAGAAAATGAGAAGCTGGTCATACAGCAGCCTGCAGTGGAACAACGCATACCTTGATGATGGACACGACGTAATGGGCAGTATCCTCGAACTTATCATAATCCACATCGAAGTGATTCAGCTGGTTCCTTTTCGCCTTGAGCATCACAAACCTGCATCGTTGGCGCACGGAATGAATGCTTCTGAGGTAGGCCGCGGGGTCGATATTCGGATCGGGAGGCGGGGAGATGGGGATTTCAGGAATTGTCGGGCTGCCATTGGACTTGAGGGAGAGCGGAACTTTCAAGGACGCATTTGAGGTCCTGGCACTGTTTGTCGAGATGAACGAATCTTGCTCGTCCCTCTCGTGCGAATGCTTAGCATCCTTGCGCCTAAACAGACCCATTGTTGGAAGCTAAAGGGGGGGGGTGGGTGTGTGGTAGAGGTGTTCTTGACGGCAACGGCGGGCTGCGTGGGAGAATTGCGGGCGATCGGGATGACGGGTATCGACGCGGCACACAGAACCAGGGCGACAGAAGCCAGCAGTCAAGGGACGAATGCCATGCAGGCCGGGCCGTAGAGGCTGATGAGCGAGCAGCAGCAGCAGCAGCAGCACAGCAAGCAGTTAGTGTTCGGAGTGGCCAGGAGGAGGTGGAGAGGGAGTTCGCAACTTTAGGTTGGCGGGGGGCGATTCGGGTTCTGCGCTTGCTAAGTCACGACTTAAAAAGTCAACTCAGCGCAGCGGCAGCATCCATGGCGGGCTTTCTGGACGACACCCGCTGCCGAGGGAATCCTAGCGACGTGTTCTGTTTCGCGAACTAGACTGCTTAGGCTGCTAAGGATGCGTTTCGCACGCCGCGCCGCCGCGGACGACCAGGCCTAGCTCGCGATCTAGCGCGTACCCGGCCAGTTGGGCATGACCAAGATCGCGCCGGCTGCTGCCAACTTTGCCTCAAACTCTCTAAAGCCGATCCGGAGCGCGGAGATAGTTAGATACCTCGAAGGGGAGGAGGGGTAGCTGGCTGGGTGAGCAGGAGACGCGAGGCCGGGGGGGATTGGCAAAGGAGCTGCTGGCTGCGGGGGAGGGGGGGGGGGGTTGGACAGGGAACGGCTGGGCGCACGGCGCACGGCGAGGGGGGCAGCTGGGACGGGCAGGTCTCGCTAATTTCGGTTGCAGAGCGAGCGAGCGAGTGTCCGGAGTACACGCGCGCGCCGCGAGATGAGGGTGTGGCAAATGCTGGAGCCGACACACGGCGGGCGCCAGCATCGCCGTCGCTAAAATGCACGGGGAACGCAGCGCCGCCAGAGCCCCCCGACCGCCGGTCTGGAATCCGCGGCCCGAGCTTAATTTATGGGCCTGCCTTGGCCACGCCGCCGGTGATGGCAAATGGGAAGAGGAGACGGCCAGCTCTCGCTGCCGCTGCTTGAAGCTGTGCTACTACGGAGTATAACCAGCACCTCCAGCAGACGGCGGCGCGCGCGCGACATGCCCGGCTGGACGCTCCCCGGGCGCGCCGCTGCAGGGGCTGCTCGTCCCCGCCCGCCCGCCTCGCCCCCAGGGCCGCGTCTCACCAGGCACGCAGTGCGACCGCAGCCTCTCCAAGCTCTGCTGGCATCTGACTAGCTAGTAGTAGTAGTGAGCAGCTCAGACAGCCTTGACGCCGGCCCCACCAAGGGCGTTCCAAACCCACAGCTGCCTGCCGGCCTCCATGACGACCTTCGTTCACCGTCCTTCATTATCACTGAACATAGGTGCTTCTTGCGTGTTCGTGCGTGACGGACCACTGCAACTGGGCTTCCACGATACCACCTTGCGTGGCCAGCGTACGGCCCTGACGCGTGGGAGGAGGGACAGCTCGAAGGACCGGATGCACACACGGTCCACGTTACACCCGTCCGTTCCGCCTCTGCTGTCGTCCTGATCGCACGGAGGGACGGTGGATTGCGGCCAGTGGAGAAAACCTTGCTCGCCTGCGGAGAGGCGGCACTCAGGACGGACTACTCCGTGACCCGGGAGGAGCTCTGAGAGACAGACAGACACAATTCAGCACACCGTTTTCCGATTGGCGCCACCAGACAACAACTAACTAACTAACTAACTAGTCAGACATGCAAGGCTGAGACTTTTAGTTGCTGACTGTTGCCAACTGGATTTCAGCCATCGAGCCAGAACCAGTGCCGAGTCGTGATCTCGCCTAAGCTGGTTCCGGAAGAAAAAAGCGGAGTCCTCAAGGAACAACATGCTTCACTGTCAATTAACGACGAGCCTTGTCCTCTCATCTGAAATAGCAGGGTGATTACGTGCCCAGTGGGATCATCAGGATGCAGCAACATGCGCGCTGCTGGTCTTGTCCCCACGGCATCGCTACCTTCCTCGTATTGTTGCCTTCGTTCGAATGACTCGCCATCCATAGGGGGCTGCCTCCGGGCTGCGGCAGAACTCCGCAGCAGAGTGCGCGTTCATGCAGGTAATGCGATTCCAGCCAATAACCCTGCTGTTCGACGGGGTCGAAATACCACCAAGGAAGGGCGTGGGATCTGGGACATCCCGGCTCCTAGCCACCGGCGCTGGGAAGTGGTCTGCAGGCACCGCATGCCCAGCTGGTCTGTGTTATTATTTATTTGTCTCTGATTAGCCCGGGCCCTCATGGGGGACCCTGCAAACATATCCAGCCCACCATGACTCTGCGTAGCGTTGTTTGTTTCTCTACGGAGTACGGAGTATCTCTTGCTCAATCATGGCCAACCAAGGGAAGCGAAGCAGCAGCACAGTATCTGATTGAGGAACTCAGAAGTTTCAAGTGACTCTTTTCCTCTCAGCAGACCTGTACTCAATGCTGGAGGTGCTTTGGCCCTATTGGGAGCTGTTGTCCTTCAGCGAAGCGAGTCTTGAATCGACTTTTTGTGGAGCCAGTAAATGACGATGATGCTTACTAATACTGAAATTGTCTTAATAAGCGTGTAGTAAGCCAGGACACGTTTGCTTTGTTTGTAAACTGACATACATACGACAGTGATCGGGAGTACAATGGTTGTGATGTTCACAAAGCAATTGCTCTGACACAGTCTGGTTCATTTGCATAGCGCAATTTAGAGCATATTTTCATTTAGAGAAGCTATGCATGGGGCTGTGGCTCGACATACTCGTTATTCGCATGCCTGTATGCTTTTGATCTGTTAACTTCAGGGCTCTAGGCCACGCCATTCATTTTCAATAGCCTTTTACATTCGACATGGACGACCTGTCGGGCTTGAACTGGACAGGAAATTCAGAGCCGCAGCGTCGCTTGCCAGTATCAGATAACCTCCGTGCTCCCAACGCTCGTCTCACGCCCCCGATCTCCGGTCGGTCTACCCCTCTTGCTGCCTCCGCCCCCCGAACGGCCTCGCCATCGCAACCTCTAAGCCGCACAAATGATAGCTTTGCAAATTTGGTAAATTTTGGATCAGGCGCCGCTGGGAAGAACCTTTCACTCGCTGAGAGGCAAAAGCAATTGGCGGAGCAGAAAGCTTTGGAGGAGAGGAAGAAACAGGAACAGCTAACGGCGCAATATGGTGGTAATAATGATCAATTTTGGGATAAGCTAGAGAGACCTGCTGCTTCGAATAACCCGTTTGCTGGAGGTTCCGCGAACGGGAATGGTACAACTTCTGCCGGGATTGCTTCGCCGAGCCGCGATCTCGGTATCGAAGAGGACGAGGATGACATCCTAGCTGCGTTCAATTCATCGGCTCCCGTGGACAAGTCGACGAACTTTCCGATCCCCAGCTCTACTGCGTCTCCTGCCCCAATTGTGGGGTTACAAGCATTGTCTAGTAATGATTTTACGCAGAATGAAGATGATGATCCATTTGGCCTGGGTAATATGGGCCAGAAGAAAACGCAACCTAGCCAACCTATAAACGATGCCAACGATGATGATGATGATATTCTAGGGCTACTTGGAAAACCTGTGTCTGAGTTTGCCAGCCCTCCAACAAAAAGTCCCAGCCATGGACTCGAAGCTGAACACACACCTGACGGCCAGGCCTCTACCCCTGCCAGCACTACCCCCGTTGATAGAGCTATTGCTGAGTTAGTTGATATGGGGTTCCCGATTGAAAAGGCTAGCCAGGCCTTGGCAACAACGGAATCCGGCACAGATGTTCAAGCTGCCGTGGGCTGGCTTCTTAATACCGCCCATGCCGAAGCGCGGGAAAAGGCGAGGGGTAGGAGCCACAGTGCCCAGGCCCAAGCTCGTTCAGAACGTACTCCCAATGGGCATCGTGATCGTTTTACTGGTGATCTTCGCGACGCAAGTCTTCCTTCCCGAGTACGACGCCAAGAGAATTTAGAGGCTAGAAGCCAAAGGAAAGGAAGCGTGGACAAAGATGCTGCCCAGATGGCCTCTGAGTTTGGAAATAACTTTTTGAAGTCTGCCAACTCGCTGTGGAAAAGCGGGACGAAAAGAATGCAGCAGGCGGTTCAGGACTTTAATTCGACACCAAACCCATCTCAACCCCGATGGATGACAGAATCGCCATCCGAAAGAGAGAAGTTTCAAGAAGGAGTACGCAAAGCACCAAGCAGAGCTGTGGCATCAGAGAACGGCATGACTGTCACGGACGAAGCCATGCTCTTGGAAATGAAAAGGGCACCATCCAGCAAGCCTCAACGACCAACCAGAACTCAAACACCTTCACATCCTGTAGCATCCCAAGGTCGTCTGCGGGAGTTTTCCCCAGCAGAGCAGCAGCGCACGACCACTCAGCAGCCCCGGCAAGCCAAACAGAGCGTTCGTGGTCCGCCTGTTAACGAGAGTCGCGCACGGTTGTCCCGCCTAGCTGCCGATGAGCAGGCATCCCAGGCATATGTTAGTCCGGCTAGGAGAAGAAAAGCTTCGCCACAGGTGTTTTCGGAAGCAGAGCCCGATTTACTTGAGGGATCTAGCAAAGTAACCCATGCGCCCCCTGAAGTCAAACAACAGCCACAGCCATCGCGACCCAGGACTTCGCCGCCTGTGGTACCTCGACCAAAAGCACCCCCAAGACAGATTCCTCAGATTTCGCCTTCCAGCCTCTCCTCGTCGCACAGGCATCGCCAAGAAGGCACCGCTGCTTTTAAACGTGGAGATTACGCTACCGCACATGCATCCTACTCCTCTGCCATTTCCTTGCTACCTACAGATCATCCTATCACAATAGTTCTTCTCACTAACCATGCATTAACAGCCTTAAAAATTGGCGAACCAAAAACCGCTATTGTAAACGCAGACCGTGCGCTGTCAATCATTGGGCCCTGCAAGGGTGAATCTGAGCATATTGATTTTGGCAATGGCGAACCGCAGAAGGAAATGAAAGAATTTTTCGGAAAGGCAATGATGCGTAAAGCCGAAGCCCTGGAGCAACTTGAAAAATGGAATGATGCAGCCGTGATTTGGCGAGAAGCCCTGGAAGCCGGACACGGTGGTAGCACCAGTATTCAGGGGAGGACCAGATGCGAAAAGGCTGCTAGTTCTCAATCTAGGAGTTCACCATCTACGCAGTCCACGCCGCCGGCGCGTCCCCCACCGCGAAAAACGCCTGTTCGTACACCACGAGCCCCAGTACGGCCCGCGGTCTCGACTAAACCTGCAGAAGCGGTCAGTCGGCTTCGAGAAGCAAATGAAGCAGCTGATCGCTTAGATAATGAGAAGTTTGCCCTTGCTGATACTGTGGAGGCCAGGCTTACTGCTTGGAAAGGGGGCAAGCAAGATAATTTGCGAGCGCTGCTGGCAAGTCTAGACACTGTTCTATGGTCTGAAGCAGGCTGGAAGAAACTCAGTATGGCGGAGCTGGTGCTGCCGAATAAAGTGAAAATCCACTACATGAAGGGAATCTCCAAAGTACATCCTGATAAGGTATGTCGAAAATGAGTCTGCTATCCTGTCCCACCCTAGTTCGATTGTTTAATCTCAAAGGGCCCGCATAGCGACCCCCTGCTAATCAAGATAACAGATCCCGGTAAATGCGACAACGGAGCAGAGAATGATCGCCGGAGCCGTTTTTAGTACCTTGAATGAGGCATGGGACAAGTTTAAACAAGAGAATGGATTATGAGAACATCCGTCTACGCGTATACCTTTTTTGCTTTCTCTGTTCTCGTTAGACCTACGGAGTAGATGATAGCTGTTACAGCCTCGCGACCCCCGCGCACTCGCTCACGGGGCATGTTTAAACCATAATTCATTTGCTGTTACGATTCGTTATACTCCCGTGCGCGAAATCCGATCATGATTAGAAATTTTTTATTGCATTTGTTCTTCGTAGTTTTTGTCTATCCTAAAGCGTTGTTGTTGTTGTAGTAGTAGTAGTTCATATTTACGTTCCTCTCATCTGGCAGCGTAACTATGTCTTGAGCCCGTTTTCTGCCCGCGCCTTTGCAGCTTCAGCTCTAGCTTCGCGCTTCATTTGCTTCTTGCTTTTTTTCGTATTCTCCCGTGGGGCCTCACACCGTGCCGACGGCCAATTTTCTCTGCACTGCTGTTCGTCGTCATCAGACCAGGTGCAGGGTAGAACTGCGAAGACCAGGTAGGAAGTGTGGGTTTTGAGCTCTGGTTCGGATCGGTGGACCACGCGGCCTTGTTTGAAGAACGGCGGAGGCCCCTGGTCTTCGGACTGGGACCGAAGAACGTTAGAGGCGGGAGTGGCAGACTTTGTTCGTATTGCTGCAATACCTCCTCCGCCGTTGCCGTCTTTCAGTTGGTTGGCGCCGTCTGTTTCGCTGGGCAGTTGGTTCTCGCGATATGCTTCGCGCATGGATTTTGCCTGCTCCTCTGATCGAAGCTTGGAAAGAGCCTCTTCGACGTTCCGTGGGCCAGGAATGGAGCCGCGGATACCGCCATCGCACTCGACACCATGTATTTCTCTCCGTACTTCAATGTTACGGTGAATTACTTCGACCATGGATATGGAGAGCCACGAGTGCTGCCGCAAGGCGCTTATAGTTTGCTGAACCTGCTCCAGACACGGTGAGAAGGTACATATATATACCGGTGACGACGGATCTAATGGAGACTCGGCACCATTAGGAGGGTCTCGAACAAGATGTTTGAGAGCCAGCCACGGGGCAGGCAAGTCAAGAAAAATAGCTTGTGCTTTGGGCGATACACCGTTCCAAGGTGGCCCCAAGAGAAATCCGTCATTGTAAACGTCTCGATGGTTCACGCGAACGATCCCTTCTAAACCGTGGCTCCTGATCTCTTCCCGGACCTTTTGTGCCCGTGTGTCGTGGAATTCGAAGCTGGAAACCTGGCCAACCCGCCTTCTTTTAGAATCATGGGTTTCACATGGATAGCCATTAAAGACGGCTCTGGCTGCCGCGTGCGTGAAAGATCCGCTTCCAGCTCCAGCTTCAATTATGGAGCTGCCAGGGCGCGCGCGGAGACGGTGGAGAATGTAGCTGTAGTCGGCCGTGTAGACCACCTGGGTCCGATGCGGCAACGACGATGTCCACGATTCAGGCGTAGGCCGTAGCAGATGAACAAAGCCGCTTGTTGTCGCAATCGCATCAGGCGTATTCGACCCATCGACCGCATCCGAGACTTCAACTTCCTCCAGCTTTCTCTTCAACGACTGCTGGGCATTTTCAGCCCTAGGCTTCCGGCCTCTGGAGCCCGTATCGACCTTCGACGCGATGATCTGCGAGCCCCATGGCTTATTGATCAAAGTGCTGTGTGGAAAAGAGCCGTATCGCGTGTTGGTCACTTTTCCCTCCTTGTAGCCCAGGTTCTCGTCGTCGTGCGCGCTGAGGGTGGTGGCTGTGAGGAGACTGCGGCGCAGATGGAGGATGGCGAGCGAGCCCTCCTGGGCGATGGGCTGCGACGAAAGGAACGGCGAGGCCATTGCGAGGTTCCCCGGCTCTTGGAGGCTCCTCATTCGTGAGCGGAAGCGACTGGATCGAAGTGTGCCGTGTCGTTGCGATTCTTCCCCGCAAAAGAAACCAACGAAAAGCTCGCGTTGGCCGCTTTAGGGCTGCGCTGCGGCTGGCTTCTCCTCCCACGCCCAACGCCTCTGCCCGCCGTCTTCTGCTCCCTCCCGCAGCCTCTGCACGCCTACGAGCGTGACTCACTCGCCCATCCCTCGATCCCGCTACCATCCCTCCCGCGCCGCCCATATATGATCCTCCTGCGCCGGACCCTCTACTCGCTGCGCCCAACTCCCGAGCTGCCACCGATACGCCCCGCTACACTTCGTACCTTTTGCTCGTCCCCTGCCATGGCTGCCCCGCGTGAGCAGCCGCCGTGGAAGCAGCCGTCGCTGCGGCCTGAATCTGCCTCGCAGCTCCCACCGCTGAAAATATGGAATTCCTTAACCCGATCCAAAGTCCCCTTTGTCCCTCTTGACCCCAACGGCAAGCAAGTTACTTGGTATGCCTGTGGCCCAACGGTCTATGACGATGCGCATTTAGGTCATGCTCGAAATTATGTGAGCACGGATATCCTGCGAAGAGTGTTGCGAGACTACTTCAAGTTCGACGTCCGGTTTGTTATGAATATCACGGATGTGGATGATAAGGTAATCGTGTACTCTTTTCATGCGCCCTGATAAAAGTGTTGCTCACACTGGGAGCAGATTATCACCAGAGCCAGACAGCAGCACTTGTTTACGGAGTATATGACATCTCATCCTTCCATCGATACCTCTGTCCTCGAGGAGATCACCTTGGCCTATCATAGCTACGTGAAGAAGAATCTGCCGCTGTTAGAGAAACTCCCCGAGCCGGAGAACTTTTCTACAGAAGTATTATTGATTTACGGACATATTCTCAATGGAGGAGCCCTCAATGCGGGTGATAAGCCGGGAGATAAGGAGGCTAAGATAAAAATGCATATCAAAACAGCTATTTCAGCAACGAATGCCCTTGCTGATGCTCGTTCTGAGAATCATACCATTTTGAGCGAAACTTTTTACGATCTTGTTCAGGATATTGTGCTTCCATATTTGGACAGCTTAAAGGGGTCGTCAATTCGTGGCGAAGATTATTCCATATTTACAAAGCTAACCAAGAGATTCGAAGATCGGTTCATTGAAGATGCTCGTGCTTTAAACATCATAGATGCGGACGAGATCACTCGAGTCACGGAGTTTGTACCAGAGATCGTGAGCTTTGTTGAGCAAATAGTTCAACATAAATTCGCATATGTCACTGGAGATGGGTCTGTTTACTTTGATATTGCTGCTTTTGAGTCTGTCGGGAATCATTACGCTCGCTTGGAGCCCTGGAACAGAAATGATACCACGCTCCAAGCAGACGGAGAAGGTGCTTTGATCAACAAATCAGTGGAGAAGCGTTCCAAAGCGGATTTTGCTCTCTGGAAAGCCTCCAAAGCTGGTGAGCCAAGCTGGCCTAGTCCTTGGGGCCCTGGACGGCCGGGATGGCATATTGAATGTTCTGCAATGGCGTCTGCCAGGCTTGGAAAGCAAATGGATATTCACTCTGGTGGTATCGACTTAGCTTTTCCACACCATGACAATGAGATTGCACAGAGCGAAGCATATTGGCATGATGGTTGCTGCCATGATCAGTGGGTTAATTACTTTATGCACATGGGACACCTATCAATACAGGGCTCGAAAATGTCCAAGTCTCTCAAAAATTTTACAACCATCCGTGAAGCTCTAGAAAGGGCTGACTGGACCCCAAGAAGTCTTCGTATTGTCTTTCTATTAGGAAATTGGGCAGATGGTATCGAAATAACGGAAGACCTGATCAAAGCTGGCAATGCGTGGGAAGAGAAGCTGAATAACTTTTTTCTAAACGTCAGAAACCTTCCGGCTGATAATGGCGCGCCCTCTCCATCGGATGATTCCTTAATTACTCACTTAGAGTTTGCTCGGAAGGGGGTGAATGACAGCCTATGCGACTCGTTCAACACCGCGAGTGCCATGGCGGCTATTTCAGAACTTGTCTCGCAATATAACATTCTTGATAAGTCAAAACTGAACAGTGAACATATTCAAGATGTGGCCAGATGGGTGACATCGATGGTAAACATATTCGGGTTGAATGGATCTGCAAGGCCAGATTCCGAGGAAGTAGGCTGGTCTGGAATAGAGATCCCTGATGCGGCCAGACCCTACCTTTATCCTCTCTCGTCAATGAGGGATACCCTGCGAGACAGTGCCCGTGGGAGTTCTGGCATTTCAGCTGATATTTTGAAGTCAGTAAGCGCGCGAGGCGAGGAAGCATTGAAACATGATGTTCCTGTTCTTGAGGCGGCTCAACCGTACAAACGAGTTCTGGACGATTTCTGCACGAAGCTAGATTCACTGGAACAATCCGATACGATTTCTAAAGAAGTATTGGCTCTTTGCGATCGGGTACGTGATGTTGACCTCTTTGACCTAGGAATTTATCTCGAGGATCGGCACGAGCGACCGGCGCTCGTGCGAACAGTTTCCAGAGAGCTTATGGCGGCTAGGGAAGAGAAGGTAGCCAGAGCAAGGAAGAAGCAGCTAGAGAAGGAAGCTAGAGAAAAGGAAGCGCGAGAAAGGGCAGAAAAGGGGAAAATTAGCCATTTGCTTATGTTCCGTACCAACGAATATAGTGCATGGGATGAGAATGGTCTTCCAACCAAAGACGGCGATGGAAACGAGCTACCAAAAAGCAGAGCTAAGAAGCTGAAAAAGGAATGGGAAAGACAGAAAAAGGAGCATGAAGCATGGCTGGGAAAACAAAAATAAGCTATAGGATATAGATTTTGGGGTTTGAATGAGAACCTGCAGTGCGGTCCTTTTCTTTCATATCAGACACCCCGTTGTGTATTTTGTATAGCTGACAGAAGCCAACCTTTCTTGCATAGCATCCATCCGATGAGCAAGTCAACTATTTCAAAAAAGGTGAAAAATGTAATATAGAGAGAGGCTGCGAGATTTATTGTCCAAGCGCGTCCGTCGTACGATCGCCACGGAGCCTCTGGTCTCCATATCACCCCCTGGTGACGTCATGACTCCATTCAAACTCAACCCGATTTTTGGAAAAGAAATCTTCAGGCAATTGAACAAGAGGCGCTGTATTGCCTGCCTTCAGCTTCCAAACCACTGCTCGTACTTGCAGGCTGTGCCATTCTCTATTAATTTTTCGAATTCGTATTCTGATATTTTCGTCTGGCGAAAAGCCGAAGATTGGGGCGCGAGGCGAGAAATGTTTCCTCCAAGCCCAGGCACGCAGCTGGACTTAGAGGCCCTCAGTGGGATTTTTGGGTATGTTCTGTAATTAAATGGTGTGTAGCCATGTTCTGATACGAATATCTCCTTGCCTAGATCTATATCCATCGCTTGCTGGGTTGTGGTATTCTCTCCACAGATTATAGAGAATTTTCACCGGGGGTCTGCAGATGGCCTCTCGTTACTATTTCTCATCATCTGGCTGGCTGGTGATGTCTTCAATATCCTCGGCGCGGTTCTTCAGGGGGTGTTGCCGACTATGATCATCCTGGCCGTCTACTATACCCTGGCTGATATTGTGCTATTGGGTCAATGTTTCTATTACCGGGGCTTCTCCCTATCCGATAAAACCCCTGCTCCGAATTCTACATTTTTAGAGAATGGCGAGGCTCAAGACGAACAGACAGCCACCTTGTCGGAGGAAAGGACGCCACTCCTACTCGCATCGTCTTCACAAAATGGCATTTCACAGCGTCGAGGCAGCTCTCCTGAACGTCGCTTATCTCTTGCTTCGGCATCTTCAATTTGTGATCACTTTGGTCTCATTGACAGTACACATCTTTCCCCTGCAGTTCCTCTTGTTCCACCCCCAAAACCGCTCACCCGTACCGTTTCCAAACCAACAACGGCATTCCAGAAATTTATTTGGAATTTCTTTGCAATCACTCTGGTTTGTGCTGCCGGCGTACTTGGCTGGTATGTCAGCATGCGCTCCGTGGCGCGCAGTAGAAGATACCCAAATCCTAACCGCGCTCTTGATATTGACGTTCTAGGCCAGATATTTGGGTATCTCTGCGCGGTTCTCTATCTTGGTAGCCGAATCCCACAACTCCTGCTGAATTGGCGCCGGAAGAGCACCGAAGGGGTTTCACTACTATTCTTTCTGTTTGCGTGCATAGGCAACCTGACCTACGTTTTATCTATATTTGCATACTCACCCGTATGTTCTGGCAGAAAAGGCCAATGTTTGCCTGGAGAGCGAGAGAGAATATATGGAAGGTATCTACTTCTTAATGCCTCATGGCTACTGGGTAGTTTGGGGACCCTCTGTTTGGATTTGGGAATTTTTGCGCAGTTCATTATATATCGAGAGGATGAAGACGAAGACCAGGATGTTTAAACTAATATTTCAGTAAATGCAATAAAAGGAAGGTATCTACTGGGTTAGAGTAGTGATTTGTGAATTTTAGACTAAAAAGATACGGCGCTGAAAAAGAATTTGATTTGTTTTACACTTATATTTTGTTTTAGTAATTGTCTATCTTTTCTATTAGGCTTGCCTCATGGGATGAGAGGAATCTGCGACAAACAAACCATCTACACATAAATTATTTGAGACTAGCATGCATCAACGACTAAAGTCTACCGCCTGAATTCAAAAGTAGTATTATTTAGAGGCTTTTTACTAAGGAGCTTCTGTGTACAATGAAAATTTTGAGCAGTGCAGTGTCACGGATGCCAGCTAGAATATGCATTGATAAATCACAACAGTAACGTTTTGGTTTAATCACCAGGCGGGTGTTCTTGAACTGGTCCTTTACCTACTTCGCTCCAATTGGTGCTCAATGCGGTCCCTTTGCTTTCATAATAGCTTTTCATCATTGCACGCCTGGTGTCGTCATCGGAATTTGCATAGAGCTTTTTGAAGAAAGCATCAACAGGATCGCCTGCATTATACTCCTCTAGATCAGAATCTGCATCGGCGTCCTTATTCTTATCGCTAGTATTACTAGCTTTCTTGGCACTAAGCTCAGCTGCAACTTTGTCCCAGTCCTTGGCGCCGCCCCGAGCAGAAGTGGGATATGCGGGCGCTTTTCCCACAGCGAAAGCTGATGAAGTCGATGGGACCGGGTAAGTGATAGTTTCACCGGAAGAGATTGGCGATGATTCCAGAGATGCCCATTTTTGCCCGGGTTGTCTTTTGCGAAGAATGATTTCAATTTTAGTGGACATCACTGACGATTTTGATTCCTCAACATCCACCGCAGCGAATAATGGATCCAGACTGAAAGTAGAATCAGAACTGAGACCTGTCGGAAAAGTTATAGATAGCTATTGAAAAATCAGTGCGAATTCGGAAGATGGGTAACGGAGGGGAATCTTACAGAGCGCTCCTGAATTTCGATTTCAGCTTTATCCTTGGGAACCCCCTTGGCATAAAGAGTAACAACCACGGTGTCGTGATTTTGATACCATTCGTGCCTATACTTTTTACTGGCAGGATCTTGAGGGGCAGAAGGGATTTCTACGGACGTTGAATTGGTTTGAGCACCCACCGCATCCGATCCTCCAGTAGAGGTTTTAAACGAGTCTCTTAAGATATTAGAAGTATTGACCTCATTTTTTCTCGCTTGCACTGATGACGACTCAATGCCAGCCTTCATATCTTTCAGCTGGGCTTGGTATAGCTTCTTCAGCTCGGTAGGATCCGGAATAGTGATCGATGGAATTTCTTCCACGGTAACCTTAGCTTTCTCATCCCCAGGTTCTAGCTTTTGAAGCTGAGAGGCGACTTTAATTTCCCAAATTGTTAGCTCCTGCCCCCTGTTACTAGCTTCGCGAGCTGCTGTAGACTTATCCGCTGGATTCATGGCAGACATTGCGTCATCGGTGAGCGACTTCGGTTTAGTATGGCCGATTTTGCCCCTCAAGAATCTAAACAGGAAATCGGCATCACCAAACTGATTCATTTGATAGAGCACGATAGCCCGTCTCAGCTGGCCCGCGAGAATTAACTCACGTCTTGCGCGTCGTATACCCAGAGCCACAGCCATTTCTGAATCACGAAGAGCCGCTTTAAAGTCAGGACCGCCATCGGCTGGTTTTAGGCGTAAATATGCAGTGGATCGTTTAATGTAGTAATCGGTGGCATGAGGATTAACAGTTAGAGCTTGTGTGAAGTTCTGGATAGCCAGGGGGAAGTTTGAGGCTGATATAGCTTTTGCACCTTGCGCAGCGTAGTCCATGATTGCGTATTGGTAGACTCCAACCCCGCAGAGGGGCGAGAAGCTTGCGGATTAGAATGATGCACTTTGATCACAGCATAGGTCAGTTGATTTGTAAATGCATATAGTCAAATCCGAATGTCAGTATTAACATACCTTATGGGGTGTCACCTTTGGGAAGGGGAATGTATTTACAAGCTGCTTTGTTCTCTGCAGCCAAAGCTGTTTTGAACTCTGGCTAGTGCAGCTAGAGGCTTAATTAAGAACCAGTTAGATGCACGTGACTTGATTAGAAGGGGACTGTCCGTGTTAGTTGGAAAAGTTACGACAGCTAACTAATCTATGATTTTTCTCATGGTTATTGGAAACTAAGGAGTATAGGCAATTTAATATCTGGGTGTGAGTGAAAGGATGTGCATAGAATTATCATTATTCTTCGAGTTCTTTAATACCATGGAACAGAAGATTAGGGAAAGAAAGCCCTAGGATATTAAAAATAAGAAAATAAAAGGCCCCTAGACAAAGAAATAATATTCACAGAATTTCATCATTTCCGAATTTATTTGCATAGAGCCCAAGGGCTCTAACAGGCCAATATAGCTTGTAGTTTGGGTATGAGATCATACTGGGCCAATTGTTAGATCTTGAAATGCATACAGTGATCAAGAAGACTTACCACGATTGATTAAACACGCCTTCAATACCTTCCTGTAACCATTCTCCATTTGATTGTTGTTTCAACATGATCACTTTCATCGCCTTCTGAAGCGGGGCCTTTTCTGGGTACCCGGCTTCCATTAAAGCAAGGCATGCCCAAGAGGTCTGGACAACCTGAGACGTTGGGCTATGAGTGTATGTTTTTAACTCCGAACTTAGATACGACTCGCCCCAGCCGCCATCCGCCATCTGTTTGTCAAGAAGATACTTGCAGCCGCGGCGCACTCTTTCGCTCGTCTCGTATGTCTCGCCAACCATTGCGAGACTTTCCAAGGCAAACATAGCAGCATATGTAAAACAAACACCCCAGCTACCGTACCAGCTTCCATCCGGCCGTTGGACTCGGCGGATGTAATCGACGGCTTTGTCCCGCACTCTTTTGATGTCTGCCGTTCGATAATCCGGATAGAATCGACTAAAGTATGACAATGCAGTGACTGACGCGGTTGTGCATTCAGGGTAATCATATCCAATCATAATCCCCCCAAATACTTCAGCGGCATTAAGGCATTCGATATACGCAGATGCCCTTTTTGGTTCGTAGTCCGGAAACCCACCAGAGGGATTCTGCATCTCTAATAATGTATCAACTGCGTCTTTCAAACGCCTTTCAGATATCAAGGTTGGGTAGCCATATTGATTTTGTAACTGAAGAGCTGATCGAAGGCCTTCCGCAGTGCAATCGCTAACCGTGTAGCCTTGGGCCTTTGTGCTAAAAGGCCATGCCCCTTTTGACCTAAAACGATAGCAACTTTTATAATCTGGATGGTCCTCAAGAATCTGCTGGTCTTCTAAAAACTCAAGAGCTTTTAGAAGCATGGGACGCCACTTTGGATCTTTGGCAAATCCGGCAACTACTACTGCCTGTATGACAAAAGCTGTATCCCATAATTGGACGCCATTCGTTCCGTTCATGAGCATGCCTTCGCTCTTCATCCACAGGAAATCGTGGAGGTGATCTAGATGACGACTAACGGAGTGGCTGTTGGGGCCATCATGGATATAACAGCACAGCGTGTTCATAGGGGCATTAACGGGTCCTAGGCAAGCATAATCCGTATTTTTATCTTCTTTTTCAATCAAATACCACACCCGGTCCTCTGCTCTTTTGACGAGAAATGGCCATCGAAGATATGCTATCCACACATTTGCCATAAACCAAAACATGACTTTCAGTAGCCATGATTTTGGGTAATAGTTATCCTGCTTTGCAATCGAATTTCTGTGTAGAGAAAAGTCAACTAACTCGTACGGCTGCGTGTATAGTTCTTTGCGAAGTTGAGTTGTAAGCTCGTCAGGCGGATGAGCGAATTGCTTGGAGTATATATAGGTCATTGGAAGAAAGACTTGTCGCATATGGACCCACCAGCGCCAGGGTGCAAAGGGAACCCAATCGGGCAATAACCTATTACATGGTTATGTGAGAACTATCTAATGGATTGGAGCATAACTTACCATAGTTCTGCAGGTACTGGATTCACGCATTTCCAATCCATAACCCCCAAAACACTCAGCCAGAACTTCGCCCAGTGAGGGCCGTATACAGCACCGCCGAGGTTATGGAGTAGCATGCGAGCTTTAACCATCCGGGAATCTTCTGCATCGACACCCAAGAGTCGCAGGGTTGTGTAATTCATTGCAGTGCCAAATACCGAACTATCACCTTCAATGTGAAGGCCCCAGCCCCCGTCCCCAGCGTGTTGACGCGCGAATAGATATCGTTGTATTTCGATTGCAATTTCTCGGGGAACCGGTGTTTTCGTTACATACCATGTAATAACCAGCCCAGGAAGTAGAAACATTGGCCCTCCATACTCGCAAGCCCAATTTCCAGGCGGAAGCTGGAGATGCGACAAGAAGGACAATCCATTATCAGCTGCTTCCAATGGAGTTTTCGCGTGAGGAAGTTCGGGTAGCCCCTAAATCGAATTAGCAGGCAAAATAAACGCGCTACAAAACAATACCAACCGTTGGAAGACCAAGATGGTATTTGTCCGCAGTTGTTTGCGGCCATTCCTTCAAGTCTTTCTGTGTTTTCAGATAATGCCAGGTTTGTCTGCCATGGTCATCCAAAAGTCGCCATCTTGAATAATCAGTTTTATCTTCAGTAATACTAGCATCCTTCGTCGGTTTAGCACCACGCTTTGACATTCTGCGACAGGCTTTAGGAATCGCTACTTATTACTTGCGTGTCTGAGAATAAACACCACTACCTGTTAGTTCAGCCACCTAAACTATCATTGGCTGGTAGCCGCAAAGCCGCCGTGAACTTAAAACGGTCTAATTCATGCTGCCAAGCCTCTAGCCTATTCAAGACATTCACCCGCCTTCAGCGGCTACATGGCTTGGTAGGATCACGGGTATGAAATCTCTGTACTCCGTATACTCAATTGATATTACCATTCTCGGATATCCTCCACAGCTGTAGTTGAGGTTTATATCTCGGATAGGTGGAGGACTAACTATTTGGACCTGGGCCAGCGCATGCAGTGTCTATGCTTTTACCATTACAAACGCCTTGGAGCAGATGATGTACCTGTTCCGTGACTGCAAATTGCACAATGAGATATTTGTATAGCTTTACAATATTGGTTAGTATATGGGGTTACCATTTATATGACTTGGAGTAACACTGAACAGGAACATACACTGCCAAAGGCCAAACAATTCCTTTGGCTCAGATGGGACCCCGCGGCTTCGAGGCTTTCTTAGGTTGAAGGCCATTAAAGGGCGCGTGACGCGGATAGTGATTGGGATATGTGGTGAAGCTTGTTTAACAGTGGAAATAAATGGGCTATGTTCCTTGGTTGTTATTCTCGGCCAGGTTTCTAAGATGGGTAACCAACTACCCGAAGAACAGCGTGCTCGGCGAGTTAGGTTTGGAGCATACACGAATGTTGGGTGAAACCATAAAAATCTGATTATATTATGGAACTCTAGAGTTTGAGGTGAAGGGTTTTGATAGAAGCGCTGATGTTCTCAGCCTGTGACTTCCAGAGTTTGGTGAGGATTCAGTGACCATCTCGTCTGAGACGAATATCTTATAAGATATAGACTATGGGGCTCAGATGTAAAGACATTCGATTCTTTGGGCGACCAAACCGGATAAAAGTTTCCCTTTTTTTGGAGGCAAGCCAATATCAGAATGTGTACTTTCTTCGACCAATTTCGACTGATATTTTCCAACAGGATTCGATGGTCTTGAATGCTTTAAATTGCAGCGGCATGGTCAATCTACCTTGTAATACACAACATCGAATTTATGCACCGTAGACTGACTATTTCTTTCTGTTTTATGCGTATATCAGATGATGAATAGGATTTGGCTCTAAAAATCCCTGCGTTTTCTTACTTTCTTTTCTCGTTGCATTCCGCTTTACAGAAGTCACACACACCCTAGCAACTAACCTAGACACACTCAATTCTATACATGCCTACGAATAAACACCGCATCTCCCCTCTCTGGAAATTTGCACATGAGATGTTCCGATGTATGTCTGTGCTGCTCGCTCCAATATCCCACGTGCAGCCTCACTTGAGCCGGGGAGGGGTTTTCTTTCTTCGCTCAGAGACTCATCGCCCCCACTTCAGATATTCCCCTTTTTACAAACAACAACCCAATGGCAACGAATTGCGAGGACAGCAGTGGTTGCGGAGACAGCGGCGCCTCTCGGGAAGAAACCGTGAAATTCTTCGTCAATTCTATGCTTGATAATATTATCAATGCCCTATCCTCGCCTGATGGCCTCCCATCAGTAACGTTGAAGCGCCGACCTACTTACTCTCATTGCGTACTAGAGCCAGGAACTAGGGCTCTACAAGCCGATGAGCATGTTCAAGACACCGTTGTTACATATTCATGGCCTGGAAAAACGGCCCGAGATGCATGGAGATTCGGTAGGGTTTGATATCGGCTCATTGTGGTGCAATTTCAACTCCTCTTTGGTTCTCTTTTGACTTTGAATCGGGCTTTAGGTATTATTATGCGAATTCTAGGATGTGTCTCAGAAGCAATACAACAAAAGTTCGTGGCTTCTAAAAGAGATATTTACTATCTCGACCCTGAATATTTTGGCTCCCAACGCATTGTTGATCGCTATATTGAAGATATCGCATACACTATTGGAGTGGACCGGGCTGCGTTGCATGTGGTAATTCTCTACCTTTGCTATATACTGACTGTTTATTAACTAGTATAGACGGCAGCTGCAAAAGGCTTGACTGCTGGCCGCTATGGTATTAAATTCGCAAATGGGAGCTTGTTGAATGTTGGAGAACATAATGAAGTTGTCTTAGTACACTACTCGTGTTTTCAGAGACCTAATGGTTGTCAGGGCATCCTTATACCAAGAACTGATGATATTATTGGTTTTGATTTGTCAGGCATACGATGGGTACTCGTCGTCGAGAAAGAGGTAAGATGACAGCTGAGAACGATCGGGAGCCTTGCGAAAGTCTAATATTCATGCAGGCAGTGTTTCATAGATTGGTGACCTTGAATTATCATATTTTCTCCTCTGCCGGCGAAGGAATTCTGATAACAGTAAGTCATTCGGCATACATAGATGAGCCCTTGACAATATCTAAAGGCATGTATGTATTATGGATAGGGCAAAGGTTATCCAGACGTGTCTACGAGGGCTTTTGCCAGATTAATACTCAACAAAATCATGTCTTCAAATATTGATAACAGTGTCAGTCCTAGTATGCCGTCTTTTCCTATTCATATCCTGGTGGACGGTGATCCGGATGGCATATCCATTATGTCAACCTACAAATATGGATCAATGGCCAGAACCCATGAAAATTCAAGGCTCAATATTCGATATCTGGAATGGCTTGGACTGAAAATATCAGTCGAGCAAATAAGTGGCTCTCCTGACTGTTGTTTTATCCCATTGAGCTTGCGTGATAGAAAAAAATCGCAAACAATGCTTTTAAACAACCCGGCATTGTCGGAAGAGCAAGAGCCAGAATGGAGGTTAGAGTTACAGAGAATGTTATTCCTAAACACTAAGGCAGAGATTGAAATACTGTACGATCATTCTGGGAGTATAAGCAGGTGGCTTGATCGGGAATTGAAGGGCAAGGTTTTTTGAAGGTAAATAATAGAACTGAGTAAAGCAATAAAATCTCACAGCTGTCTAATTAATAATACGCTTAACGCCCTACATGCAAATCAACGTCAAACGTTCGGGTATCATGTCGATGGTATGGTCATTGAGGGCAACCAAGGCATAGGCCCATTCAGAAGTATATTTCGTATGGATCAGAGCCCAAAAAGTCTTCGTATCCTCTATAAGCCAAGGCTCCTTCGAACTTCTTCTCGGACTTTTTTCTCATAATCACTCCTTCTTTCTCTCCACATCTTTGCGGCTTCAACGTTCGCAGGGCTCTCATCGTTCGGTTCGGCAAGCATACTCATCACACTGATAAGAATCTTCTCCACGCTTTGAATTGGACTCCAGCGCTCAGACGCATGTTCGTAGTGGTTTGGATCATCGCCAGGTGGGTGCAGAATTGAAATACAAACTGCACCATTTGGGTATACTGAAGGGAAGACCGACATCAATACGAATTCAACTAACACTATATAGAAACACTAACCATTCGGATGCCATACTCCCCCGCCCAAGAACTTCATGGATGGTGGACTCAGCGGATAATCCTTAGGAAATTTAAGTTCGGCGGCGAAAATTCCCCCTTCGAAAGGGGTGCCTTCAGGCCCTTGGATGAGGGCCTCCCAAAGAAACATATCATCTTCTGAAACAGGACCAGCCGTAATTCCATCCGGTGGGGAGGTAGAGAGGAGTTTGTATTCGTGAAATAAGCGCTTCTGCGCAACGCCAGAAGCCATTATTGGCAGTGCGAGGATCAAAAGAGTGAGGTAGGGGAGTAACTGTCGAACTAAAGAAGTATATAGGATGATGCTTAGATGTGTAATGGGAGTTAGATATGTTGATTGTGTTTCTCAACCCCTTGAAATCATCTGCTTGAACAATTGGAGTTTGGTGTTTATTGCGGTAAAGGTAACTTGATGGCGCGGGGAAGGCGGAAATCTAACTCCGAAGCTAAATAGTTTGATGACATAAACAAAACTTCGCAGTTTGCATTGTTTGCAGACTCTTGTCAATATACGGCGCTAGAAGAAGTCTGACCAGGAATCACCACTGTCGTCATTTACATCAGACTGCCCATTATACTCATTATTTTTGAAAGGGTCTCCCTCGGGGGAATCCTCCCAGTAATTATGTCCCTGTCGATCCCATGGGCTTTCGTTACCCACGTTTTCCTCTTCTGGTGATATTTGAGCTTGATCATGGCCCTGCTCTTGCTCTCCCTGCGTACCACGCCGCATGGCTTCGTAGCCTGCGAGAGTTCCGGCACCAGCCATCCCTGCTGCGGCCCCCCCTGCCATACCTTCTGTACCCACACCGCCCAAACCAACCACACCATATGGAAGGATACCAGGGCTCCCGCTATGCCGACTAAAGTAGTCAAAATCGATCGTGACAGCTGTAGCTAGCATTATTGCTCGCTGGTCCAGGGTCATTGGAGGCATCGCTGCTCGCTTAGCAGGCGAAAGGGACGCGTTTCCTCGTGATTGGTCGTCTTCTAAACCCGCAGAGTCCATGCGTAATGCATATACTCCTGTATCAGTGAATATTTCTCGAGCAAATCCCGCAAAATTGCGGTTTACAGAGCCTATCAATTGCGCGTTTGAAGTCCTGAGGGCGAAGTCCCACGACAGCATAGGCTCATCAACATACGCAAAATGCACCCGCTGAGCCTGTGATGGCCCGCCATATTGGAGGGACACTTGAGGTTGCTGGGCTTGCGATAAACCAGAGGATGGGAATACGATAGCTTTGGAAGAAAGTTTTGTTTCCTGCACTGGGACTTCATGGAAAAGGAATAAATTGTATTTCCGACGCAGTAGAGCCCATTCCTGATGTGCCTCCCCAACCACACGCATTTGCGAATGGTCCAAGGAAGATAGCCTCGCAGCGCCCCCTGAAAGGCCCTCTGTTGGCCTGTAAATTTTGTTGCTTGCTGCTTCTAATGGATCATATACTCGAATACGCGAGTTAATCCAAGAAAACGGACGATGAAACTATGTTTATTAGCTTGTATCGTCACTATATATAACGGGAAAAGAATGTAATTGTACCCTCAATACTTCGTTTTGATGGATATCAAGAACATGTGTCACAAAAGGTCTGTGGGTATGAAGAAATTGACGACTAAGGGTATTTCCTAAGCTCGTATCTTGTTCTGCCATATATCCAACTAAATTCCCTTGGGCATCAAAAATTGTATATTTATTTGCTTGTTCAAATCCTCTTCATCTTGGTCAGTACCAGACCAAGTGAAAGAGATGTAAGTAGCATACAGCAAGACATTCATCATTTCCAACTGTCGTTGAACAACCAAGCCAGAGTTCGCGAGTATTTTCGTAGCTGGATGCCCATCTTTAAGCACAGCACCCGGATCTTCTGGAATGTGCACAGGTGCGAGAAGCGTGTTATGTTGCGGTGCCGTGTCACGAGGTGTCGACGACAAATTTTCGGCCTGTGATCTGCGTGACTGAGTCCTAAACTCAGTGTTTTTGTCTAAAGAGGCTCTTGACCGTGATGTTGAGCTTTTGCTTGGTGGCGGAAGGCTTCTTGGTGTTTGCTTTCGCAATAGCCTCGAGTCTCGAGAGGACCTGACTGACCTGCGAAGTGACCAAAATGGGATGGAGAGCACTATTCTCCGAGGCCACATCGTGGCATCACGGTGAGAGGAATACTGAAGAATGCTGTAGTACATAAGCTGAATATTGGTCTGGTGTAAGCCGTGAATAACACTATTACTGTGGCAAATCGGAGATTTGACTATTATATATCAGTAACTGGCGATGGAATTATGCCAAATACATAATAGCTGCCTACGTACAGAGCAGGAAATTTATGAGGAAGTTTTACATTCTGCAGAAATAGTATAGTTATATTTATTCTTTCAATGCAAAGAATGAAGCAATCAATATCATATTGGCTGGTGTACATACATACAAGACTGAAAAAAAAAAGAAAAAAGAAAATAGACCGGTTTGCCTTGAGTCCAATATGTCCGTAAACGCCTCGCAAATGAATTTTTCATGCGATGCCAATCAAAAGATGGCAGTATTCAACGTTTTATGTATTTCCTCTTCTCGATCAATTCTGGGAGGTCATAACAATCCCTTTCGGGCCAGCTCGACCTTTCGTGCGGCCTCACCAGCTTTAAATCCACCTCGAGAAATACAAATAGCGCTCCCGTCACCGAGTTCGAATTTCTCCTCGACACTTGGGTGTGGGCAGGGGCAGTGGTGTGGGAAGTGTACACAGGCTAAGGTCCCAGGACATAGGTAATTCGAGCATTGTGCTAAGGCAACGTTGTTAGCTTCGATGTTTATCCGAAAATAAGTTATATTTGAATAACGCCATACCGCCGTCGTATGTCTTTTGGTACCAAGCACTGTCGCTGGGAACATTTTGTTGGCCTTCCGATTCTTGCTGTTGCTGTCCACTACCCCCAAACATCTGCTCGAAGAATTGGAACTGGGCATGTACTGTAGAGATGAGAACGAACAGCCCCAGGAGGGCGTTGGCACTTATCCAAAGCATCTTTTTTGAGCTCCAGCTTGAACTATGCAAACTGTCCATCCGGCCACCTTTAGAATCTCCAACAGACCCGCCTAGAATTCTAGTCACGTGATTAAAGCACGGACCCATCTGGTGACCGTTGAGATTATATAATCAAGTCTACTCCAGAAAATTCGTGATGTCCAGATTTGGATGGCTTCAAGAGCTATCAGTATACACAGACAATATGCTGAAGCCCCAGTTATGGGTACCCATGCGGGCGCTAGAGCACTCTCTCTCGAGGTTCCGCGTGCTCGGCAAACAGCCCACAAGTCATTCCCTCCAGCAACAAATATCCTTTAATCGAACCCCCTTCCCGACTCCTCAGCACCCATCCCTTTTCGGCTCTCAATTCCGATATGCCTCACACGCCACGCAAGGTGCCGCGAACGCCCACTCCAAAAATTCCCCGGGCAAGCGTCTTGGCGCAAAAAAGACTGGCGAGCAGTATGTGGTACCAGGCAATATCATCTTTCGTCAACGAGGAACGAAATGGTTTCCCGGAGAGAATTGCGGCATTGGGAGGGATCATACTATCTATGCGCTGCAAACTGGATACGTCAAATACTACCGTGACCCACAGAGACACGCAACGAGAAAATATATTGGGGTGACTTTTGCGCGAGACGATATACTTCCATCACCCAGAAATGCACCTACAAAGAGACGCTTAGGCATGTTTGCAGCCCCACGGCAGACCGAAGACTTGGCCATTGTGCCCGAGCAGACCTCCAGTCCCCCTCTCAGGCCCGGATATCAGTACCGCGAGGGTAACTGGGAAATTGGCCGTCTCCCCGATAGAGCTGGCGTTACCGCAAGCGAGTGGAGGAGAAAAGACCGGTGGACAGCTTGGAGAAAGAAGACAGAGAAGATAAAACGAGTGGCACAGATGAAAAAGCTAAAGAAGCGGCAAAAGGTCAAGGGCAAGAAATAAACCGTTAGTTCGAGTGGCGAGCAATTATCGGGATTCTTTATTCTTTTTGGTGCGCTCCTGCGGCTTATGTACGGAGTATTAACTATGTACTGTATCATATGGTGATTCTACTTTTTTAAATCTTTGTTTTTTCGACCTACATATTGAACTTGCATTTCTTGCGTTGCTTTTTCTACGACACAGAATGTTATAAACTGACAAAGCACTCGGCCTCTGTTGTAGTAATGACACGGTTATACGACCTTCCCGTGTAATGATGGTATGGAATGCAGTCAACTGCAAAAGGGACCTCCTTTTAGCTAAGTTCTTTTGCTATGTACTCCATACAGAATACATGAAACAATCTTCTCTTATGTCTACCATTGAAGCATCGGACCAGACAAACAGGACTACTATATTTAACTATTTAAGTGAGAATAGGAGTTTCTAATGCGCCTCCCAGTTCCAAGCTCAAGAAGAATCCAGCTCTGTAGCTGTTAAAAATAGCGTTTGTTAACAAATACATTAGGTCCCTAAGCCGCAGGTTCGCTATTATTTTCTTAATATTTTATGCCGATATTGAATTCCTAGTTTGTGAAATTGAGAAGTACTTTATTCCTTTTTTTTTTAAGAAAATATTATGCGACTGCTTGTTTGATCACAACTTTGCTAGTTAGAGAATAGCAGAATGAGGCAGAAATCTGGGAGGTAACAACGTGAGAACCGCAAATGGAGTTGACAATACGAGAAACTCATTCGATCTCCGGGGCTTGTGCCGTCTTGTGTATAACTCCAAGCGATATTTCATGTTTTTCAAACAGCAAATGGATATAATGAAGGCTATAGCCGCGAAATAATCGATATGGCTCATCTACCCAGCGTTCAACCTCTTCCCAAAGTATTGAAAGATCCTTATTTTGCTGCCGCAGTACCCTATAGCTCAGGAGATAGTCTTGGCTAGCTGCACGCAAGTAGTCATATGCAGCATTTTGGAGATAAAGCGACTTGGATACTTTGGAACCCGACCAGTCATGAATCAGTGGCGTATACACAGTTATGATTGGCTTCGACAAAAAGCGCCACAGGAGTTGCTCCTGCCAGAAACCAGCATAATCACTGCCGCATATCTCAATATAGTTGAAAGGAGCGCATTCGTAAACGCGTCCCATAACAAGGTTGAACAACTGACAGTTGAACTGGAGCCGGTGGCACTCGGTTTCAGCACTACATGAAAAGCGGCCATGGTGTGGACAATTGAAGGAGATACTCAATCCATCGTCCGCGTACACGTTTTCCGCTCCGTATTTGTCAACAAGCCCGCAAGTAGGGCAAGCGGAGCGGATGGCAAGCTTTCCAGTCAATGGAGCAAGCACCTTCGCAAGAGATGACCGATCCTTTATGATAGCTTGAATAACTTCGGGTATTTCAGGGCTTTTAAGAAACTCCTCCTCAAGGCGAAGCTTGTATAATATTCCATATCTTCGAGACAGAGATCTAAGAATTTCCTGGTAGTCCTGAAGGTACTTTTGTAGAGTCCCAGTATCTTGAAGACACTTTTGATACACGATACCGTTGATTTTTTCCTGTGATCCTTTTGCCCTATCCCATAAATCACATGTTACGAGCACATCCATGCCTAGGTCTTTCAAGCGGTGTGCGACCACGAAAGCCAACGAAAGACTGCAAAGGGTACCAATATGAGGAGAGTTATTTGGCTGGATCACAATGTTGATTTCGGTTCGACGGTTAGGATTGGGAACCAAGGTCTTAAGAAACGCAGGGTAATCATTTTTGAATACATAGGAGCCGCCGCCGAGCGCATGATGGGATGTCAGGTCATACGCAATAGGAATCTTCGTTTGAAGTTCAGAGCAAGCTTGAGGACCCATAGTCAGTCGATTCTTGGGATATTTTACGGGTACAATAATAAGCACACGACTAGAAAGACGTGGAATATAATATCGAGATTTTCAGAAGAGATATCCAAAGAGATCATGAAAATATGAAAAATCTTCGGTCAAAGACATCAGGGCAGTCGTTCGACATCTCATTCTTAAATAAACACTGCACGGTAGGCAGCAACAGGGTTTGGAGGGGGGCAGGGGAAGGCAATTGCCAGACTCATGTTTGAGAAACAGACGAATCGGTCTAGCCAGAGCCTCAATGCATAAGAAGAATAGTTATGACGGTGTAGGGTAGCCTTGTAGAAGAACATGTGCGTCACACCGAGAGACTTCGTGGCCGTGGATGCGGCATATTTCTGGGGGGAAGCAGAGGAATAGTTCGGTAGCGAGATAGAAAGAACAAGGCAAAAAGGCGAACATCATGTCATGCCTGTGTGATTTGAGACCTGACAACATGTATTCATGCATGCTGCACGCCAGCAGCCTGGCGAATTCGAGTTCGTCGGCGATGTTGGTCGTCAAGAAATCATCCAGGCAGGTGAGTTGACTCTTCGCGAAAATACGCGTGAAAAAACACGAAACCCGCCAATTTGACCATTCCGACTACTCTTCCAGCTCGCCTCGATTCTTAGCTTTCTTTCCCTGGCCCCCACCGATATATGTAACCACCTAATTGAGACATGGCCCGCGACAATGCTCCCCGTCTCGACACTGACGTGATCCTTCCCATGCAAGACCCATATATGTCCCAGATCATTGATGGCACAAAGACTTACGAGTTCCGCAAATACTGCCTCAAGCGGTCTGTTCGGCGCATCTGGTTCTACCGCACAGCGCCGCACTCGAGCACCACACATGTTTGTGAGATTCTGCCCGCCCGTACGCGTAATCCTGGCGACGCACCCCTCGAAGAAGACGGTCTCGGAAACATGGAGTTCAATAATCGTCACAAGGACTGGGATGGTTATGACTTTGCATACAAAATCGTATCAGTGTATGCCATCAAGCAGCCGTTGTCTCTATCAAACCTCAGGGAACATCACGGTTTTAAATCTGCGCCGAGAGGGCTGGTCTATTTGCCGAACTCTGTCAGCCACGAGATTGACTGGCGAAAGCAAACAAGATTGTTGCCATGAATAGCCTATTGTTCTTGTTGGCGTTTTAATCTTAATCGCCTTTCTTTTTTTTCGATTTAATCTTTAAGATTTATTACTTCTGTTGACCAACAAAAATCCTGAAAGTCATATTGGGGTGTATAGAACGGCGGCTGAAAAATATCAAGATTTGTGATGCAAGTGGAATTTTCGGTTAAGTGAAAAGAAATGAAAGCCCTTTAAAAATAACTGAAAAGGGCCTTTGCCTCTGGTCTCCAAATCCATATCAGTTGAACAGACTTATCGAGTAGACGTTTGGAAACGCCGTCAAAAGGAAACATGGCATGGGAAACATGGTTTTTTCTCTAAAGTATATATATATATGAAAGGATAAATAATGGATATATGTATGTAAATAGTTGGCGAATTTGGCTGTTGATAAGTGGCATATTGGCCGCAAGATTCTAAAGATGAAAACTAGAGGGCACTATTCTAGCCGTGATGAAAGGCTCCAGAGATATTTTCGGTGATAATTATCTCAGAAAGGATAGCTTTGTTGCTTCTACATACTACTCCGTATTAGTGGGTATCTATCATAAGAATCGGAGATAACAAAAGTGCCATCAGGAAGCCTCCTGTCGTATAGCCGGCCACCCATCAAATAAATCCCCAAAAATCAAAACCTGACATATATACTCATTATCCAAAATTCTCACTTTCTTTCCGTTAACTTGATATTCGTCCATATCGTGAACAGCCTCTTCATCATCTATAGCCAAGTTTATCCTTCGTTTTTTTGGAGGACGGCCGCGACGCTGAAAGCTTCCAATTTTGGGAATAAGAGGCTTGAACGAGGACGTTAAAAGCTTCCGCGACGCATTTACTGCTTCTCCATCCCCAATGTATATCCAAACAGGGCTTGCCGACGTACCATGCTTGGTGTTTTGCGAAGTTTCGCCGCTTCGCTTCAATTGATCAATGACTGCTTGAATATCTTGCACATGATGAATTGCATCAGGGCCCAAGGCATACGTGAAAAAAGAATAAGCTCTTTTCTGTTCCGTCACATTCCCACGACTCATTACCAAATAAACGGTCTGACCAGCAAAAGGCTTGCGTCTTTCCGATATGGTGCGAGATAATCGGGCGGTAGCAGCCGCATAATACGGTATAACCCTTGACTTCACGGCGGCTTGAAGCACCATTGAGGGACCGGCAGCAAGTAGGTAAGGTTGCCAGTTGACAATTTCCCCCTTTTTGACACAATGATCAACCCACCGGCCAGCGAGGCAAGGAAGACTGAGGGCGAGTGCCTGCATATATTTTGGACGTCGAGAATAATTGTCTGTGATCAGACAAACAAATCCAAATTGCTCAGCCCGGGGCGTAAGTCGCAAGGCATACCCAGTTTCTCTATCTGTAGAATGAGAGGGCAATTCAAAAAGCTCATCAAACCCCCCCTTCAATATCTGGCCTCCATTCGTAAATATCACCTGTTCCAAGCGGGCTAGCTCCCTGCCATCATGAGTGTATGAAATTGCGAATGCCATGCCATTAAAGATTCCAGAAGCTAATACCTCTTTTTTCGGAGTACGAAATAATGTGGGGCCAATAGCAGCTAGCATACCATTGATAGGAGTTTCGGATCTGAGGGCTTGATTGTCTTCCTGGGAGGCATTAAACGTATATGGCCGCTTGCCAAGCCGAGACCATAAGTTTTTGTCTAAATAAACATGAGAGATTGGAACAGTGATGGTGTCTTCGCTCCCTGAACGGCGTTCCTGCTTTGGAATTAAAACCACAGATGAATGACCATATATATCAGTGAGCCTAGTCGATTCTTGAGGTGTGCCCGTGTCAAGCTTATCGACCAGCCCTACAACTCGATATGGTATTTTCGGTATACCCGGAGAAAAGACTTTCACAGTATCATTAACGAACAATTCCAGTTTTTTGACACTGCTGGCTTCCAATTTGTCGGGCGTTTCTGAGTCTTCGAATAGTACAAGATAACGTTCGCGATCAATGTCATTCGACACTCCGATACAAGTGGCTGGGTAATATCCATGTGGTTGTCCATTGTAAAAGGCAAACACCTGATTACGGAAATCGAGCCTATAGTGTTTGATACTCTCGTTCTGGGCCACACATTGAGCGATTGGCGAGCTGTTCACCGTAGGAAAATCTGACGTAGATTTATCGGCTGAGCACGGGGATGAGCTTGACTTATGATGAATAACAACGGCATGAGCAACTGAATATGCTTTCTTCTTATTTGACGGTTTAGCAACGGCTGGTCCCCTTACAGCAGTTTGACGTTTTGCATGGCGTTCGGAACCAGGGGTTTTTCGTTCTGGTGAAATAGCAACATCCCATATGCTCTTTGTGGTGGAATCGAGGCCAGAAGTATTCAACGGAAGCTGAAATGCACTGTCTGGTGGAAAATGATAGTGTGGTTTTGTAGGAAAAGGTGCTGGCTCGATAGCGATATGACGCGAAAATCGAGGTATAGCTATCCTAGAACTAACAGGAACTCCTCGCCCGCTATTGGCTTTTCTTCTTTTCATCACCTTATTTTCCGCATTCATGATTGTCGCTTGGAAATTTTCATCATCTTCTGTCATCGGATTGATATCCTCAAATACAATATCAGGGGCCGTTTTCTGGGGTGATTTGTCAGAAGCGATATCAGTCATACTTCTGCGCTGCCGACCACTTGGACTAGAGAGTACGGAAAGAAATTGATGCGAAATATCCTTCTGAGGCCAATCTACACCCTTCCTTCGCCTACCGTTTTGGGAATAGTAATGCGGCATTATGGGCAGACAATTTTCGCTCTCAGGAGAAGACCGGTGGCCTTCCGATTTAGGACGATTCTGAAAAGGGGTTGAACACGGAATGTGTTGATCGTTTGGGCTTGTCTCTGGTATAGTATTCGGCGGGTTTTTTACTTTGCTGGATTTTGCTGTAGGTGTCTCAAAGACAAGAGATGCCATAGGGGTTGCGATTCGAGCGCTATTTGGTTCTTGGGGTGTATTCTGTGATTGGGGATCCTTTAAATTATTGAGCCGCAGAACTTGATCATTCGAACTAGAAAAGTGCTGTTTTGGGATTTGCGTACAACCTCTTCGCATGGAATCTGAGTTAGTGCAGTGGAGAGCATTTGCTGTATTGTCGGGCATGGTATGTAAGCCCGGATCTGATGGATGGATAGGAGCTATTGGTCCAGGCTTAAATTCAGGACGAAGACTGTCAAGGAGCTCAAGTGGCCGGCATATGGGCTTTTGTGGCGGTGAAAAGCAGCCAAGGGTTCCATTGGAAATGGAGACGGATTTGTGTAGAGGGCTATTTATATCCTCAATAGATGGTTGTGAGTTAAGAACTCTTTCACTTAATGGATCCTCGCTTGCACTTGCGAGAGTTAACAGTGTCGGGGAAACCAATGGTTGGGATTTTTGGGTAGCGAATTGAATAGCTTGGTTTTCTGATGAATCGGCTTTAAGCTCTGGAAGAGCTTGAGATGATCGCTCATAAGGGAGAGTAGTTGCATTGGGATCATGTATGTGGGTGTTATCCACATTTTCCTTATCATCGTCAACATCACCATGAGATACATGCGTGCTAAGTGGTTTAGATATAGCATTCTCATCCTCCTGATCTGTTTCAAATTCACTCTCTTGTTGTGCATCCAAGCATGATCTCATAACAACTGACATATTATCAGCACTTAAAGCAGGTTTGGTTTTGTTGATAGCAAGAGGGGTAGTTGATAATGGAAGAGGGTGTGATTTTTGAGGGAGCTTTCGCGAAAACCCCCTTTCTGAGATTGTAGCATATTCAAGCTGTTTTCTGAGATGGATTTCGGTATCGTTTTGGCGAATTCGACGTTGCTCGTTCGACATGAAATCATCATCAGAAAACCCATCGGATGGGTGGTTTGATGTAGAGGGTGAGCTTTGCTGCCCAGCGGCATTTTTACGCACATCTTGAGACTCTTGCATAGACACATAATTTGTCTGCGGCTCGACAAACCTTGGGTTGATTGAAGACGTGGCTAAAAGTGGTGAAAACAGTGTAGTGGTGGTAGTTTGTCGACTTTGAATTGGAAGATGCGGGGACGGCATATCCGAAGACAACTCAAGACGAGGTAAATTTGGCACTGGAGAGGATGGATCTTGCGTGGCATTGAATAACTGACTCAGCGCCATCACTGAGCCAGGTGTCTTAGTACCCTGTGTAAACGGATTACGTGACAGCGCCGGGGTGATGGCGGTGGCATCTGTCAACGTCATGACATGTTGACTGTGTGGGGTTTTAGGGGCGAAGCGCTGAGATTCAGGGAATGGCCGATAAGTAACAGGAGACGAAGCTTCATCGCCGCTTCCGGAGACGGTGTCATCTTCGTCGATAGCAAGTGTAGTATCATCCAAATCAACCAGTAAGTCCAAATGTCCTGTATCCCCCTCAGTAACGGTGTTCTGTGTGACCCCAGGATCAATATCTGGCTCGCCTCGGGGGCGGGGCGGAGGGAGTTCGACTTCTCGGGTTTGTTGTTTCAAAACGTTTGCATAAGCAGACTGTGAAAGAGGTTGAGTATCTCCTGGGGTACTCTCTGGAGGAACCGCTGCTCTAGTAGGAAATTTAGGCATTTTCCAGGTTTCGGTATGGAATTGGTGGCTTCCACTGGTGCTGCCATTCTGTTGGTACGAAAACTGAGGGAGGGCATCCCGATACAACATATCTGATGTTCTAGGCATCCCCACAGCAACCAAAACATTGTGTTGTAGGGTGTCATGGTTACGCATTTTATTTGAAGGGGCACCTGAATTGCTGTCTGCTGCAATTGGCCATGGAGGTTCCTGGTCGCAAATCCACAATTAGCTGCGATGAAAGTCACAAAGACATTTCAGCATACATACATCACCATATTCCAGGGCTGCTTGCTTTAGATATGACAGATCAAGGCTGTCGTCTTGTGTATCCATCACACGGAGCACGCCAGTCAAGGCTTCATCTTCATTTGCACACTTCACAACGCTCAAACAATCCCGTGAGGTAGTTACACGTTGAGTACGCCGTAATTTATTGTGGGTCCTGGAGACGCGACAGAGCACGTCAAAATTGCCGAATATGGACTAATGCCACACGAGTTCACGTGCAGGAAAACCAATATTTCCTATTCAAGATGTTCAAACACGTGAGGTTTCGGCTCAAAGACAATCGCTTGCAGATGGTGGCTAATACTAAGTGCTAGGGAAATTTGGCTAGTTCTACACGCATAAATGGGAACAAAGTCCTTCGCATGTTACTGTATATACTGTAACTACGTGGATACGTGCATATTCACCTGCCGATGGGTGTATATTTAGGTTTTGACACGAGTATAGAGAGGAAAGAGTTTTAATCACGGCTTCTGTTTGGAACCCAGCGCTTGATACAGATCTCACGGACATTATACGATTTCAATAATGCGGTGACGTCGGCATCTTCCAGCATTTCATGTAGTAATTGTGATGAAGGAGGTGGTATTTCCACGTAGCATAGGATCAGGGTCTTCTTGACTTGAGCTTGCACTCTATTCACACAATGTAGCCACCACCAGCTGCGTGAGAGTTTGCGGCCCACTACTTCTAGCCTTTCTCGTGTTTCCCTCCAGTATGGATGGTCATATGCAGGAAGGACCACGACGGCAAACTCTGCATGTGAGAAGACAGGGCCACGATTATACAGGAGCAAGTCTACGCCAAACTTGACTCCAGAACGCACTATCCATCCCAGAGATCGAAAATGGTGATAGGCAACATATGAGATGATGAAACGATCATCGGGCTCCAAAGGCAGCCGTTCGTCTCTCATGGGGATGTAAGAATGTCGACGAAATAGCTGCAGGAGCTGAGGAACGGAGATGGTTGAATTCATGTTGTCGTGGATTTGCAGGATGCCAAGGCCATATGCGAGAAAGAATGCTTCTTCATTGGATAGCTGAAGATGCTCTTCATCTTCGATTCGCAAGGAATTGGGGTCTGGAAAGCTGGGAAAGCTATCCATAGCTGTTTCTTTTTGGAAGTTCCTAGTATCTACTACTGATGAGAACTGTACATTTTTGCTGCTCGCAGATTTTAAATTTTCAGCTCCAGCAGGTATAGCGTCTGGTATCGAGGCTGATCCCGAACCGATAGCAACAATATTTTCATAAGCCTTGCCATCAGGCTTGTTATGAGCGTGAGGGTCTGCAATTTCAGTCAGTTGCGCAGCTTCGGTCCTGAGCTGCTCGGCAATGGCCTCTTTCTCTTTCCGCGCCCTTTTTAATTTCCGTTCTCGCCGTTCTGTTCTCCTGTTTCCCGTGGCTTCCTCACTGGTGCTTATTCCAAGTAAACCCTTTCTCCTTTTTTCTCGTTCAAGCCAAGTTGGTTCACTCCTGCTCAGGCTTCCCTTACCAAAAAATCCCATTTCCCACAAGGCGCGAATGGCCTTTGGATCTGTAACATGAATAGAAGAAGTGGAAGAGTCAAAATATGCGACATGCAATTCACGGGGTGGCGAGGAAATTAGATAGGTAAGATAAGAAAGTGCAACGCTAATGAGTGACAAAGGGTTATGTGGTATTAAGGTGGGGAGGGGGTGGGCAGTGAGGGGAAGGGGGAAGCGATGGATATGTTTGAAGTTGGGCCGGCGTTGGCGAAGGGCCCGAGGTTCGGCAGCATCATGATTCATGCTAAGACGCTCTGTAGAGTCCCCCATATTTGTCCTTATAGAGTTTGCAGTAGGCCAATAAACCGCCACACTAAATTCAGATCCTGGAATAAGATGTCAGTCAGCAATCGAGAGCACTGTTGAGTTTGAAAAACAAGGTTATCGGTAGAGATGTCCATCGCTTTCTGTTCCTCAGATACCGTTGTAGTCTTACAAATATCCAGCATCGGTCAACAGCTAGAAATCAGTGCCATTGCCTAGGCTAGTATCGTGTCATCACTGGAACAAGGGGCGAGGACTTGAATTGTGCATACTTTGAGAAATACAAGTAAGGATAAAGGTAAGGAAGACTCACAGAAAAATATTTAGCAAACATGCTAAATAAACAAGCAAAGTGGAAATTTCAGTAAAGCAATATAGATCTGTTGTTAATAGATATTATCATGAAGCATTCAGCTATAATCTATGCAGTGTGGAAAATGAGGTTAATGAGCTGTCAAGAAAAAAAAGAGAAAAATGTTTGGTGTGATGGGAAAACGTTCTGCCGCTCCGACTCTCGCGCCAAAAATTTTGGAGATGTGTGAACGACATTCAATTAGTTACTTCTCAGTACGGAATACACTCCTTTGTTATCACAATATTTGCCCCCGTTGTCAAGTAATTATGCCACGATCTTATGGCCTTCCAAGAAAATGTCGTTGCTAACATCTGATATCTACTCTCTAGAATGCATTTAATGTACACTCTCGATGAACAGGGGAAGCGTGTGTATACGTTGAAAAAGGTACTGGGCGGCCAAGTCACCAAGTCTGCGCACCCAGCCAGATTCTCACCCGACGATAAATACTCGAGGTAATTTGCTCTCAGTGGAAATTTCTTTTAGAAAGTGCTAGCTAACCGGCCCTGCACCATAGACAACGTGTCACACTGAAGAAGCGATACAGCTTGCTCCTCACCCAGCAGCCTGGTAAAATATATACCTGCCCCGACCCCAGAAAAATAGCTAACGGACGCTGTGCTAGAACCAAAAATGTGAAACCCTTGAATAATCATTTATGGCGCATGGAGTTAAGGTTGGAGGGACATCTACGGTTATTTCTGAAAAGAGCTCGAACATATTTTTCCTTCGCTTTTTGATTTCAAGACCAAAATACCACAAACCATTTTACTACACAATTTCACTTGCATCATGAATAAACCATCCGCTGCAGAACTTCATTAAAGGTTGAAAAAACGGGTCATCTTCGCCTTTTAGAGTTCACATTTCGACCACCACCCACTTTGATTCTTCCACCAGCTCGATTTCTTTCTCCAGTCAGTATTCCAGGAAGATAGTCCTCGTCCATTAGATCTCGACCTTTCCTAACTCTTCTCCCTTCCTCTGCCACGGCTCTCACGTATTCTTTCTGGTCCGGGGCAAGTATTAGCTCTGTTCCCCAGCCTCCTTTCCCACCTCCTTCACCAATCCATTTTCCATTTGCCGTTCCTGCAATAGGCTTTGGGATGCTAAATTTGTTCCCACGTTTATTCCATTGCATATTCTTTTTCAAATGTAGCTTGAATTCGCCACTCGCTGACGTAGAGCAGGAAACACGAGTGAGAGTAGGTTGCCCACATCGAGGACAAAACTGCTTGGACATTTCCCTCGTAGTGAAAAAGCAACCATGACAGCGAAGTATGTACGACTTTAAATATCTTATTCGCTCAAGATTATTTGTCGAAAGTAAATTTAGATTCATCTGTAAGAGCACATTCTGCATGGCGAAATCCGTTGTAATAGTTGCCACTTGCATGGTTTTAGATTCCGCGGATGCGTCCGCCTTCGCTGCATCGCGGGCTTGGTGTTTCTTAATATTAGATGGGGTGATCCAGCCGTCATCTGAATCAGAGGCTTCTTCTTGAGGATTCTCTCCGGCGGAATTGCCCTCTGCTGCATCAGATTCATCCTCTGGGTGAACGGTGACATCGGGCGAGAAGTTTTCGAGAGCACAATTGCTGCCAGCATCCTGCTGATGCGCTGTGCTATTTTCCTCTAAAGTTATCTCTTTTACACCTTGTATAGTATTGTCTATCGAAACGTCTTTAGTCGCCAGGTTATCTTCTGTTTGCGAAGCGCCCACATCTTTTGCCGCGCCTGCTTGATCTTTCGGCGGCGGCGCACCATTAATTTTCTGTTGGCCGGGTACTTTCCTCAATCTCCAGTCTCCTCCATTTCTCTCGCATTCAGTTTCATATGCTAATGCCAAAATCTCCAAGTCAGTCCGACTCAGAACTTCTCTATCGCCTGTCTTCCTAGCAAAGTCGGATACTATTTTCAAACTCTCTGGCTTGGGCGATTTTTGTTCGAGAAATGGCAGGTACAGTGACTCGATTCTCTGCCGAGCATCTGGATCGCGGATCTCGTTCACGACGGCTGGTGTGGTAAGGAGAGCATGGGACTGTGCTAGGAGAGTAGATATTTGGGGAGTGTTCTTGATAAGAGGGCCGGCATCTAGGACTATAGTATGAATCGGCTTTGGCATTTCAGGGGTTCCGGTGGTTTCGGCCATGACTTGCGATTTTGTCTAGTTATCAGCTGTCAGTGGTCGCCAGGTGGCTCATCTAACACTTACTCCGTAGCTACTAGTTACCCGATAAGAAATTCTTTTTGGGTGGTCTGTGTGGTTTAAGCTTATCGCCTTAGCGCGAATCGGACTAGACATCAACACTAATACATTGAAATGCCTATAATGTGAGATAGGAGGTAGGCAACATCTAGGATTTGTACAGAGTACTCTATTCAACACTAAGATTCTAGTGCCCTGTACTCCATATCGTAAAACTTTCGCAAGTCTATCAATAAATAGCTACAGATTGATATCCTAAACGGCGTCGAACCCAAGTCATCATAACACGTAAATCCGAAATAATCATGTGAAATCTAGAGCAGGCCAGGGTGGAATATGTCGTTTACATATGTTGGAACTCTTTATCAACCTGCTCAAAGTGATCAAAGAAACCGGCAAACAGCTTGACGCCCAGCCCGGGGTCCAGGCTTCCGGTAGTTGCCCGGATACTATGCATGCTTAGTTGAGCGATACCGCAATCGATTGCTCTCATGCCAATCTGAGCGCTTGTCATAGGGCCGATAGTTCCTCCACTCCGGCTATCATTCCTGATCTGAAACACCTGGAGTGTGGAGCCGCATTTATCCGCTACCCTCTGAAGCAGAGCAGTGCTAATGCTATCAGTTGTCATATGGCCGTTAGGGTCCGCAGCAATGGTCACCCCGATGTTCAAACGAGGTGAGTGATTCTCCAAATACTGGCCGAGAAAATTCGGATTAACGGCGTGTGTAACATCCGATGACACCAAAAAGCTGTTTGCAACCGTCTGCGAAAGGATATTGGGGCCGTAGTTTGGGGAAAATGCCTCCACAATTCTTTCAATAACGCTGCTCATATAGTTCGATCGAGCACCCTGTCGCAATAAACTACCAATCTCTTCGTCATCAAACATCCCAACCATCTTGACTATTCCTGTGGAATTTTTTTCTGACGAGGCTAGAAGACCTTCTAGAGCACTATAGCAACAAAGTTTGTCGTCGATCCGACCAGCAAAAATGAACTCCTTGTCAAGGCCACCAACCTGGGCAGACTGAGTATCGAATAGCTCCAGTTCCCAATTTAAGATTGTGCTATAATCAGAAATTCCAAGCTCTTTACAGATCGCTCGCACCAATCTCTCAGGCTGAGTAGCGGCAAACGTTCCTTTTTCAATGCCACCACCAACATCGTTCAAGTCTTTTCCAAGAACATCCGAGTTGTCCAGTCCGATGATAGGGACAGCTTGTGTTTCAGGATTAAAAGGGCCCTGCGATGCAGCTCCAAAGTGCACTGCAAGGCTCGGAACCCTTGCAATGGGCCAATCTAGCTTGACCAACCTGGATTCAACAATACCAGATTTCGGGTGTCGAACCAAAACACGGCCACCAATTCCCAAGTCTCGATCCCACCAAGAAGAGCTCAGCCCACCCGCATAGGGTGCCACACCCAGTTGCACAAAGCCGGCTTTGGTCGGTAGTTTGGACACAGGTTTCAATTTAGCGCATACTGCATCTATATGGCCAGCAACCACCCCAACCCCATTTCCAGAAGTATAATCATGTCCAATACTAAACGCAATAAGCGCACTATCATTGCGGGTGCAGTAGTATTTGCCACCTGGCTTCAACTTCGAAGTCCAGACGTCGCGCTCTGATAATTTCGTGAATCCGCAATCGGCGAGACGGCGGCTGAAAGCCGCAACGGCATGGAAAATAGTCGGGTTCGCGGTCATAAAGTCGCAGTACGGCTTGGTATAGCTTTCAGGCGAAACCACACCCGTTTGTACTTCCGACTGGCGCCGACATGGCTCGGTATCGTAGAAGCGCCGGGGAAGATCCAAGTCGGATTTGCGGGACAGGACTAGTCTAGTCATTGTAACAACAGGGGATCTTAGGATTACAACAGGGCTCGTTATGTCTAGGGAACAGTAAAAACGGGAGTGTGCGTCAGATATCAATGTGCCAGTAGGAGTAATAACTGGTAGGTCGTTGCCAGAATGCCACCAAGGCTGAGTTCCCAGACTCGTTAAGCTTCAGGTGCGGGTTGGTTGCCGGAGAAACACCACACCACAATAACGACGTCAGACATGCGGTCACGTCGAGTCTCTGAGGGGTGCTGTTGTTCAATTGGTATTTATCAACATTTGATAGGCATAGCTGCCTTGTGGGTGGTAGATATAACACATCCATACTTTTTAACCCTACGCTTGTCCGTATTATCCTCCCCTATTTAAAACAGTATATTTTTGGAGATGGGTGCTAGATTTGACTTCGTACAAAAGTTAGGACACCTATAGAGCAACATATTTAGTAGATACTATTCATGGACTAAGAATTCTCACTTCTAGTTCATGGGGCATCGACAGGTAATCAACCATTAAAGCGCATGGTGACACGAACGATGTGCCGCCTATTTCAAGACAGACAGTTAAAGATATACATACAACTGGTTCCTATCTCTGACGCATGCAGCATATGCCCAGAGCGTTAAGAAACAGTGTTTGGCAAACCCACCACATAAAGGGCACAGATGAGGTTACTATCTTTTCAAGGCAGCGTATTAAAGGCTTGATTTATGATTCCTGGTTTCAAAAGACAACCCGCCCGATACACGACTAGCCTTAAAACTTTTTGCCCCTTACGATAACGGAGACATGTATTCAGATTTATTTCCCTATTATGCGGTAATGGCTTCTTTACTGAGTAACTTTCTTGAAAAGCTTCTACATCTCTACCCACCAGGCGATATATTGAAGTCTTTTGTCAACGTTGCCTTTATTGCTTATGTCAACATCTAACACCAAAGGAGAATATTTTGTCCTCCTCGATGGATATTACGTGTGCTTAAGTACACGTTTTAACTTGCGGATATCTTCTCTCAAAGCCCTTATGCCACCAGAATACATGCCTTGTCTATCCATTTCTTCTTCAAACATCACTGTCTCCAATAGATTTTGCGAGATTAGGGCCTGACTTTTGTCTTCTGCATTTCCTTGCGAGTCATTATTGGAGTTTGTGTGACCCAACATTAGTCCTATGCAATCAAGTAGTCGGATGACTACTTGTACCAGAATTAGTATCTGAAGACTCTGGTCACCTTGAAGCAATACACCACTGATTTGAATATCGGAGAGTGCGTTTGATATTGCCCTGTGATCTAATGCCATCAGACATTGACAAATATTGGAAAAAACTGTTCGACACAGTCGAACAAGGTTGATGTAGCACAGAAGCATCGACAAGCACGTTGGGAGATCCAAACTAGGTCGTAAAGTTTGTCTTGCATCTTTATCGATTCGGGGGCTGCTTACCGCAATTGGAAGCAACAAGTCGTTTGAAGAGGACGGGGACTCCGAAATAGCAACTGAATGGCTGCTTTCTATGGAGCTGTTCTCTCGCACCTCGTGTACTGGGGTTCCAGACTTTGACGTTAGGGCATTCGACTTTGGGTCAATTTCTCTCTGACGTTTTTGAACATTTACAATATTCTGGAGCAGGTCCTGAAACTCTTGAAGCCCCCTAATTATGTGAGCTATTGGAAGCTGGGTATCCGATAAAGAGGTGGCCACCGTATCCTGCGGAGTTAAAGGCAAATCAGCGCCCGGCTGAGCCTTCAGTTGTTGATTCAGGTCATTATTTAGCTGAGCCAAGCGATCCAAGGAGTCTTGATACATATAATGCATCTCTAACACAGTAGTATCTTCAACATCTATGCTCGATTTTGCGTCAGAAGGCGTGATACCACTAAAAATATAGTGGAAGCCTGAATCAGAGCCTTGGTTTGGACTTGGAGAGGATTGAACGTTTTCCTGCATCGTACCGACCTGGGGTTCGTGGGGTCCATCTAGTTCAAGGCGTGGCGTAAGGAAATCGTATCCGTTCAGAATCGGAGGAATGTTCATCTCAACTCTATCGTAGTTGAGCCAGGAAATAGTGTCCATTTGGGATTCGCAATTTTCTTTCTCCAGAAAATGAAATGCCCCAAACTCTGCATCGGCCGCTTGTTGCATCTCTGCCAATGCTAGATGTGAGCTCAAGTCGGAGGAAGATCCGTTTATTCCCTGTGAGCAGGAGGCCACAGTATCGCCCGTAGTGGGAGGAGAGCTGGTGGAACCCACTTCCACAAGACTCATTTTTCGCTGGGTAGCGCCATAGCCCAGAAAAGACGGGTTGGAAGCACAGTTACTCTGTTGTCGTCGCTTTTTACTCGCAATATTTTCTTTTCGCTGACTGTCCGAACGACCGGGTCTGCCCATCCTCATTGACGGCTTCGTAATGCAAACTGCTCCTGCCCGTTTACAACGATCACAGAAGGGATGGTTGACTCGATTCCGAATGCATCGAAGTTTTTGCCCTCTGCATCTTTCGCATGCCAGTCTCTTAGGCTGCTCTGAAGGACTGGGAGTAGGTAATGGCTGTGATTGATCAGCCATCCGGACGTTTGTCTGCGAGTGATTCGGTCGCTCCGTAGCTCCTCGCGATTTGACGATAGGCTCAGTGAAAAAAAGTTCCTCGAGTAGTTAGTGCCGCATCAAAGTCGATTGCAAGCATTGGCACCCGACCAAGCTGGGGATCGTTACAAATATGCAAGCTGGCATCATTCACGTGTGCTTTGGGCGTTCATGGACAATGGTAAAGCATTATTACGAGAGCCATTTCGAGCTACGAGCCTATTATGGAGGGGCATATTTGTTTTCTGAAAGAGACGCTCCGCCGCACATGATAGGTAGCATCTTGCTCATTAAAAGCTCGGACAAAGCCTATTAGTCCAAGCACATTTGAATTCTGTCTGGGTCTCACTAGATATTGGGATTGCCTTTCTGGGTACCATTTTTCGTCGGCAATCTGAAGCCAATACCTACCAATCTAGTCTGTTAATAAGATGGCCTCATACTAGGCGTACCGTGTCTTGTTTTGGTTCTCTCAAGGAGAAGCAGCTGCACTGACGAAAGTTCCCACTGAAATTGAAAATGTGGCGGCTTGCCGAATCAAGCCTTTGGGCTTAGTGCAGTTCTGCCGTGCGAAGCTAGTCTTGCTAAGAGCCATTTAATTGCTACAGCGTGGCACATGTTCGAGCCGAAGATCGTATAACTAGGCTGAAGAAAGAGGGGCTAAGTTTCCTATTGTCACAATCAAAAGTTCAGGGCCTCTAGAGGAAACGAAGGCATTTTGTAGAAGACGAAAATAACGTGGTAGTAAAAATATTGCGCCAGCACTTATCATGAGACTGAGAAGGTATTTTGCTGTTTCAAAGGTATGTCAGCTTCTGAAAATAAAACCCCGACAGGACGACAAAAACACCTTCACTTTGCCGGGCGCCCCCCGTGGAGTGGGTTTGGGAGGCATATGCTCCTGCATAACATGGTATAGAGAGCACTGGGCACAATCTACCAATAATGCCTTCTCCGAAGCGGCGGAAGCGACATCCGTGATCTGCACCGCGTTGTCATCTTATTCGTGTGCCTACCCCCAAGGCTGCTGGAGAAACGGCCATCGCGGCTACATCTTGGTGCAACGGTGCATGCCGCATGGACGTGGCCGCTTCCATTGAGCTACCTTCCGCGGTAAATATGCATAATACTAGGTATTGCTATTGCTTTTTTTTAGGCAGAGAAAGCATGATTCCGATCCTCCCAAACCCGGATCAACGGTAGTAGATGTTTGGCTTTGGAATTACCATTAAATACCTGCGTTGGTAGATGCAACGAAGCTAGTTTGCAGTTAATATAGAAGATCTCGGCGATGGTTTGGACCGTAAATATGCGTCAAGGGCGAAGTCATGAAGCCAGCTTCCTTTCCAGTAGGGATATTTCGATATTGGCTAGGGACTTGGAAAATATTGCGTACGGAGTACGGCAGGAGGCTTTGACCCGACGTTCAATGTTCCATGGCAAAGTGTAAATTTAAAGTGGAGCAGGTAATCGCTGCATATATCCCCGTATAGAAGAAGACGGGCAGATCTGAGATGGGAAGAAATTGGGGGGGGGGGGGATTAGATTTCAGATTGCCTTCAGGTGGGCTTTCAATGTCCCATCACCTTGCCCGCATGTGATGGAAGGTGGCCGAAAGTGGTCTGCTGTATGACCGTGCAACCATGAGCGCATACTAGCCAGGCATTTTTGCAATTGTATGTGATGGGATTGGTTCAAGGAGTATGACAAAAAGTATGGTGCCATCTCGCCCAGACAAATTTGTTGGCAGCACACCTCCATGCTACAAGGCCGCCTGTGTGCAGCCCTGTAGTCTGTCGGGCCTTGAACGCCCTAGGGCGCTGGATCCCGTGCGGCCACTGCCGACGCAATTCTGGGCACAGAGCATGTTCGAGTCCAACAGGAGGAATAAAGTTGTTAGCTGATTAAGTGGAATCTGTATTATGTCATCAATCGCTAGTAAAGTTGGACATGGCTCTGGGCCAATCACAATAGTAGACTTTTAATGGGTAAGATGAGCAAACATTGCGTGATGGTGAGGCCAGCACAAGACTCGCTGCACGGACATCCACATTCGTTTGTTAGCGGACCATTATTGACCATGCGGGTTCAAGGCCGACAACGGCCCAGTACTTCGTGGCGCTGTTGCCCTAATGCGAGTCAAGTTTTGGAAAAATTGTCTGTGATTATGAACTGTGACAAGGTCTAGATACTCTAGCCACTCCACATACAAGCTTGATGCGACTTCTTAAACCTGCCCAGCTCCGTATTGATGCTTGGAAAATTGATGTGAAAATGGTGGCGACGGGATCGCTCAATACGCTTTTCTATCTTTGCATGGCTACTCGCTAACATTTTGGGCCGTCCGAGACAAAAGCAGTAGTTACCTGCTCTGTAAGATAAACAAACATAAAAAGTTGCCAATAGCATTTCGCTAATCATCAAAACGCCATGACTGCGCAGTGTCCCTGGTTTGAGCTTCTAAACATTACCTGACAAAATACCTTTGTCAACATGACCCTATAAGGTACACCATCTTTTCCCCGGATATTTCCCCGCGTTTCATTCTCTCAACACCAGAGATAATACCGTCCAGCCCACCTGGATAAACCTTGGGAGGATGTGGCCTTATCTTTTTGGCGTGGATTAAGCTTTCTATACGCGCGGCAAATTTGCTGCCCCATATCCGCAGCTCAGGATCAGCCTTACTGCCATAGCCTCCAGGAAGGGCAATGTCTTCTCCAGTTAGCCTGATGCCCAGAACCCAGTCGGCTTTGACAACTTTTCTCATGTTGGCAATAAGTTCTTCTGGGATAAGCTCGAAGCCAAGATACTGGCCTCCTGTCCGTCCGATTGCGGCGTAACACAGTTTTATCGACTTTGCTACAGTGATAATATCCAAAACGAATCGCACTGAATTGTTGGTATAGGCGCGAATATCTTTTGCGCAGGATGATAGCCTATAGTCAAAGGCCTTCTCGGCCCCGTATGACTCCACAAGGGCAAAATTCTTAGGGGAGCAAGTTGTGATTACTTTGAACCCGGACCTATGTTGGAATGAGATACTTATTTGGCAAAAAGGAATATAAATAAAATACTAACAGCTTTAAAAGCTGGATTGCCATGGTCCCACTTGCTGTGCTTCCGCCATATACCAACACATACACAGGCTTCTGAACAGGCTTCTCGGGCGATCCAGGCAACTTCAATGCATGCAATGCCATGCCAACACTTCCAACAGTGCACCAGCCAATGGCTGCCGCGTCTTGCATCGACATCGTGTCCGGGATTTTCCACAAATGATCCGCATAGCCGGCGACGTACTGCGCAAAGGAGCCGGATTCGGGGTTGAGCGGGTTAGATGCATGGACAGCGCCTGCTACTCGGTCTCCAATTCGAAGGTCCTTTCGAACAACGCCCGGCCCTAATTCCACAACAATCCCCGCATAATCCGATCCATCACCTGCGCCTGGATGTGGAAAATTTGTTGGCATTTTCCAATCGCATGGGTTGAGAGCGACTGCAACAGTCTTCACGAGGACCTGCCCAGGTAAAACTTTCGGAAGGCGCCGATTTTCTTCGATTACCAATGAACCAGGAGGCTCAATGGCTTGGGCTATGGCCCTGTGAGTACGCGGGGGTTGCAACAATGCCATTACCCACAATCCAAAGACTCAAAGATAGATGATAGGTCCTGCTCCCATGTTATCGAATTTAAATACTCGTTTGCTATTGATTTAATTCTGACTTCATTTGCTATTCGCATAACTCGGGACTTTTTGCCCCTTGATGATGCCTTTCTCCATGCTCCGTATCGGCTTCCGAATCATAGAAATGACCCAGTATTCGGAACATAATGTAGTATGGAGTAATCGGAGCCTGTCCCTCGCCTTCGGATTTACTAGCCTTTATTGCTGTGTGCGGCGTACGAGGAGGCTTGATGCCATCCCGATTACTTTTGGCCGACGCCGTTAGAAACGTTGCGGCTCCCGGTTTTTTCCTTCGTATTTGGTTTTTCAGGTCGTTCATTATTGTCGGCTACTCACCATGGCACCTGTTATGATTTTGTTATGGCTATTTGCCGTTCTTCCTATCGCGCTAGCGAACCATGTTGGACAGCAGCCCTTACAAAGTCTCTTCCCTGGGAGTTGGGATGTGGAATTTCAGCCGAAAGTTTCGGAAGGGTGCTCAATAAGCCATCTTACGGCTTATGAAGAAGTTAATGGGCCAGTTGCTTTCTCTACGTCTACTATAGAACACCCGGAGGTCCCTAAATTATCAGCCGTGAACAGCACGGCATGGGAGCAATGGGAGTTCGATGCAACTGGCGATGATGGCATGACAGGGCTCATTATCGGTTTTTCAAGAGATGCTTCATATGCGTTTTTTGGGCTGGGAAATCTTCGTGTCGAGTTTTACATGGTACTTCATGACGGAACTGTGATCCAGGAACTGGATTATCTCCAAGAATCCAGGCTCATAAATTGCGATGGTGCTGTCACCGGCATATGGAATAGCTCAAGGCGACAGTATTCCTTTGAAATTTCGAAGGATATGAAGCAGGCGACTGTCAAATGGCAAACTCCTATAGTACAGGGTAATATGTCATTGTCGTCAACTGTCATGCCTCACTTTCCAGATGGTTCTAGCTGGCCATCATCGAACGCCACGACTGAGATATCCCCGTCCCTACACTCTTTTAACTCAATTTTGAGCGGTCGTGCAGAAGCGCATGTTACTCTTGCGAATCGTAAAACAATGCGGCTGCGCGGTGCAGGCGGACACAGCCGACTATGGGCCGAAGGCGGCTGGTTTAAGATCGTGGATGGTTTCAACATCGTTCGTTTCCATGGAGGACCATACACCGGGTCTTTCTGGCGGACAATCTCCCGGCTCGTCAAAGGCGCTGTTTACGATTCGGCTCAGCTATTTAAAAATGGAAAGCTACTGATAGCAACGCGACTTGGAGAGGAGTCTCAAAATACTGATTATGTTCTGTTTTCGTCTGATTTCAGCGGGAACGTTAGTGGAGGGCTGGGGGATAAATCAACGGGCCGTATCCTTCAATTCATCTCACCAGCCCAAGGGAAAGGCTGGCGTTTTCATTTGGAAAACAAACGAAAAAAGTTTGAACTTTCACTTGGTGGGCATTTTGGCCTGACCGGGTTTTTAAATAGTGTGGTTGGGGGTGAAATTAACGGGAAAAGGTATGCGGGAGTGGGGTTTTCAGAGCAAGTAGTATTTCCGGAGGTGATTGCCAGATGGAGACTGTGGATCGTATATGGGATTGGATATCTAAATCGCGGAAAGGGAATTCTGATGACAGTGGTGCAGCGATTCACTTAAGGTCGGCTGCCTGGGCAAGAACCACAGAAAATAAGGAGTCAACTAGTTAACTAACTAGTTAACTATGTAATAATTGACTAATTAACTAGTTAACTAACACGAGTAATCGCGCGCGTAGTTAGTTAGGGGGTGTGACGCTACGAGCTACGAGCTGGAGAGAAATGCCTGATTCATCTGATCTCATTTGAAGAGGGATCTAGGCTGGTTTATATAAGTGAGTGGCTAGCCCAAGTGGGGCAAAAAGAGCCAATCAGAGCATCAGCTCTGATCATGCATATGTGACAAAAAGACATGTGATTTGAAATCTAGTGTTCTGAATCTGCACCATACAGAAAAACAAAGAGAATTCTCTAATCTTCATGCCTAGTCTAGTCTAGACAGGTTTCTGACTGACACATTCTCTCAGCTCTAGTTTGCTAGAGCTGGCTCTATTTTTCTAATTGAGTGTCTGCACATATCTGAATCTTTATTTCAATATCACATAGATCAAGCATGCATATGAAATTCACATGCTTTTGTGACAGAAGAATCTTAGTAAGTTTATCAGTCAGCATTCAGTCTGTTGAAATTTATATAATATGCACACAGTTCACTAGTGTCTCTTAGCAGAGTCAGTGTTGCTTAATGTTCACATGACAAAGCTTTGTAGTAAGCATTTGCTTTTCATTAGTAACTATGCCAACAGTTTAAAGATTGTTACATTTAAGCACAGATAGATGATCTGAATTGAACATTAATTAATTAAAGAAGCACTGTCATCATATAAACTTAATGACTGCATGCACTAGAATGTGTAATTCAGCTTCAGTTGTTGATGTTGTTATGATCTTTTGCTTGACAGACTTTCAATCAATTGAACTGTCAAACAGCACAAATATAAATTCTTTGATACTGTATCTAAATGAAAGATAATCATTAAATGCAGCATCACTTGCATAAGTAAAGATCTTTTTCTGTTCATTAACTCTGTCATTATATTTTAAGATGTAATATTGTGTGTCTTGTAGATAGATTATGACTCTATTCACTTCAGCAAGATGATGAGCTGATGAATTAGTAAGAAACTGACAAAGTTTACTAATGATGGTAGCAATATTGAGCTGAGTCATTATGACTGCATATAGTATAGATTTCATTTTCTGCTGATAGTGGCTAATCTCTTTTGAACTAGTCTGTAGATTGTTTGGGACTAGTGGATTTTCAGTTAGCAGTGTTTGAACTTTTGTTGATTCATCATTCAATTAAAAGTGCTTCATGAGCTTTATTATGTAAGAATTCTGACTCAGTCAAATCTTTTTCATCATGAAATCTCATAGAACTCATATGTCTAGAAATTATAAAATATCTTCTAGATCATGTATTTCAATCTTCACTGTTAGCTTATTGCAGAGAAGATCATACAGAGCCACATCTTTGAGTCTGTACAACACTACTATATTGTCAATGTAGAAGAAGAGCATGAGCTTATTGCATTTTGTAGTGAATAAGCAAGTCTCTTTGAGATGTGGATGGAGTCTGTGCTTTATTAGTAAGCTAGAGAAATGTTCTAGCCAAAGTCTCAGAGCTTCTTGAAGTCTGTATAGAACTTTGTGTAACTGCATACATTTTAATGACTCTTTAAAGTCTTTGGGGAGAGCACAAAAAATCTTGAAATTAAGCTTACTGTTCAGAAAAGCATCTATCATGTTTCATTGCTTCATTTCTAGATCAAAATGAGCTGCTATACTTATTAATAGTCTTATGATTTGAGCTGCTAATGTTTCTGCATAGTTAATATAACTCAGTTCACTCTGCAAATCATTTTGTACAACAATTCTAGTCTTGTAACATTCTAGAAAATCATTCATGTTAAATTTATATGTGAAGATCCACTTAATCAGCATAATCACTTTGTCAGTAGACTCTTCAACAATTTAATAGATCTCATGCTTTTTAAGATTTTCCATTTCAGCTCTAGCAGCTTCTATAAAGCTGCTTTTGTGTGTGTGATTTCTTAGTTAATTCTAGTTCTTTGATGACAGCAGAAAAATATCTTTGTGTAACTTCTTTATGAAGAATGAGCTTGAACTCTTATTAACTGCTGCTTTGTCATTCTTCATATTTATTGCACTAGCAAACACTGCATGGAATTTATTGTAGAATGAGTAGTTGAATTCAGTCATCATTAGTGCTGCTGGCTTTCTAGAATGTTTTCTCATGACTATGTTTGCTTTATTTAGATCTGCTGATATTTTTGATCATGCAGAATCATATGCTGTTTTGGAAGCTCTGCATCTTTCAGTCAGAGTTTGTTGCTGTTCTGACATATATAATTGATCAAACTCAAATTGTAATTGTTGTTCAGCAGCAGCTGTGATGAAAGATGTCATAGTGAGAGCATCTAGTGTCTGTGTAGAAGAATTAGTATTGAATCTAATTAAAAGATTGAATGTCATCTAAACAGCATGAGATGAAGAGTCTTCAAAGTCTTCTGATATTTTGTCTGAAGTATTGTCAACTGTAATTGACTTATTTAAGTCAGATGTTGAAGTTTCTTTGTGTTAAGCTTCATAGAGCTGAGTCTGTATGATGACAGACATTTATGAAGATGTCTGAAAAGATGCTGAAGTCTGAAAGAGTCTAGTCTGTGTAGTGACTGATGTCTTTAGTGATGTTGAGAGCTGTAAAGCTCTCTCATAATTTAACTGCTTCAGCATTGTATAGCAAGCTTGCTCATAATTTGACTGCTCATCATGTGACTGCTTCAGTGCTTGATTAGCATGATCTGAAGAAGTCTGTTTGACAATCTCTCTGAAAGAACTTTCATTATTCTTCTGTGATCTGTAATCTGTATCAATTATTGACTTAGAGATGTTTTCTGTATCTTTCAGTATTGTTGATTTCATATATTTAAGATCAGAAATTAATATAGTTTTGATAATCTGTTCAACAGCACTTCTAAGTTCTTTATCAATATGTGATTTATTAGAGTCATATCTTAGAGTCTCATCAAAGCATACATCTCTGCTTGTAAAAATCTTGTTCAAATGCAGCACCCAAACATGAAAAATATTAGACAAATTGTAGTCTACTAAATAGTCTATATGTGTGCATGGTTTCAGCTTCTTGAAAATCATCATGTGGAGGTTTCAAACATATGCTCTGCAGCCATATAACTGTAAATGTGCCAAATTTGGCTTGTAATCATGCTTCTCTAGGCACTCATTTAGCATTTGAACAGATGATTTCCAATTTAACACTTTCATAGACATATGATTGATCAAATAAGCAGCTGTTTTGAACAGCTCTGGTCAGAGATTGACTGATAAGCACAATTCAATTCATAGCACACATGCTCTTCACATTAGCATCTCTCCAGCACATTCTGTCATGCCATTTTGCTCAGAGATGTATGAAGCTGAGATCTCTAGTGTTATTCTCTTTTTCTGAAGCTAAGTCTTTAATTTATCTGAAAGAGCAGCTCTGTCAATTTGTATAGTGTGCACATTTATGCTGTAATGTTTTTCAATGTGTGCAATCTGATCTAGCATAACATTGTTGATTTTGCTTTTTAAAAGTGCTGGCTGTATCATATGAAAGTGTAAAGCATCATCAATACAGTGTATAATATGATGTTGATCTTCATAGACTTCTTTTATTTTGCTGATTAGATTAAAATGTAGACAGAAGAATGATTCTGTATGATGCTCTACTTGATGTCTAGATATAATTCTGAAGTCATCTGTAAGCTTGCACATTTTGCAGTCTCTGATCTTATCAAATTTGTTAGTGATTTCAGTAGTAAAGAAGATTTCAGAAGCAACTTGTTATCTGGTCTATAAGAGCTACAGAATGTCTGTGCAATTTTGGTTGAGTAGTAGAAGATGTTCTATTCTTCTTCCTTCAAGCTTTGATCATAAGCTTGAGGATGACTAATACTAACTAAGCTACTTCAGTAAATATGTACAGAAGATTCCATGTCAGTTGCCAGAGAATATCTTTTAAGAATCAGTGTCCTCACTGAAAGTCTGTGCTCTGTCACTAGCTAAAATTGATAGTCATAGTATGGAAAGTTGAAAAAGAAAGACATCTTCTCAATGACCACTTTGTTGATCAATTTAATATGCATCATTGGATATAGGAACTTTTTTCAAGCTAGAATGGACATGATCAGTCACATTAGTGCATATATCTTAATTTAACATTGTGGGTACCATTCTTCATCTAATGCAAAGTTTTTCCATATTTGTAGGGTGTCTTTTGGATTCTGTTTCAGCATGCCAGTGTCATCAATTTATGTTAGATGTGGATAATCTTCAGCTGTTGATTCTAGTGCTCATAGGCAAGCTGGATGGACTTTTCATTGATGATTAGAAAGTCATAGCACTTTGCATCTGATGAAATCATTTAGAATGAATCAACATTTCATGTACAAGTCTCTTTTTTTATCTGTGCTTAGTTTGAGCCATTCTTGAATTTCTTTTGTTGTTATAACATCATCTTCATCCAAAGCTGTCCAGGTTTCTGTTTTTATTGCTGTAGGTGGTTGTATTTGAATGGATTCTTCAGAGAATCAACAGAGAAAGTGAATGAGTTCATATTTTGTAGATCTCAGTAATAGATTTTGATGGTCTTTTTGAACTTTGTCTAAAAGTTCTTTGAAGTAGATGTCAACAACTGATGTAACAAGAACTTGAGATACTAGACATCATTTCTCTGACTCTGACATGTTGAATTTTCACTGTTCAGGAAAGAATTGGAAGAATTTGAGATGTTGGTCTGTGGTCATGACATATTAAGCATTTCTATACTTAGTGAGTGTTGCTGTTCATTCACTTGATATTGCTGATTGTTTAATTATTGCATCTAACTCATCTGTGATAAGTATGTCATCCACATTTATTGCTGAAAAGTCCATGGGAAGATAAAAGATAGGAAACTGTCTGTTTTGTAGGTACAGTACTTGTTCATCTTGAAATTGTTGAGATACTAGTTCTTGTTCCCAAAAGAGGAGATCAGTA